AGAGATAGATAGAAATGGCAGAGCAGTAACTCAAGCTTCACTCCGAGTTCGACAGGATTCCCAAATAGGGTTACAAATTCGTCGAATACGATGAATTCAGTTATAATGCATTTCGTCTGAAGAGATTGTGCTCATAGCCCATGCAAATTATATGCAAACGGAACTAGTGATCGGGGTCAACTCACTCAATCTTGTTCCCTGCAGGGCTTGAAGGGTTCGTACCCAGCTTTTGTCTTATCTTCTTGGCCTCCTTCATCTCAACGCGTTTAGCTGAAAAGCAACGAACCAATTCTCATGACTTTTCTGGTGAAACGCCCTGTTATCAACTGCGTCCTGGTCATCCTCTCCCTTCTATGGAAGGTCCATATGCTCACACATTATTATATTAGTTAGTCGCATCAAGAAAATTAATTTAGGTGTCTTTGTGCTAAAAGTCGCATTGAAAGCGAGTGAGAGATTCGGAGGTATAGAGAGAGAAAGTCACTATCACGCGGGCTTGCAGTACGACTCCGGATTACGAAATCTGTGAACAAATTGATTAACAATCATCACAATGGTTGAGATCTCACGGGTTCCAAATTTGTTTGAATAATGTTCCGGTTAATTTTAGGCGCTCGAAATAAGGTCGCCTAAAATAATTATGCCTGCTTGGGTCGCGATGTGAGGTCATTCTCTTCCTTCTATGGAAGGTCCATATTCTCATACTGCAGGCAAGTCGTAAGAGAGCACAGTCCGAAAGGATCGCCATGGTCGAGTTAGCATATACCATTAGAGCAATCTGCATTATTATTGAACTGTGAATTCTTCAACCCCAGGGACCACGACGTTGCAGTCTCAAACTTGCTTCTCGTACCAGGGACACTTGAATGGAGGGAGCGATGCGTGCCCACAATACTGACATGACTGCCATAACAAAGGTGATTCTTAACAAAGGTGATTCTTACACAAATCTTTCAGAGGTGTGACATCTTTGCATAGCATTTGGTTACTGCTTATCATTCTTACTATTTATAGATGAGAAAATTATGTACATTTGAACTAAATGTTGTGTGGAATGGACGATTATTATATTTTCAAGATATTAAGTTTTTCTAAGAACTCAAATATAGAGATATTTAAATTATAGCCATATATATATGGTCATATCCTCGACAATAAACTGTATATCATCAACCAAACTTATATATATTCTAGCATTGGTGGTCTCCAAAACATACCGACATTCCGTCGCATGGCTCTATCCATCGTGAAATAACGAAAATGAAGTGAAATATCAAAGATCACAGTATTGAAATCATAAAATGATCAGTAGTCATATGAATAATGAAAATGTATAAGCATGTATCGGACCAATATAGACTTTCATGTTTGGAAACTAGCTGACAGTTATAGAGTAAGTTTATAGACTGGTGAAAATCAATGCAAGGATTATTGAATTTCCATTGTTACCGACTAATGGTGAAAGCGATGTCATAAGCATAATTCCACAACATAGACTACGTTTCAATTTCACCTATCCTTGGTATATTTTGTTATCTATTTTACGAGTTACTGAGACGGATCGCGTTTCAATCGGAAGAAATAAATTGTTGATAACATTATACTCGAAGATGACAACTATTACATCCAGCCCTCGTTAGGAGGAAGTCACAAAGAAGTGTGGATTGTTACTTTCCCCAGCCTATCCACTGCTACTTTTCTCATCATATCAAATCCGCCAGACATTGGCAAAAGAAAGCTCTCTTTATCTGTACGCACAATACTGACCGGCCATTCTTAAGATCACGAAAGGAGCTAGCCGGTCAAGGACGGATTGAGCAAGTCACCGGCTTCAGTAAAAAGCGCTCCACGTTTACCTAACGCCCACGTGTAGGACCTTACTGAGTAAGGCTTACTCCGATACGAGGATTGTTACCATAAATGGCTGAAACACTCTTCCGGTCTGCTGCGAGGTGATTGCTGACTTGTCGGTGGGTACGATTGCTTACTGTCAGTTTGATTGCTCGAAGACTGTGGTTCTTGAATGCATTCTGCTGCGTTGAAGTGAGGTATTCTTTGTACCACGATTATCCGAATCCTACCCAAGCACACATATCTTCTTGACATCTTGTTTGTACAAAGTAAGTCTCTGAATCATCTTAACCTTGTGCACACGATGTTTATATGCACATAATCATCCTAATTCTATTAAGAACTCCAAGGTAGAATGCTTTGAACTTATTGTTTTAAAATAGGTAATTTTCCAAGAGTTACATGGATGGAATCTGGGACTAAGCTCCAGCGGGGAAGCCCATCGGACTGTACTCACCACCTTTGATATCACACGAATCAATGTCACAAAAATGCATGAAGACACATAAGGAAAAATTTAAGACATTTTCAACTGTCTAGATCAATCCTGTGTTCTTGAGTCCTGTCAAAGGTCGAGGCAAATATATTTCCTACCTTTTGCGCCTTCTCTACTTTACCAATGTATGCTTTTCTTTCCGTTGAACCTCCATTCACCATGGCTTTGTACCTCTACCTCCCCAAAAGCACAAATGAGCAATGAGGGATGGTATTTGACAAAGTAGTATCCAGCTGAAGCTCCTTAGACCACATTACTTGTCTACTTTCTTTGATTTGTTTTCTTGTTAAAATTTTGTTACAAGTCATTATATAATAATAACCAAATCTATGTATAATTATTCTACCTCTTGAATTCATTAAAAATTTTAATCCCTAAATTTGTACAATTAAAAATTTTCACTTCAATTGACTTTGAAACAAATATAATAATTTAAAGTAATTATAATATGAATAAATATCCAATTAATCCACATCCAATTTTATTTCCTACAGATTTCAATGATTCTAAACCGATACATTGTTAGATTTGTCGGCTGTGAAGAGAAAATCTGTTATGTGAACTTTAAAAGATAAATTTTTTCTTCATTTATAATATTTTTTTATGTCTATCGATAAAGTTAAGATCTTTTCAAGTTTTTATAATTTCCTATCTAAATAATTTTTTTGCTATACTTTGTAAATTTATGAAGACATCAATTTTTTTGTAGAGTAAAATCTTGTGTTTTAAAATATTTGAAGAATAAATAATAGAAATAAAACCTCGATTCATTAAATTATTTATCCAAAAAAATTATTTACAAGGCTGGCAATCCTCCTCATTAAACTGAAAATTTTATATCATTTCATACTTCTTTATGTAAATATACACTAAATCGTGGGTAATTATTAGCTAAGAAGAGAAATAGTAATTTAAATTTTTGTGAAAGATGAGTGAAAGATAAACATGGATTGAAATGTAAACTGATACGATAATGCACTTTAATAGCTTCGATAATCAGAAGATGTTGAATTGTTAATGTCAAATTTAACTACAATTCTCCTTACGAAAATGAAAATATTATCGTAAGTTGAAGTCTATAATAATTGAATACTTGAGATAAATACATCCCTGTCAATAACACTCTTATCTCTAAACTTGGACTTAAACCCATCCTTGTACGTTATGAAATTAATACGAGAGTTTGCTGCGACGAAATAATTGAGCAAAGTCTTGTATTGACTCTTTATCATTGCGTCATACGAATAGAAATAATCACATTTATTTGATTGTTTCTACCTTCGAATTCTTCATTCCATTTCAATTAGGAACTACTACCACTCCATGCTTGTTAAAACTTTGTAAAAGGCATTTAAAATAAGACCTTCCTTAAAAAGGTTGATGCTAAAGGTCTTAAATGCTTCATGCTGGATGTCAAATTGAAATTAATGTGATCGAATCTAGTTGATGCTAACTATATTTAGATGGATAGTACATGATTATCACCTACCTGGATTTGAACTACATTTGGATGTATGATACAAAGCACTTCTCTCTTCGAGATACATAGATACGGGTTGATGCAAAACAATGGATTATATAATATTGTCATGAGTAGGAAAACGAACATAATCTGTTTAATGGATTGCTTCAAAAGCAGTACCAGATTTAGTCGCTGTCCTTTTATGCTATTTGCAGTTAGCGAAAAACAGAAAATGAGAATGAATGAATAAAAACTATTCTTGCAATGATTATTACAACCCATCATTTATCCGCACAGATATAAGTTTTTCGAAATACGGTTACCGTTGCAAATGATAGCAAACATGACATAGTTGAAAGAATGGATAGCGTTCTAAGCCTTAATATAAGTTGGCAAAAAAAAAATGACTTGTTTGAAACAATTGCCATACGTATACTTTAACAGTGTTGACGATAGACAAGTAAAGTACGGAACCAGTCAAATTAATATAACGCCAAGAAACGGAACCGCGAAACGCAACGAAATCCTCAAGCAGTCCGTCCGTGCGGGCATGGCGGAGCTGCTCCGCTCGCCTCCCTCGAAGCGTGACTCAACCCAATGGTGGCACTGGGTCACATTTCATCCCCCACCGGAACGTGGTACGAACGTATTAATGTATAACATAAAATCCCGGTTAGAGTATGCGCTAACCCAGGTTAGAAAGGTCAGCCTGTAAAACCCTCGTCATCGAGTGGGCAAGTGGGATGTGCATCGCCGGCAAGAAAACGCGAGCTTCCATTGGTAACGCTCGAGGGGTCCGGGAGCTCAATAATGGGAGGCGCCCGGGCGCGCCTATCAGCCGCGGCCGAGAGTGGATAAGAAAATTGATGCGGGGGGAGGGTTTGGGCCCGAGGGGCAGACAGACAGACCGGACTTGGCCGGAAGTCCGCGGATGGGGAGGGGGCAACCGGTCAAAGCACCGCAGCAGGCCCGTATCCGATGCGCTTTATCCTTGCCCCACCCATCCATCCCTTGGATACGAAAGCCCAGTGCCAGCAGATTCCGCCGTTGCCAACCGGTCATGCCGAACGTATCGGCGGAAAGTTCAAACCGGTCATGGGCCGGTGGGAAAAGCGCGGAGCCGCGTCCAGGCAGCCGGTCATGCGGGTCTATCTATGGCTGCCTGCCACCTTTCATGCGTGAGCGATCGAGCAGACCATTCATTCTTTGCGGAGACAGAGAGAGAGAAGAGCGGAGGAGCAGCGAGCGAGGGAGAGCGAGGGAGGAAAGGTGGAGAGAGGCAGAGAGAAGAGCAGACGCGAGGGAGGAAAAGCAAAACGAATGAGAGGAGGACCTCCGGGCCAGGAAGATAGGAGCGAGGATTTCTGGTGATACGGCTGGCGTCGACGACTCCGCGGCTCTGACATTCGAGAGCAAGCGTGTTGCCCCGCGGCGTGCGAAGAATTCTGTGGAGTTGGCGCTCGTGATACGGTGCGGAATCCAGGCGTGCGGAGCGGCCAAGCTTCAGGAATTTGGGTCGAAGCTTCAGAGTTTGAGGAGGTTCGGAGCTTGTGGGTAATTTTGGTGGGTTGGAGATTGAGAATTGGCCTGAATTGGACGAGGAGCCGATGACGGGCTAGCCGAGAGCTGAACGAGACCGCGGGGCGATGTTTGTGAAGAAAAAGGAGAAGTTAGCAGTGGATGCGAGCGCGGTCTGAAGACGAGCGAGAAGCTTTTGTGGCGGTCGGGGAAATTCATGCGGAGGATAATAGCTGGAGCTGGGGAATGTTCAGGCCTTTTCATAGGTTGCAAACAGGGTAGAAGCAGACATGGGAAATGCCTTGGGGAAGGTCTTGAGGAGTGATTATGCGGGAAGCTTTTTCTGCTTCGCGGTGAATCTTCGTACCTGTACATGTTTTAATTTTTTTCAAGTATATTGGGAGTAATTCTGCAGATTCATCCCATGGCCAGGTCTATCCATCTTTCAGGTCAGCACATCACGCACCAGGCTCTCTTGCGTTTATGAGTTCGTGTATGTTCTTAGCACTGTGAGATATGCAGTGCATCTCCGCTTTTTAATTGTACATAATTGGAGTAGCACATGAGCACCTTGCCACTCAAGGTTAAGTACCGTTTCTGGAACAACTACTTACGAGGGCCCTTATTTCCGGACCTCAGAGTCACGAGAAAATCTAGTTTAAGCTTTCTGAATTTCTATTTCCGAGTTCAGATTATGCACTTGGAATCTCCTTATCGGCATTGGTTAGGAACCCTTTTACTCCCAGGCGATTCACTCAGTACACCAAAAAGATTGTTCAGATTTATCAGATCCTTAGAAGTTCAACTTTTGTGTGCGTCATGCTTGTTTTCTTCGAAGCATCTTTCCTAGGTATTTTGTAGGATACTCACGGGCTGAATAGTTCAGCCCGTGAGTAAGATTTACGTCATTCAGCAATTCTGACTAATGTAGTACCCTGTAAGTGAACTGAACAATATCTGGAAAAATTCCGTTGACAACAAACCTAGAACGCTTGTAGTAGAAGGAACAAGGGATCGAAGTCCTCAGCGAAGCTCCTGTAGGTTACGGAATGGTGGATACCCATCTCTCGCTGCAAAGTGAACCAATTTATGCTCTCCATATTGCCTTGGGCTAGTCACCCGTGTTATTCTGACTCGTCTTAATAAGGCAGTTTCCGTTCTCCTTGTGTCATGCCGTATGCAAATCATCAGCATGACCTATACTCAACATTGGACTAAATCGTAGTATAGGTCACCTGAACTAGTTGGTGAAATTCTTTACAGGAGACTTTTCTCCTATAGATGTTTTCGCTGTCCACTGAAGGACTAGGGTTGGTTTTGTGGTTTATAAATTAGGTGTGCTTGTCTTGAGATTCTCTTTTTGTTGTTGTGCAGGGTGTGCTGATTCTGTCGGTGCTCGAACCTTCATCTTACAGCCCCTCTTTGCCAGATTTGATAACAAAGATACAATTTGCTCAGCTCGGACCGTTATTAATTATTGTTCCAATTCATCTCAAGCTGTCTCTCTCAGCAGCAACTCTAGGTGGCACAGAAATGTAAAGGATGCAAACTTGGAACCTGTACGGTGATATGTATTTAGATGTCTCAGCATTTTTAGCAACGTGTTGTTTCATATTGGGAAATTGTTGTGGGCACACATCTTTTCGTGAATGCGCGGATGGTCTCAATATCAAAGTTGAATGGTGTCCCTAGTGTAATGTTATGTATTATAATGTTCCAGTGTTGAAGCAAGCGTGCATGTAGCATACCTTGGTCTTTTGGAATTTGCACGTGAACTGATATTTTCCCTAGTGCTGGACAGGCTTTTGTTGTCTTTTTTCTAGTCTTTATCTTAGTTTTGTTAAGATTGGAACAACTGGTTTTGTCTGTAGCTCGCTGGTTCCAGTAGGAATGTCACAAATGGACATCACTTTGAAGACACTACTTCCACCTCTTCGGTGGAAAGACAACATAGAAAGTTTGGATCAAGATCGGAGATTTACGTGCGCTGCCAATCTCCAAAGGAAGCTCCTACATCCGAGAGCACACAAACTTTGGTCACTCCAGCAACTTTATGGGAGGTAGGAAATAATGGTTTATAGACGAGTTTCATGCATTCATTTTCATCTACAATAGACCAGCCTCGTACACGTCTTAGATCACCGTCTCAGTTTCTATTACTGTCCTTACGATGTGAATAGTTAACATCAGCACATGTAACTCAGATGAAGGTTTACTGATGATAGAAGTCTGCTTCGTTAAAACTTTGAACTGGGTATTTAAGTTGATGTTGTCAATCTGACTACAGCTGCCAACAAAGACTTTTTTGTGCAGACATGATGGTCAAGTGCGAACCATCTAATGCCATTTCATATTCATGTAAAAATTGTACATGCAGGAACTCAAGTCAACCGTCAGCTATCTTTCATCCTCTCACTTAAGCAAAGTGAAAGACGCTTTACAGGTATCACATTCTAATGCATCTGAAGAAAGTGAGTTTTTAGAATGTGATGGCCAGTCTGCTTCAGTCATTCTTGTGGATGTAACTCATATAACTCGCCTTCAAATTCTTCATATTGTATGACTCTGAGCTTGAAATTGGCTAATGGTTACAGCAAATGCACGTGTATCACATTAGCAACTAATTTTGATTGTGTTTACTCTCAGCTTGCATTTGAAGCTCATGATGGGCAAAAGCGACGTAGTGGTGAGCCTTTTATTATCCATCCGGTGGCAGTCGCAGGAATTTTGGGAGAGCTGGTAAGGATTCAACTAACTGGAGTGTACGATATGTATACTAATCGTTTGAAACAAAAAGTCATCGAGTGTTTTGTTCCTTTTACACGTCAAAAGGCTTTGCCTAGCATTGTGTTATCGGTGCTGAGAGCATGATGCGTAATAAGTGAACTTCTTGCGTCTTCATTTTTTGTTCGACTGTTGGTACAAATGGTACTCAAATTTCTACCACAGTACCACACCTTTGTATAATTCTCAGTTCAATGCGTCCCGAGCAGCTCTGGACCCTAAGGATTTTCGCACATGCTTTTGTAACTGTGTACGAGATTATCTAAGCTTGTCAGTTGGATCATCTGTTCTCGCCCATGACCAGGGTGACAAAAACTTTTATCATGATAATATACCTTGATAATGTCCACTTGCTTGGAGGCTGTTCTGTGAAAATACCGAATAAGACTAAGAATAAGACTTTGAGACCCCTAACACTTTCAAGGACCTCAATTGATTGTTCAATGTCTACCTGGTTCCTTCCCTGTGTGGTGTGCAATTTTATCAATAGTGTACAAACAATCCACGCAACAGATTATCCTTGCACTTTGGAAATTCTTGTTCATCGTCAATGAAATCGTACATGTGATCTTACAGGAGATGGATTGGGAGACCGTTGTTGCTGGCCTCTTGCATGACACAGTTGAGGATACTGAACACGTCACCTTTGAAAGGATTGAAGAACAATTTGGAACTGTTGTACGACGAATAGTCGAAGGCGAAACGAAGGTAGCTACGCAAACTTGGTGAATTCTAAATATATGACTTACTTCATCTGAGCACTTGATCTTGATACCTCGACTTTGATTTGAATCAGGTATCGAAACTTGGAAAGATGCAATGTCAAAATTCACCGGCTTCAAGCCGTGATGTGAAGGCCGATGATCTAAGGCAGATGTTTCTTGCCATGACAGAAGAGGTATGCAAACCGCAACTGCTTTTCAACTCTACATACCGTGCTTTAATGTTGGTGGAGGCTATGTAGGTGTGGAATGCCTTAGCTCTTGTATATGTGTTTTGTGTTTCTGTACTCGGTTTGCTGGTGTTGCTCATGGTGTATATCTTTCTTGGTTTACCTTAATTTTTTTGGATTTCTCACCTTCTTACCTTGTCTTCAGGTTCGTGTCATAATAGTCAAGCTCGCGGATCGCTTGCATAATATGCGAACTCTTGCTCACATGCCCCCCCACAAGCAGGTACGTTGGGGTTCTACCAGGGAAAAGGAAGTTTGATTCTGATTCTTCCTTTTCTCCTTCTTTTCCTGCAAGTTGTCTCTGTGTCTCCCTGAGCCCTCAGTCGTTATGATATGTGCAATTCAACGACATGCTCTCCGATGCAGCTGCTGGTGAAAGACATTGGGCCCCGGATGTCATCTACCATGGCAGCCTAAGCTCATGTTGATTGGTCTCTTCTTCCATGTCTTCGCGTTAACCAACTATTAATGGGCTGTTTGAAAATGGTTAAACATTGCAGAAGTACATAGCCGACGAGACACTGCAAGTGTTCGCACCACTAGCGAAGTTGCTGGGGATGTACCGAATCAAGGTACACGTTCCGACTCTGTATTTGAATTGGTTCCTTTCTACAATACTAAGTTCGAACCGATTTCACGACCGGCAGATGGTAAGGAGTCGCTGAGGGAACTGTAGACTTGAAGGTAATGAGTAAACTTATATGAAATCCTGCATGACATTCCAGTCAGAACTCGAAGATTTGTCCTTCATGTATTCCAACGGTGAGGAATACGAACGCTTGAAGAACAGGGTCTTGATTTTGCGCAAGGAACAAGAGGAAGTACTATTGGAGGTAGAGCCTTTACTTTTCTTCGAAATGACTTTGTCTTTTTTGTTCGCTAAGTAGCGCAAGGATGATGCTTTCCGGTTAGAGCGACCTTGATCTTATCTTGAAGTTATCAAGTTCTACACATATTTTTTCAAAGAAACGATTCTTTGGAATGTTCGGAAACTGTCTTCAAGTCTGCTCTTACAGTCTTTTCTTGTATCGTAGGCCAAAAATGTGGTACTAGATACCATATTGAAGGACCAGTTCCTTAGCTACATGACCGTGGAAGTGAAGGTTTTAACGCGCTACAAAGAACTCTACAGGTATATCTGAACAATTTTCGCAGGCGATTTATGCTTGCAGTTGGACATCCCTCTTTGGTAGCCAACGGTTTTGGCCTTCCATGTTATCTTTTATGAAGCAGTATTTTGCAACCCAGTTCTGATTAGGAAGTGCATAAATGATTTTGCAATGTGCAGCATACATAAAAAAATTGCAGAGACGAAGTGCTCAGTGGATGAAATTCGCGACATTGCTCAGGTGCAGTTTCCACCTCGAACAAGGGTTCATAAACGGGAAATAGTCGTGCAAGTCAGCTAGGATGCATATTAGCAAGCCAGCGTCTAGAGAGGGACCAGGAAATATAAGATTCGTAAAGCACACATGTGTAAGGTCCATGTGCTCTTCAATTGTCCTCAACGCTTTCAAGCATCCGCACCGTACTTTTCTGAATTGTGACCTGGTTTTACCATGTTTGCAGCTGAGGGTAATACTGAAAATGAAGCCGGGTGCAAGTTTGGGCCAGCTGTGTACTGCGCAGCAGGTACTGGCTGCAATTATCTTAATTTTCTTACTTCGCAGTTCATGATTTATGGTTTATGGCATCATTTCTTCACAAGATTCAGTCCTGATATCTACCTATGCACTTATCTGCAGGTGTGCTATCATGTTCTTGGTCTAGTGCACGCTATGTGGCCTCCGGTTCCTCAGACGGTGAGTTCACTGCCAAGATATATTTTTGAATAATGATTTCTTCGGCGCAATGAACTCGAGAAGAAAAGGACTCGTCGCAAGTTTAACAAAGCCCTTCTTGCGGGATGGTTTCAGGTTAAAGATTATATCGCGACACCCAAGCCAAATGGATATCAAAGTCTTCATACTACTGTCATACCATTCGGCTCAAAAACATACTTTCCTTTGGAGATTCAGGTACTGCCATGATTCAGTCATATGATTTTGTCAGAGTTCTTGTGTTCGGAGGATGAATGACGTGAGAAGAAGTGATTCGAAGAGGAGGATCTTTACTATATCGGTGGAGTTTCACATCACTAGGTCTCGGCGCTGACACAAGCATGACATTGCCTCGATTGCCAAGCATTGATTATTTATTTTTTGCTACAGATCCGAACAGAGGAGATGGATAAGCTTGCTGAGTGGGGAATCGCCGCACACCATAGCGGAAAGGGCAACAATGATAATGATGCAAAATCAAATGGTGCATATTCTGGAAATGGGGTTCTCGTCACGAACGGCTCCACTCGCCATGGGTGGAATCAAAATCTTAATGATGCAGAAATTGCACGGAGGGTAAGAACGCCTTTTCTGTCGATCTTCCTGCATTTCCTCTTGTGTTGTAAAACTATCTACTCATTTCAAGGCAGAAGTTAATCCCACTTTTCTAATTCTAAGTAGCTCTTTTGTCACAGGTGAGTTGGTTGAATTCTATACGCGAATGGCAGGAGGAGTTTGTTGGCAATATGACATCGCGGGAATTCGTCGATACGATCACTGGGGATCTACTAGGCAGTCGTGTTTTTGTCTTCACACCCAAGGGAGAGGTAAGGTTAAGATGTATTGTCTTTAGGCTTTTCGTCGAACTCCCCCCCTCGACAGCCTACCGGAGTTATGTTTAACTTTCGTTTGCATAAATGCAGGTGAAGAACCTTCCAAAGGGTGCCACTGTTGTCGACTATGCGTACCAGATTCATACAGATGTTGGAAATAACATGGTAGCTGCCAAGGTAAGTTCTTAAGTAACGTGCTCGTTGGAGATTCCATAAGTTGCGAGTCTGCAGCCAGTGAATTCCGCAGTATTTTGAAGAGCTTGCAGAGCGAATATATCCAATCGTTTTCATGAAGTTGCTCGGCTTCTGAGGATCACCTATAACTGTGTAGGTGAATGGGAATATTGTGTCTCCAACTCACACGCTAGCCAATGCGGAGGTGGTTGAGATTGTCACTTATGAGGTGCGTAACATTTTCCGTTCCTTTGACAACGTTTCCATCTAGAGTGATACATAAAGCAGATTAGCCTGAAATCCCGCTGTGCTAAATTTTGCTGTCTTTGGTTTTTGAAGGGTGTATCTCAAAAGAAGTTGTTTGAACTTCATCGACAATGGCTACAGTTTGCACGAACTCGAAGTGCACGGCATAAACTTACCAAGGTTTTTTCTTTTCTTTAGTTCATATGACATTGTCATCGGCTCAGTATTTTGATCTGAATTAGAAGCACTCTGAATAGTGTAAATGGCTACACGGGGACATTTTATGTATGGCAAGCTGATGGTAATTTAAGTTAAATTCGGCCATATCCAGCTCAGTTGTCGCAGTTGTAGAGTATTTTCAAGAGAATGTGCTCAAGACACCACTTCGAGATGCTGTGTCGTCTGAGTCACGACGAAGTGGCCTGTTTGTACTAACACTTGCTGTGAACTGTTGCAGTTTCTCAAGGAACAAGCCGCTTTATCGGCAGTGGAAATCACAGCTGAGTCTGTGAACGACTTTCTCTCTGAGTTCGATGAGGGTGATCTAGATGTCATAGATGATGATGAGGCAGAAGGCCGTTTAGATTCCGGCTCATTCGCAAGCTCTTCAAGTCGCGGTAGATGTTCTCCCTTGAGAACGGATTCTCCCAATGGTAGAAATGTAGTTGCATACTGGTCGAAAGGATCAGGTGCAGGTAATCGTGAGCCTGGCGAAGCTTTTTCTGAATCGAAAACAACTGTCAACGGTAAACACAGCAAGCTTGTAGAAGAAATGTTTGGGAAAATGGGTAGGGGTTCCAGCAATGGCGCTGCTCTTGCAAGCTCGAGTGGAGGGAAGATAACTTTAGCCGTTATCGAGGACGAGTCTCGGTATATATTTGAGGCATGGCAAGCAGGGAGGGTGGCTATGTGGCATGGGAGTGGAGGCCGCTCTCTTCAGTGGATTAGCATCTGCTGCATGGACAGAAGAAGTACGTGTAGCATATACTCTTTCTAGGTCCATTGTTTGTACCTTAGCCACAATATGCTTTGAAGACTTCCTTTGACAGTACTGCTCTCTCTGCGTGGGATGTGGAAATACGAGTTCGTTCAGTATTTTAGTGTTGCTGATGTAACATTTTCTTGATTGTATGTCATGTTAAGCGTTTACCACAAATGTTGTAACTGTTTCAGCATAATAGTTCAGAATAACAAGGTTTAGTAAGAATGAATTATCGTTTGGATTCGTCATTTTCATCTATGTGCTTATCATAGTCAGCAACTGCGTCGCCAGTAACTTCGTAACATTCTGATCATGATCTTCGACTTCATCAGGCATGCTTGGAGAGGTGACATCACTATTGGGAGCATCTGGAATACATATTTGTGCGTGTGCGGTGAGTGTCAGTCTCGCCGGAAACGGAAACACTGTTCTCTCTTGCAGATCTTAAAAAACATGAAGTTACCAGGTAGAGTTCTATCCATATCTGACACACTTATCGAGGGTGTTCTGATTCTTGTCCCGCTTTGTGCAGGCGGAAACCGACCAGACAAGAGGACTTGGAATCATGATTTTCCACGTTGAATCAAATTTTGAAAGCCTGGTAAGTAAACTTTCAAGTATCAAATAGCAATAATAGTAATACTTGATTTCGATTGTTCTTTTGTGTCTAATGGCTTCATGGACGCTCCTTACACATGCGGGCTCGTTGTGTTCTTCTCTGAGATGAGAACAATATGGAAAGGCAGTGATTTTTTTCATCCTTTCCTTTTGAAAATCCCGTGTCTTGAATCGGCGCCTTATTCTTGCGTGGGACGCTTCTGAAACAGGTGGAGTTAGGAACGAACCTAGAAAATGTAGAGGGTATCATCAATTGGGCCATGGGCTGCAGCTGGCATCCTCCTCAAAACTCTCGACCGTATCTAAATAAACCAAGACCAAATCGGAGCACCGGGAAGAAGTTGTTGCCATAAGTTGCCATCATGCGTCAGCAAGTTATGGCTCGTGATTGTAGACACGGGCTCTATTGGTGTGGTATCTTGAGGATGAAGAACGCTCCTGATAGGCTTCAACTCAAGAGACATATCACACACAATGTAAGGTCACAAATGGGTTGAGGGACTGGTCGTGTCAGCTGCAACTTGGAATGCAACGCCGTCCAATTGTCTCTCCTCTGCCCTTAACCCATTTAGTTTGATCTTGTAGGAAGTAAGAGACCGTGGAGGAACGCGAAGTAAAGTATAGCGTCCATATTCTTCATTCTACTGTAAAGATCTCACATTCTTTTCAAACAGGTCATATGGAGGAACGCAATGGTCAAGTGAACAGAGAAGACTGACGAGCCACAAAAGTGGCCATGCTCTCTACTCATGTAGTTTTACATTCTTGAGATTCTGTCCGACTGTACGCTGTTCCGCATGGGAGCAAGTATTTTCTGTCGACTTGATCATTACTCTATATATTCCAGCTTAAACGTTCCTGTTCTGGGCACTTGATAGTTGTGCATGTCCATGTGTTTCCTGGAAGGACCACCGTTGCTGCCAACAGGCATCATCAACTAGGTGAGAACTAAGTGCTTTGCCTCTTGAAAGTTAATGTCTTGCAAGAAGTTTTTGTCAAGTTGCATCTCAACCAATATCGAACACTGGATTTCCTTGTTGGAATATGTCAAACGTTCACAACCGGTGCATGTCTGAAAATAATGAATATGTCTCACGCATTGTCTCCTTATCTGTTTATTTCGGCAACGTTGACCAGTCCTAAGCAAATGTTATTCTCAGTTGTGGAAGAATTGAGGGATTTATGCATAATTCATTTTGACATGATACAAGTGCTGTTTTAAGTGCCGTTAGTATCTCGTGCTCAGCTCAGTTATTCTAATGCCTCAGGATCGTTTGTTGACAGAATTTGACACGTCCAGTTTATGCTCTCATATGTCCACAGTTGCATTACGGAGTGAGGTTTTTTTCTCAGCTCACGACTGTTTTGTCGAATTGTCAGGTGTACTTGGGGATTGCAATCCTGAATTGAATCTCTGGTGGAATGTGGTTTCTCTTAATCTCCTGAGTGACAGCTTGCCGCGCCAGGAGCTGAGCTGAGTTGGTTTTTCGAAGACGTTCGGTCGCTGGACACCAAGATGCGGGGACTTGGAACTCAGCTTGGCCGAAGACCCCGGATGTAGCAACTCTCAGGACAGATGAGCAAATCCCAGTGTGACCTCGAACTTCAACAGTCATGTTGAGCCAAGGAGGTCAAGAATCGTCGAGCGATTATTTCTCTGTTTGGAATATCCTGAGAGACTTTTTGTGGTGGATGTTTGTGCTAGTTGGCGTCGAGAGGAGGACGAGCCAGAGCAGAGTCAGATGTGCTCGGTGATCGTTTCTTAGCGCTGTGTTGGATATGACCCGTAGCTTGGGAGTTCAGTCACCTCTATTCATGGTTGTGCGAGAAACGTAATGTTCTGTAGGCTAGAGTTCCCGTGGTTAGAGGTTGAGATTTTATTGGTAGAGGCAACAAAGATTTGCTGCACCTAGAGTTTGCCCTTTCTTCAGATTCACGGGGCAATACCTGGGCAGCTACTTAAGCAGAGAAACTTTCAAGAGCGGGCGTTGTAGATTATGACATTATTTCAGTGACGAATCAAGAGGACATAGGTTAGAAATTTAGTAATGTTTACTCCTCAATTTACTCCTTGCTGGAGGTCAGTGTGTAACCTCGAGAGTGAAGATCCCGCCGTTCTACCACGGTGAAGTTGTAAAATTTACTGCTGGTCCTCCACTGCCCTTCAACCCTGTTTACCTTCCGTTCTTCTTCATCTTGCAGCACTTCACTTGTTTCGAAGTTCAAACCCATAAGTTCCTGGATGCAATATCAGCATTGCTGAACTTTTCAGGTTGTGTAGCTCGATTGCTTTCCTCTCAATTGCTCTCGAGACTCGGCTCCGACGTGTGAAGTGCCAATTTTTTCGCGCACGAATTCTGCTTTTCACAATCATTTATCACCTCATCTGGTGGAACAACCGATTGTGCGTCCGAGACCGAAATCGGCTGCCCTTTAGCTCATCGAGTGACAGCATCAGCCACTGCTTGCGCTCTGTAAGATAACATTCTCCTCTGTCCTCCACTCCTGTTCGACTTTTGATTACATGTACTCGTGCCAAGTGCATGCATCCGTTGGACTCATTTATAGCAAGCACTTCCGTTCACTTGAAAAAAGTGCTGTCGGTTCTAAACTTAGGTCTAGATTCAACCAAAAGTCTCCTCGAAGCTCGACTATCGTTTCCTTTCTCTCATGACACACTCAAACACGGAATTCCGTTCCTTGCCCAAGCTTGGCCCAACGATGGCATCCCCAGTGTACATTTCCTTGTCCGAGTCGGAGTAGCGCAATGTCGAACAATGAAATTCGGAAACAGGAGTGAAATAGTTATGATCGCGAGGGGACTAGACTCCACGAACAATGTACTTCAGTCATCGTCGTCAAGACAGCGTCCTCCACAATTGTCACTTGCTTCGCTGTCTGCACGACGCGGAGCTTCCCGAATTCCCTCGTGTGGAGTTGCAGCGCTCGCCGTCCTGACGGTGATGTCTCTTTCAGAGTTTCGAAGCGAGACGAGAAGGGCCGACGAATAATTACAGGAGCCCCTAAATTCAGACGACCGCCGCTGACAGCTCTCGCGAGGACGAGCGTCGCGCGATGCCCTCTAGGGAGTTCATGCCATCTCGAAGCGATGGACGAAACAGAGCGGAATTGAATGTGCAGGCGATGCCAACAACGAAGGAGCGGATGTCGTTTGTGACAAGATCCAGTCGGTGACCGAAATTCGGTTAGAAGCCGTGATCCCTATTTACCGCGAATGAGTTCCTTCCCCATTTGCTCGCAGGTCGAATTTCATCTACGATTCTGCGAGGGACGATCTCAGCATCTTACGACGTTGTTCGGGCAAATCGGAGGTCCGCGTGAAGCGAAAGAGTCTTGTCGCCATCGACGTGCGAAGTGTGTCGCTATGGGAGAGGTCAGTATCGGAAGCTGTGCCCGTCCGTAGTCCTCAGGAAAAATTTCTCTTGTGTGAATGGATGCTTACTGAGTTTGACATAGTCTCGATTCGATGGAGGCGAATTCACCTGTCGGCTTCCGTAGTGCCATCGACTGCTGCTCTACGAGCAATTGTAGGACAATATCGTTTGCTCGTGCCTCTATTTACGCAATTTGACATATGCTCGTTGCCGTTCGAACATCGTGTCGATCTCTTATCTCTCTTCTTCCAAGAGGCCGGGATCTCGTGAGAGTCCAATCGTTCCAGGCAGGTGAGGTCTCTGGTGAAATCCGAGAGCGAAATCTTCGGTGCGAGTGATGGGCCTCGTGTTACTCTGAACCCTGATCGTGTGATCGCTTCAAGAACCTTCACCTTTCGAGCAGAAGGTCATGTTTTACATCTCTGTCATCAACAGAAATAAACGCGCGAGTCTACGGAATGTTCTCGACCCTTTGTTCGACGTCACGCAAACGCTGTGCATGTGAGACGAGCGATCGACGGACGTGCAATTGCCCAGGAGGGCAAACTCACACGATAGAACCAACTGCTGTCGATGAGCTCGATTTTTGAGATTCTCCTTGTGCCTCAGATCTCTTTCGACTCGTTTTTGATGAATCTCAGTCAATACTTGCGATAGTTGTTGCCATGTACGCCATTGCGAATGGATTAGGCTGAAAGGGCGGCTTTGGTACCATCTTTGTGAGGTAGTGATAGAGGCGAAGGCATACTTGAATGTTGGCTCTTTCATGTTGCAGGTTCACATCGAGGGAACACAGATTGCTCGATAATGTATCACATGGGCCCCCTGGGAGCTTCAAGGTCTGTCCATTGCTACCGCTGATTGTGGTCGAGTCTGAGTTTCTCGAGCGAGATTGCCAACCCTGTAGCGAAGGCCATGTTGACTGTCCGAAGAGCCGTGATCGAAGGACGAGCATTACTTTCTCGGAGGCTAGCGGGATTTGGTAATGAATCGACCAGCCACGAAATACGAAGCTTCTCACAGAACTTGAGAAGTTTCAGCCGCAAATCTGGTGATGACTTCGTTGATGACTTCAACAAGGTGAAGACCTCCACTTAACTCAAAAGCTGGAGGATTTGTGGTCACTAGTCTTTCAAGGGAGGTGTAAAATTTTGGACAAACAGCTGATCTGATGAAACGCGGTTCATGTGGTCGTGCTTTGTTCGTTGTCTCAGGAGCTGGAGGTTGTTTTCGGGCGATCCCTAGACAGCCCTTCCCAATGGGGAGAGCTGGTAGCGAGTGAGAATCTGAATGCTGGTCTGTCGATGCATCGACAGTTCTCCGATGACGATCTCTCATCAGAATCGAGCAATTTAGATGAGGGTGTTTTCAGGCTGAACGCTCTCACTCATGTCGATGGATCTGGGAAAGCCTCGATGGTCAATGTTGTGGAGAAGCAGGACACAAAGCGGGTGGCAGTTGCCTCGGGTAAGGTGTTCTTGGGCCCGACTGCGTTCCAGCTGGTGGCTGAAAACAACATCGCCAAGGGAGATGTGCTGACAGTGGCCAAGATTGCTGGGATTCAAGGAGCCAAGCAGACCAGCAGCCTGATCCCTCTTTGCCACAACATACTGCTCAGTGGGGTGGATGTGTCCCTGACTTTAAACGAGCCACTCCACGCGGTCGACATCAGAGCAGAAGCCACTGCTGCGGGCCCGACTGGTGTGGAGATGGAAGCTCTGACGGCAGTGTCTGTTGCCAGCCTCACAGTTTATGACATGTGCAAGGCCGTATCCAAGAACATCAGAATTGGCAATGTGCAGCTGGAGTCCAAGACCGGTGGCAAGAGTGGAGACTGGTACAGGGACTGAGTAGTGTGGATATCATCTTCTTGCCTTCCTCCTGCTTCTGCTTCTGCTTCAGGCCCACAGGCAGCGTCCGCCATGGCCTCGTTGTCGTTGTTGCACGTCCTGCCAGTGTGTGTAGCTTAAATGTACACTTTGTGAGGAAGACTATGTCGACTGTTTTGGCACCTCCCAGTGTTTCACCCGCCGGTTTCATCCTGAAGGTCCGCATAAGTCCTCCATAGTTGGTCCAATTCCACGCGATTCCACTCGTTTGAAGCTAGTCAGGAAGAAGATCAAACTATTCAGCTTTACAGGAACATGCATTACATGGAGTCAGGCAATTGCTAGTTTTCTTCGTAGTCAGTGTAGAAGAATGGCAAGGTCAAGAAGGCAGCTGAGAACGGGCTAGTTCCGCGGATTGGTTCGAGGTTCTCAATCTTCTAATACAATAATCGTGCAGATGTCTTGCCTTCTATTTGTGTCATCTAGTCTGTGTGTCAAGGTTAGTGATTTGACGGGAGGTTCTCCCGATCACGATCTGCTGCTTGCTACTCTCGTAACGAAATATATTGCAGCGGGTTATACAGCTTGTGAGCAGTGACTAGAATGAGGACATTGTTCTGACACTGCTTCAGCAGTGCGCATGGGCAGACGAAGAAGGAATTCATGCAAAGCGGAGTTGCTCAGAGAATCTGGACGGTGGTTATGCAAGACAAGTTGGAATGGAGTTCGTAATAGTCTACGATGGCTACAGTCCATCTTGTCATACTACCCTGAAACAAGTTGACTCGATTACTAACTCGACAGACTACTAGGTTGCAAATGGATTTCCCCTTCGTGCAAATAGGGATCGATCTCCAGTCACACCTGTGGAGAATACCTCTCCCAACTGGGCTTAAAAGTTGTATACAGCCTCGTTACATTCTGTCATTCAGACACAAGCCCTTGCCTCTTGTGATCCTTCAATGGCGAGAAATCCACACCAGAGAAAAATGTTGTTAGCATCCTTGTACTCGATAATGCGCAGTTAAACGTGGGAAGGGAGCATGGTCGGTGGCCACCCGAAATTCTCACATCGCGAAGTGGCGGTCCTATCCGATTTTCAATGCCAGGACGACAAGGAAACCAACAAGGTCCAAGAGGTTTGACAGACCTTCTTGTCTCTAGTCGCTGGTCTGCCTTGCGTTCCAGCCCAGACAGGGCCCTGAACTGGTTATCGATAAGCCGAGCCTTGTCAGACGAAGCAAGTGCCAGTGCCAAAGCAAGCAGGTGTGGCCGAATCGACGGTTTGCGTCTTGATTTGCGTGCGAGACGGAGGTACGCTTTGGTGACAAAACGCGACTCCCCAAGTAGCATCACGTTCCTCGAGGAGAGAGAAGAGAGCACGGAGTGCAGCAGCTTCACCTCACCGCCCGCCGTTTGAGGCATGACGAGATTCTCCGAGCCCACCTCGCGAGAACCGAAATTCGACCGAACTCTGAAGCAGAATCGGAGGCCGAAGAGTGGACTCGGAGTGCAATCAGACGAGCAGACGAGCAGAAAAGCAGAAAAGAGACGCAGGAGCCATCAACAAACACGAGGGGAAGCGCGTGAGCTCCCCATTCTGTAGGGTCCGGATCGATCGATCGATGCTCGCAACATGAATTGTGCTGGAATTTGTCGTGGCGAGAAGTCACTCATTCACGAAAGCGAAAGCTGGACGAGGTCGCTTTGCCATTGCGAGGGGGGCTCCACCGGCGGAAGCCGACCGCGCAAGCTATCGGAACGTTGACATTCGAACCTCGCTCGCTCGCTCGCTTCGGGTCGCGGTGACTCTTCGGGCGCGTGATGAGTAAGCACTCCACTCCACCGGTCAAATGCAGTGGCCGCGGGTCGCCCGTCTTCCGGGCCCAGCACGTAAAACCAAATCACTGCGGCTGCTTCCCGTGTTCCAAAGCTGAGACCGCGAGTCGCTGACCCCGACCCCGACCGCGACCGCGACCGAGTCAGTGACCGAGGAAGAATGCTGAGCGGGCAAGAAAGAAGAAAAGCGAAAGGGAAGCGGAGCCGCCCTCGAGCCAGCGACTGAATCATGCGACGATGATGGGCATGGGGCATGGGACATGGGACATGGGACATGGGCAGGACATGAGGCATGGGGCACGGTGCAGGGGGCGTTGATTTTTACCCGGTGGTGAAGTCGGTGGAAGTCGTTGTTACGATTGGTAATTAACGGGCGGGAGAGGGAGGACCAAGAAGGAAAGCGCGCAGGAGCTGCTGTTTCTTGCGGAACGGGAAGGAAGGCCCGGGGGCAAGAAAGTGGAGCGAGAGAGAGAGAGAGGCAGCCAGAGAGTCGGATTGGCGAGCAATTGCGCTGCACGATGCGCGAATGCGGTGGCGACCGAGCGAGCCATGGGCGGCAGGTGCGACTCTCTCTTGGCAGCGGGTGAATCGCTCGCTCGCTTCTTCCAGAGGTGAAGCTTCGGTTCACTTCGGTTCGCCTTTTGAGCGTGACTGAACGTGCTGTCATCGTGGTCGGGGAGGGAACGAGGGAGAGAGCGAGAGAGGGCCACCTTCGCTTTCTTTCTTTCTTTCTTTCTTTGCTTTGTTTTTTGGTGGATGAGTGAGTGAGTGAGCGCGAGCTAGCGACGACGAGGAGTATTTCATGGTGGAACCGGAGAGGCGATTCAGGGGTTGTTGGGAGCTGTGATCGGTAGGAGGATTGGCTTTTCGGCTGAAGGAAGCTGAAGGGAGCTGAAGGGGAGCGCGGGTTGGCTGTGATTGATTTTCCGGAAGAAATCGCGAGGTGAGTCCCTTTTGGTTGCTTGAGTTTGGAGTTTTGTTTTGAGTTTCGAGGCTGTGAGTGAGTTTGGTTTCACGAAGGAAGAATTGGTTTGCATTTGGGGGAGTGAATTTTCGTAGTTGGCGAGGATTGTGGATAATTGGATTCTCGGAATTGGTTGTTCATGATGGAAGAATCTTGGGGTTGTTAGAGTAGACGATGGAAGGCGTGGCCGGCCGATTCTGAGAGGAGCTGAATCGGCGATGGAACGCGCTTGGGTTTTCTCTGTGTGGAATCTCTTTTGGCCAATTATGATGATGGTTTTGTCGTGTGAGAAAAGGCGCAATTCCGCTGGCTCTCCCGACACAAGGTCCCAGTCATTCCTAGTCATTGCATCCGAGGTTGCGTGTGCCACCACAGGGCCTGGTTCAGAGCTAATGCCCAGATTCTGCGGTTCCATCATCTCTGCCACTGCGCGCCGGTGCATCTTTCTCAATCATCACCGAGCTCCGACCGCCCTGCCCGTCGCCCTCGCGACCTTGTAATGCCATACATGCGCAAGCCTGAATTGATCGTTGCTCTCGACGCCATTAAAAGCGTGGAGGACGAGCTGATGATGTCGATCTTGAGATTGACAATGGCACAAGCACATCCCGTCATTAAACTCTAGCTGCCGAGGGGTTTTCCTGTCTGAGGCAGGGATGGGCATTCGGACGGTCAAGTAGAGCTGAAATCGTGCGAGTCTTGAGGTCGGTCCGGTGGTGTTCTAACGCAGCGAGCGCCGGTGGTTTTGATCAGATCCACCATGGCAGAAACGGAGCCGATGAAGAAGGCACTGATCTCCGGCATCACAGGGCAGGATGGATCGTACTTGACAGAATTCCTGCTCAGTAAGGGATACGAAGTGCACGGAATCATCCGGCGGTCGTCGAATTTCAACACGCAGCGCCTCGAGCACATCTACATCGATCCGCACAACTCGAGCGCGCGCATGAAGCTGCACTACGGCGATCTCACAGATGCCTCGGCTCTGAGGAAGTGGGTCGACAGCATTTGCCCCGACGAAGTGTACAACCTCGGAGCCCAGTCTCATGTCGGCGTGTCCTTCGAGAACCCTGACTACACGGCCGACGTCGTGGCCACCGGAGCTCTGCGTCTGCTCGAGGCCGTGAGAACGCACATCGAGACCACTGGCAGGAAAGTGCGCTACTACCAGGCCGGATCCTCGGAAATGTATGGTGCCACTCCGCCTCCGCAGGACGAGAACACCGTCTTCCATCCCAGAAGCCCTTACGCCGTGTCCAAGGTCGCGGCGCACTGGTACACCGTCAACTACCGCGAGGCGTATGGCCTGTTCGCCTGCAATGGCATCTTGTTCAACCACGAGTCGCCCCGGAGAGGAGAGAATTTCGTCACCAGGAAGATCACCAGAGCCGTGGGCAGGATCAAGATCGGCCTGCAGAAGAAGCTGTTTCTCGGGAACCTCAAGGCCTCGAGGGATTGGGGCTTTGCCGGAGATTACGTCGAGGCCATGTGGCTCATGCTGCAGCAGGACAAGCCCGACGACTATGTCGTGGCCACAGAGGACTCGCACACCGTCGAGGAGTTTTTGGAGGAGGCGTTCGGGTACGTGGGACTCAATTGGCAGGATTACGTCGAGATCGACCCCAGGTACTTCCGGCCGTCTGAGGTCGACAACTTGCGTGGCTCGTCGGCCAAGATCAGGGAGCTTCTGGGCTGGAAGCCCAAGGTGGACTTCAAGCAGCTGGTGGCCATGATGGTCGAGTCCGATTTGGAGAGGGCCAAGCGCGAGAAAGTGCTGGCCGACAATGGTTACATTGCTTCTCATCAACAGCCCTGAACAGCAACGGATGCATTGTTCCATTTGCTGGCTCCAGGTCTTCTACCTGATCGATTTTTTCACATTCCGAACAACATCTCCGGTTTAGAACTCAGTACAGAGCAAGGAATTGCAACGAGGTGGCCATGAGTTTCCAGTCTGTCCCTGCGGACGTCCACTGTACAGACAGACAACGCGCTCGATCCGATCGATTGTCAGTGAAGTTAGCAGACGGAAGAGAGAGATAGCGAGCGAGAGAGAGAGAGCAGCAGCAGCCGTGCAGATTCTCTCGATCGAACGGAACAGCCCGTTCGGATCTGCCCGTGCTTCGAACCTGATGAAGATTGTGACACCTTGAGGGCTGTGCCTTCATTAGTAGACGCTTCGACATCATTCACCAACATTCAGCTTAGAGGGGAGCAGAGACAAGCAACCAATAGCAGAGTTTGAGTGAACATATTTTTTACCTTGCAGAACTTATTGCCACATTGTGTCTAAGGCAGAGTTTCTGCATTTATTCTTTATTATGTCAGGAGGTCTTGTCCTCTAAGATTCAAGCTCATGTGAGCAGTGTGCCGAAACATTTGCATCTACACCCGTGTACTTTCCATATTCTGTGCCATAAACACAATCGTCTCAGGTGTACTCTGTCTGGGATCGTCTACCAGCCAAACTCTCCCAACTATTCAGGATTACGTGCATTCTCCGACAACCGCTGAATGATTTTTTTTCTTAAACGTCAGCAATCTAGCCTCTTCGTCATGGTGAAAAAGCCTCAATCAGACTGCACGCAGATACGAAAATCATCACTCACGTCAGGACCTTACGTTGCAATGCTTTAAGGGTGAGCTCCTGGTGTGACGTGTCCGTAGGCGTATGTATTCCGATCCGAGCATTAACCATGTAAGATCCGAACCAGATTGAACTCTAATTTGAATATGACGGTTGTTCAGAAGCTTGAGCACTTTCATTTGGTGATTGCGGTTTTCAGGGATTTCCAGAGAGCAAAACGCTCCACTGTTCGTCGAACAAGATGATGCAACTGCAGCAACAGGGCACTAACAGGTCGGAGTCACGAGAGTCGACTGTCGATACCATGCTCTTCAGAATCGTCGATGCTCTGGAATTTTAAGATACACCAAGTACGGAAACAAATAAAGTAGATGTTTGACGTAATGAAAAGAAGAGCTGAATTTCATTATGATACACTTACGGTCTACATCCACTAGTGACAAAAGCAGCGAAGCTCTACCTGAGTACTGCGTATCTCTGCGTCAACAGTTCTGATCAGTTGATGATCTGATGCCTGAAGTTTATATAGCTCCTAAACGACTATAATTGCTCACCTGCTCCCCTGCCCACAAAACGTGGGCAAAAATGCATAATACAACATTGTGTCCCTAAAACTAAGCCATCTACAGCTGCCCACGGAAGTATCACAGCTCAGTAACATTTGAAGCTTCGATCTGATCATTTACTGTTTATCAGTGATTTTGGGCACCGCCAGTTAAATTGACATATGACGATTCCAAGCATACGAAATTTGTTAGACAATCAGCATTTCTATCGTCCCGAACTAACTATTGGTCGGTAGGCACTTCCTGTAACTCCTGTTGCTCCGCTTCACGTACTGGTCGATTCCTAGGACTGCGGTTGCCTGCCATATCCTTGTTGGTGAATATATATAATGCTTCTTCATTCTCGAAGCTTCCAAAATCTTCGTCTGGAACCAGTTGGTAATCTTCTTCTTTGAACAGGCCTTGCTTATCTAATTCTGCAAACTGTTCCCACCCCAAGTCTTCCATGTTATACAGGGCCAATTTGCACAATCACCGTCTCAATCACCGTCTCAGTTCGTTTGATTCAAAAGTACCAAAACCCTTTCTCTAATGGCACACACAACAAACACACCTCCACGCTCCAGCTCTTCTTCCCAAAAGAAACTTAAGGCCAAACGCTGGTTGTGACCGCTTACCTCTTTCACGGCTTTGACCTCGAGTCCGACGTTGATAACTACACCCGAAATCACGGCTGCTAAAGCCATGAACACGGATACTCCGAGAGCTTGGACCACCGTAATCCAGTAGGTGTCCGCGGGCAGAGCATTTGTCGAAAAGGTCATCCTTTTCCTCTGTCCGCTTAGCAATTGAGGTCTCCTCGCGGCCGCTTTCGTCCCAAAGGCGCCAGAAGATGGAGAAAATCCGGCCATTTTCAAATCACAGTCCGAAATCTACAGCCAAAGTGACAGAATTCGTTTGTTTCCGGGTACGGCCTTGAATTCGGCAATTCAACAATCCAATAAAATCTCCAAGAACATGGAACCTAGAAACAAGCTACGAGCTCAAGACTCAAGACTTGGTTGCAACATTCCTCGTCCACTAGAGCTCGGGCTCGCAACGCTGGAAAAGAAAATCGAAGCGGAAGGGAATGGAAGGGAAGACCGACTTCAAGGCCGAACCTGGAAACAAACAATTTTCACCACATTGCAAGCGACGCGGGGTCGCCGGAGCTGCACGAGAGCGCACCCGAAGGCTCTCAGCTGCTGAGACGCCGTCGAGGCCATCGTCGCCATAGTCGCGACTCCGCGAGGGCTCCTCCCGCAGCAACAACGAAAAAAACAATCTGAGCAGCAGCGAGAGCGACGGGTCCAATTCAATCCGCGGCCTGCAAGAATTGCGCGCGCCGACAGCAGCCTGACGTTACGAACAAGAACCAGTGCTCGAGGGAAGCACACGCTCCTCCGACGCTCCTGCGACGCCAAGAGCGTTATGATCCATACCAGTTGAAAGTTGAATCGGAGGATGTCGTGGGCCCCACACCTCCCCCTCCCCTCCGCGCCAGCACAGTTAACTCCGCTACACAGTGGAGCTCGCGTACGCCGTGCTTTTCTACTGCGTCCACGACGTGGTGTCTGCCGCTTCTACGCGGTCGCCACTGAGGTCCTCCAATTTGGCGGCTGCTGCTGCTGCTCGAGTGATGCGCTCGGTGCTGACAGTCGGGGATTTCGAGGAGACGCAACACATGGCGCTGCGGACATCGGGCCCGGAGGCAAGAGCAGGGCGAGGTTTTCGATTGGTTTTCTTCGAGAAATGCGCGAGGAGGGGAGGGGAGGGGAGGGGATGAGTGAGTGAGTGATTGATTGATGGATTGATCGATCGATTGATCGGTTTGTTGGTTCGGCCGGAGGGTTGCGGAGCGATGGGGCGGACTGTGGTGGGAGACGAGAGCCAGTTGGATGCTCAGGTGGATAGCATCTTCCGGTCGGGTTGTTCGGTGCAGGTGATTATTTCGGAGCTTCTTCTCGATGGATATTTGTGTCTTGTGGAGCAGATTTTTATGCGGGCTCAATGCTGGGAGGATCACGATTCGGAGTTGGGTGTGATTGACTTGGAGTTGAAGTTGACAGAGCGATCTGCATGGATTGGTTCCATTTTTTGAGGGGACGAGTAGTAGCTTAATGATCGCGGAATTGACTTTTGCTCGAGTCACTACGTAGAATTCGGTTCTAGGGACATGTTCTTGCCTTCCGTGTCCCTTCAATGTACTTCTGCTCTGAATCAAATCAGCAGAACTTCGGGCGTCTATTCTCGGAGGAGTTTGTTTCCCCCCGTGAGTTCTGACCTAGCGTTGTCTATTACAGGTTGGGCTTCTGGTTGGCAAATTAGGCACGGGCTCTTCTCGCGATCTGGTGTTCGCACTTGTTCCAACTCCACAGAAAGATGGTGAGGAAGCTGCGAGTCTGGGCCCTGGAGATCCAAAGGGACCGAAGGATGCTGGCTCAAAGAAGGGAAACAAGGGGAAGCCTGCCCCCGATGGCGTTCCGATTCACATAAGCACTGATTGGGTTGCTGAGCATGCTCGACAGGTGGTTGTCATTGCATAATGTGTGCAAGCCAGCCCTTAAATTCTTACCAGGCAGAGTTTTACAGTTGGGGAGTTTTTATTTCTACAATTAATACAATGTTCACTATCTCAATCAGTTTGGGTAGTGAATTGTTTCTTCTCATGGGTACATACTTATCCTTCAAGACTCGCAGGTTTCAAGGATGCTGCTGGGAGGAATACACGTAGTTGGTATTTACATATTTTCTAGTGAAGGATCATTCAAGAGCTCGTTGGCAACCCTTTGGAAGGTCAGTTGACATTGACTGCTGTTAAGACTGTATATGAAACTGCTGAGGGGAACCGGTGGCTTTCTTGTAAGTTCTAGTTCTAGTTTCTGTCACGTAATGGTTTTCTTAGGAGTAATGTGATTGGAGCAGTTGCAATCCTGGGCAGGCAGTGACGGCAGTTGCAGCAGTAGTTCAGTCTGCCAATGAAGGGGATGCGTCTGAGTACCTTCTGCTTCACATAGCTTCCAGTCCGCGGAGGTATGTTTGTCTTAACACATCTCATTTCCCGGGTTAGGTACGCTGTGGAACTGCAAAGAACTGTCAGAGAGTTCTACTTCTCAGTGTTTCAGATCACCTACTCTCCGCTACTTTCATAGTTCTTGGAAGATTGTTAGGATCCAGATTTCATATGTTGTAGGGGATGTAGCCGTATGTCATATTCAAAAGTAAATCTGTTGTCAATATTTATTAAGATTGTCATTGTGGACAGATTATCTTGTCGAAGTTGCCCTGGCAATGCATCGTTCTCAGCTACTACATTACGTCCATGTGACTGGAGGACTGGAAAAATTCTGAACAATCTTCAAGAGTTTTCATGCTCATATACTGTTGACATAAGGTATTGACGCATCATCCTTAAAACAGCCTCTCCTGTGAGCCGCAATTACTATGTTTCAGTCATGCCTAACCTTTCAGCCATGAAAAGCTTGGTTTCCTCTCACGTCTATTATCCATCTTCTACTCTCCCACTTCTAGTCTGTTCAGATATCTGTGCAGGTCCTGGTCCATGAACGCCGCTGCTCTATTTCCTTTTGTTGCTCTGAGAGATGCCAGCTCGAATGAATGTCCACGTGACCTTTGCGTGAATAATTTGAGATTCACGCAAATTTTACGTCCTCACATATTGCGAAGCGAAAAGAAGTGCTTTGATGACAGCCTTGTGATTCTTAAGATTGATGAGAAGTGGAAACAAAGAGCGTTACAAGATGCGCTTTACACAGATGCTTGTACAAGTTCAATGCATTCTGATGTCTCGCTGTTAGACATTAGCTCTGTATTGCTGAATACCTAGTCTCTGCCCAGTCTTCTGTACTTGTATATGGCAATGCCCTGCCTTTATCTTCGACTGGCTTTTGAACTCAAGGTCAGCTGTTAGTCTTTGTTTAGCAGACTTTTCATCATCTTGGTGGCTAACGATCAGGTTGACATTGCAAACTTGCACCGTCTCATGTATGACCTGATTGAGTGTTACGCGTATACACTCTGTTTACTTTTTTTTTCGATCAGAGTGGTCTCAGAGTTCCTGGTCTGAAATGTCATTCGTTTGTGAATCAACATGAAAAAGTTTCAATATTTATCGTGGAAACGGAACAAACGCAGTGAGCTTGTAGAGATAACAACGCTTACCAGAAACTATTCTGTGTGTACATTGCAGGTATCCAGTGGTCGTAGATCAGCCCACAAAAAAGTTGGAAAGCCTGAGGAAATATTTGTACTCTGCAATTGCCGACGAAGCTAAGCGTCTCCAGACGGCTCAGGCTATCGTCGATGGCTCCTTGGTGAGTATAATGCCCATAAACTATTCACTTCCCCACTTTTTGTGGCGAAACTGAGCAACTTTACTTGCCTAGCTCTTATGCTTATAAGCTGGGTATGGAAACTATATTGTGCACTGCACTACGCTCATATATAATTCTGCACGTGCAGAATGTATGTTGGAAGTCGTATCTTACACGTGCTACTCAGGACGCGAGCGAGTCTCTTGAAGTATAATGACCTAGTCGGGAGTTGATGACAAATTTTATATTGCTTCCAGGCACAATCCGACAGTGTTTTAGGCGCAGGAAGTCCTGTCCATGAGGTGGAGTTTATTCAGCCACTTGGTGGACGTGGAGTCCCAGGATGTAAGTAACTCCTGTCTTTGTCTGCCTCCTCATAGACAATTGCAGTTTCAAACTTCTTACGTTTCTGATTGAAGTCACCACGTCGTTCCACCTGTGTTGCAGCAATTTGCAACGGCATGAAAAGTAAAGGCAAGGTTCTGTTCAAAGGAGACTTGCATGCTCGAGCTTATGGGATTGTTCGGGAGCCTCTTTCTCGCGCCGTTGCAGATTTGAAGGTATCACGTAGTAGTTCTTACCTTAGTTTGTTATGGTCCTGCAGAAGTTGCTCAACCTAGTAAGCTTTGCACAATTTAAACCTGATGACAGGATCGAGGCCACAGATTCGGATTCACCTTTCTAGCTATACTGCTCCTACCGTCGGGTGGATATTGGTATGCGGAGAAAGAGGCATTGTGATCACACCGTCGAAACTTGTCTTACAGGGAGATATAGTGGCCAGCTTAAAGTCTAGACTGGAGTTACTTGTTGACGAAGCGGAAGAAGCAGAAGAGGATGCTAGAATGCAGGAGCAGGATGCGGATTATTCACCACCACCCGAAACGTTACTCAGCAGTCAACTGAGGTGATGCAAATGCCTATCACTTAGGGCCATGTTAAGAATCAGCCTCACAATCACACTTTGGTATATAGGGAGCAATACAAACCACTGCTTTTGAAATCAACCAGAGTCACGAGAAGTTATCATATCTGACTTCGTCATTCTGTGTTTTGAACAGCTTGGATGTCAAGGAGCATAGTTTCGCTATGCCCAAGAGGGTTCTGGTTCCATGGCTTGAGGGAGCCATGATCTGCGACTACATGCTTCCAGACGAAAAACTTTGGGTAAATGCTTTGACCTTCGCGCTGCAAAACAATATCTTGTGCCGTGCTTGCTTTAAGTACATCTTGTCTTTACCACTTTCTAGATGGTTTTACTGCTATTCGTCAGGATTAGAATCCTGGATTCTAATCCTCGCCAGGATTCTAATCCGACAGTCGAGAGTCAGCTAGAAAATTACTTACTCGTACATGTCGGGACAAGTAGGAAGTGGACTGAAAGTGCATGAGGTCGTGCAGGATGTGCAAGAGCGATGTATGGATCTCTTTGGGATGGAACAGACGATGGAGATTACATCGGTCATTGAACCTGAGATTCTGGGAGTAGTTCCAGAAGTCATTCTCTCAGTCCCGGCACAAACGATACAAATTCCTAGAGGCAATGCCTTAAGTGCAAATGTGGATCTGAAGACTAAGGAATCAATGGCTGTCAAGAAGGAGATTCCAAGTTTCATTTATTCATTCTTATTTGCTTTTGCTGCTCTGACACTTGTGATAGCCATTCTCTTCTCCCGCTTTTATACGCAGAAAGAATAATCTTGCTTGGAAGATCAAACATAACACTAGTTTTCAAATCTGGACGTCCTTGGTGCCTTCATTCTTGCACGTCGATCTGGGATTGAGTCGCATTGCGTTCAGTGTTCCTATCCTCCAAATTCCAAGACTATCTTGCAAATAGGAACCCTAAGGAATGGTACGTCGTAGAAAGTAGTCAATAATATTTTTAGGTTGAATATCCTAGTCATTTATGAATGAGCACTTTCGCATCTGTATTCACCAAATAATAAATTCCTTTTTCTGGGTACAGTAAGTTCAGATCTGAAACTGAGTTACCTCAAGCCTTCAGCTAGCTAGTGTCGGGATGAGAGCTCTGCTTGTGTTATACACAATTCTTGCACGTTTCAATCATGGAGTGAGACCAAGTCCATGCCCAATATTGTTTCGACGCGTGCAATCAGTTTTCCGTCATGGACGCTGGACGTTGTATCTCCGTTCTATCTCCGTGTAAGACGCAGTCAAAACAAATGCCAACAACTTCGTGAGAGCGGTCGACTGCAGCTGTGCCCCAAAAGTGCGTTGTCAGAGTGAAGGTCGATGTGACGGTGGGTTGCAGAGTCGCAGGAGGATATGCTGCCTTTGTCGATGTTTCGGTTCGAAACCCCCACGATAACCATCTTCAGTCTGACCGCTCTGGCAGAGGACAGGAGAGTACTCAACTCTTCGGTGAGTCATTGGGCACTCTGGATGCGAGATCACTCTCATGGTTCACTCCAATGAGTTGGGGCGAAAGCGCAAGGCCGTGAGCAACGCACGAGAAAGGGTTTGCAACTTGTGTGCATGTGCGAGGGACGTCGTGTGACGCTGGGTCGTGGTCTAGGAACTGACTTACTGCGAGGGCAGAGATGGTGGTGCAACTCCTTTTAACAGCTCGGTCTAACGAGGCTGACACTTGCGTGTTGACTCAAACTTTAAAAGGGAAGGCCAAGTAGCAACTTTCTGGGCCTCGTGTTCTGTAGACAGCTTTGTTCGAGCTCGGCAGGAGGAGGCTGTCGACTGACTGTCGAGAGCAGACTTACAATGTCAACGCCACCGAGTGAGTGACAGCATGAACCTGCCCCAAAGTCGACACTCTTCTTCAGTGGGCACAAACCTCCGCCCTCGAGAATATTCAAAGTCCATTGCAGGCTGAAAAGCCTACAACTTCTTCAAAGGCCCATGGCCCGGTCCATCCTGTCCTCGCATCATAACCACAATCTTCGTCCCGTACACAAGTGCGTCCCTCGCCGGATCTCAGGATACTCGACGGGAAAGGAGCTGATGGATGGGAAGGCGGGCATCGGCAGCGTCATCTTCCCTCTCCATCAACGAAGGGCACGCTTTTGGAGTGAGCGAAAAGGCCGAATGATGACGATGCGGAGCGCCTCCCTTCTAAAAAAGCCATCCTTTACTTCTTCATGTTTCTCACTCAAGCCATCCTTCGCCTTTGATGAGGACGAGATAGATGCCATCGATGCTGGCTAGTTGATCAGTCTCCGAATCCGCACAAAGCCGGTTCGTCGTGGCGTTGCTGCTTTTCTGGGAAAGCGTCCGCGGACAACTTGCAAGACAGGCCAGGCCGATCGGACTGCTCGATCGAATAGCATTGCAAATCCATCCGCTTTTGGAAAGAAGTGTGGTAATCCACAACCAGACAAGATCAGCATAGCCCGTGCTTGCTGGGGAACACGATCTCTTCTCTTGCCGGCCACCAAAACCTGTTCGTAATCCGGATTCCAAGTTCCGAGCACAGTGCCAAAGTCAGCCCACATCTTGAGGACGAACGAGGGAGACTAGGGAAGCCTAGCTGCCTCGTCCTCATCCTCGCTCCGATTTAGTTAATTATAGTAAGCAGAGCTCAAATCTGGACTAACCCGAAAATACTCTCCTCTCTGTTGGATCCATCTTCTTCTCCATGGTGTATATGAAAATTGTGCGTGCTCTCTAATTGTGGATGAAATGCAGGCGTGCCTGAGGACGGGAGCGAGATACGCCTAACTCCAAACTGACCACCATCTCGCTGTACCTCATCGGCAAATTGCGTTCGACCTGCTGGATCAAAAGATGTTCTACGTGTGAACCGGTGAATATTAAATGAAGAATGTTTGACAGTCAGTAATCCGATTCGGGTCATATGATTTCACGAGCATAATGTGAGCGAGCGCAGAATCATACTAAAAGCGACAGCCTCGAGCGAAATCTTGATGATCAACCGGTAAGAACGCGACTTCTTGACTGATGATCCAGATCACAGCATCAAACTGGACCCGAGAGGCACCACCCATCATGAGCTGGTAAGTGCAACGAGGTTAGGCTGGACGCTGAGACAGACAATCCTCTCGCACATGAGCGTCTCATCTCGTGCCCTATTGATGGGCTGGATTTCATATTCATATTCCTTCAAGGAGGGTCGGTCTGCCAGTGAAATTCTTCGAGCTCGAGCACTCGCTCATGAGTGGAAACGGTGTCTGCCTGCCTGCACGAGAGTAATTCGTACTCGCATCAGATCCTCAAACCGAGGGCGAGCGCCATCGTCATCCGATGCAGATCATTCGTTTTCCTTTGCATGTCGCACGAGAGGAGGACGAATCCGATCTCCACTCGGCGCTCGTCGACGGGATCCGGAGTTCCTGCTTCTCTTCCGGGGCCGATATCGGGGCCCGATATTCCAGGCCGCTGCCTACTGCTTCGCCGACCGCGGCTCCATCCGTCCGTCCGTCCGTCCGTCCGTCCTGGTTTGCTGGATGCTCTTCGTCCCCTCTCCTCTCTTCGTCGAGGTAGACTTCGTTCCGGAACTGGCGACGTCCGAAGACTTGCCGGAAACTGCAGGATGTTGAGACTTTCTGTCCCTGGAATATTCCATGAAATATACTTCACGCTTCGTTCGTGACCCAACCCGCAAACAAACCGCTTCTGTGAACGCTTCCTTGCAAAGCATCAATATTAGAAATTCAATGGAGAGCGTGAAAATGATGCGTTTGATATCGATTCCTGGTCGATAGCCAAATGCTCACCTCCTTGGACTTCACGAACTGTTTCTCATGTTGTTGTTAAAGTCGTTTCTTCTTTTCTCATAGCTATTGTAGAATGATCCAAATTTTCGTCATGTGGTTCAAAGGTGTTTTTTCTTTTAATTAATCCTTTATAGTTGCACCAGGGATATTTTTAGCCTGTCTGTTTGTTTTGGCTGTTATTTGCTTCATTTATTGACTTTTCGGATTCTACAAGGGACCACGTTCCAGTATCGAGAGCCTCAAGTCACGTTAGAAAAACATTGATACTTATGAATCTCGGTTTTGCGGATACATTTAAGAGATATCAGGAATGTGCAAATTTATATGTGAAATTTTCGAATTTTTTTTTTAAAAATTGGAAATTTGATATGTTTAGAGAGAATTTACAATTAACTCATAATTTAACATGAATTTATAGGAAATTTTTAAAAACATAATATTGTGAGAAATCGAGTAAAGAATGTGTAATATAATTTTTCATATAAATTTTGTTTATACGTTCGTGATAGATTACACCAATTAAGATTATTTAACATCTTTTATACGAATGAAAATTTTCGTAGATTTGTCGCAGATTACATAAATAATTTTTAGTTTAACACTTAATTTATATGTATTTCTATTTCAAGAGAAAATATATGAAATCTTTATTATTATATAACATTATGTGTATATAAAAATATGGATATGAATTTAAGACGCTAGTAAAAGCATTGACTAAATACTATCTTCAATTTCTTCTACATATTTTGATTGAAATTTTTGGACAAACATCATTCTAAAACCTCCTTAATTGATATGAACATAATAGAACAATCACATTAGTTCACGTTTTTTTTTCTCAGTCATTTTGATTTTTACAAGAAAGAATATCGTTGGGATAGGAAATCAGATTCGACTGAAACTGGGAAGGGAAAAAAAGTACTCGCGGCTTGAGCCGACCGATTAAAGTGGACGACGAGGAGCCTGGCATGAGATCCGGCGCAGGATCGGGAGTTTTGGAAGCAAATGTAGCCCAACCGGTTGGAACACGGATGGCTCTACCGAGTGTCCGCTAAGCTCCCGGTGAGACGACAGGGCCAACGTTCCGTTCTAGCAGATAGTGTTCCTGCCCGTGCTCCAAACTCGTTGCCACGTGTCCGGGTTCTTCGAACTCTCTGTCCTGCTCGCTAACGGCGCGTGACATGGCGACGAGCGTTTCCGTTGTGCCCGCGGCGTTGCGTTCTTGGAATTTGGACCCGAGAACGAGAAGCGTTCTGAGGCCGAGGAATGATGCGAGACTCGGGAATCAATGGAGTGCTACGAGGTCCCTCTTGAAGTCTTGGACACACGGACACCATCCGCGGGTTTCACATCAAGGAATGTACTCGAGGAATCCGCGGGGTCTCTCATGGACCTCGACTGACAGTGGGTAAGTTTGCGAAATGATGTTATTGACACATTGTCGATGATTGATTGATTTTACGATTGATTGATCCATCGAGTCTCGGCAGATCTCTCTGGATGCTTTCCCGCTAATCGGCAACGCCTCAAGGCTCGAGAATCCATCAACCTTCTGCTCAGCTCCCGGAGTGAGCCTGACAAATCAATTCTCGATACTGACATCGACACAAGGCCACAATTAATCTGCGACACTGGAAAGTAAATGCATCTTTCGGAGTTCGTCTCCGGCATTTCATTCAATCTTCTCATATTTCTTTCCGGTGGCTCTTGATTTTTTTCCTCATTCCAAGTATTCTTAACATTTGAACCAACTGTGTTTAGCTATAGTTGTGACTTATCTCCCATAACTTGTGGGCCAAAAGTCATGACAACGTTTCTATTTTAGTTGCTTGACGGTTTTGTTTTTTGGGGCCGTGGGAGTAACATCAGTTCTCGGTGATTTTGGGCTCTTAATAACTTTTCATCCAGTTCAGTCTCCCCACTACAGTACCGGAAAGTTCCTCAATAATATATTGTAGCATTATAAGCGAACTACATGGAACGAGGCCCACGACGACTTCTACCATAGAGTACACTGATTAGGAGACCACTCTAGGACTAGACACGCACAATTGAAGGCGGCCTGATGATTCCCAGCGAGAGCGTTAAACTGGTGCACGAGAGCTTCAAACGAGGATCTCCCCAACAGAGTTCCAACTTATGCCTACGTTGTGCAGACCGCGTCTGAACTGCCCACACCTGCACGAGTATCAACCAAAAGTACGTTTCTTCGAAGCAAATTCCATAATGGAACATTGTTTACCTCATAAAGACGTCCAAGATGACATTGATTTAAAAAAATGAGGGACGCCGAGTCCCGATTCGTAGAATCTTACAGTCACAGTCTGATGATCGGACGCATGAACACTGGGGCCCTCCTCGTCCTTCCCAACTCACTTTTAATTCCGAGTCAAATTGTTTGCCCCAGACCATGTTACACACCCCTTTGCGTAACAAATATCTAGAAAAACAAATGAGATATCCACCTGTGGCCGTGCTGAAAGTTTTATTGACACGAGGTGTAGGCGAACGGAAACGAGACATGACTAGCGTATGCATCCACTCGTCCACTCACTTCCTTCACGACAAAGTCACAACCACAAGACAAACTCCAGATGTTAAACGAGGTAAGTAGTCGGCTAACGGACAAGAAAGTCAATCGGTCGCCATTAGTGATGGCATTGGGTCCAAAACCTCTTGTGGCTTTTGCTTTGTGGGACCCAAAAAGGAGCTTCAGCGTTAGACACTATTCGAATGTGCCAAATCTAGCACAGAAAAGGATGCCTGAATTCTTAATTCGTGCAACTGTACCAGGCCTTGCCTCGCCACCACTACCACCATCCCCATCTACGAGGGCCTGCTCGTTGCCCTCGGCCGCCAATAGTTCTTTGCATTCCGCCCTGTGCAAACTCCTCATCCATCACTTTGCTGTGGCCCACTGAACCTGTTGCCTACACCAGGTTGAACTCCTTCGCACGAACCCTAATCTTCGATCCATGCTGCAACTTGATATTTCCGTTCCCTTTGGAGATGGAGAAGGTTGACCTCGGCGTGGAAGGCAGTCTCACCCACTTCAGCAGGAGATGGATGACACAATTATAGAACAATAGAATCTATCGGCATGGCATCACTGGCATACCGCTTAGATTGTTCATAATGTCCTCCGACTCCTGGTAACCACGACGAAGTGATGGGATTGGATTCGTAGGCGTGACCTCGTACCCTTCACGAAGACTCGTACTCGACGTCTTATTGAAGAACGTGTGTTGGTGCAGGATAATGTACTGCTCTCTCCGATAATACTCTCAAACGAGACGAGGGCAACATCAAGTTGCATGCCACAAAAGCGGCTAGATCCAGATAGACTTCACGGCGAATCATGCGGCCTGTTCCTGACACCAGTGCTGCTGACACTGACACCGGTGGGCGATGAACAATGACTCGGATAATTTGGACGCAATCCAGTTGCTGCTGCATCCGTGGCACTCCTTAACTGCAAACCCTGGATAAGTGCAAGCCTGATTTATCTTCCGCTCGAGAGATACTATCCAAAAGCGCACGCTCGCATGCCAAGTCGTCGTTCCTCTCCATTGCTCCTTTGACATTCACAGAAAGTTAAATAAGTAAACGCAAACTATTGTTCGGTGCGGTAATTCCTCATCCATTCGAGACCGTAATCCGAATAGAGTTTAGGGGTCATGAAAGTACAGAGCATGTACTCGATTTCGAACACGCAAAAATAAGGGTTTGACTTGATTACCTTGCGCAATCTTCACTTCTTCCGCTCCGCAAGGAGGAACGACCTGCAGCCTTCATGCGGAGGCTTCACCGATCCATCGCTGCGGGCGAGCGCTCTGACTTGCTGTAACGGAGATGCCGCTGTACAATCAAAGCATCTGATTGGAGGGGAGTACGGACAGACCTCGTCATGCTCTTCAAGATTACCAGACCTCGTTTCCCTTTTCGTTCATTCCCTATACCATCATAATGCACATTTTGTTCTGTTTTAGAATAAATTTTTAATATCAACTTATAATTTCATGACTCAATGAGTCATGTACATGATTTCCAATTAGATTTAATTTCTTCAGGAAGAAATTCAAGAAATCAATATCTTTCAACTTTAATATCTCAATATTCATTTATTTTTCTCCAGAAAAACGAGGGATTAAATTTTTTATGCCATTCTAAGAAGATATAGCTATTATCTCATTTGTGAATGAAATAAATTAATTGAAAAGTATAAATATCTTTAAATGTTGTGCAATTTTATCATCAGATAACCATTACAATTCAAACCAAGAACAGAGGATATACAATTGTTAAGCTTATAAACATCCAAATTCTAAAGTTAAATTTAGTACCCTACTTCTAGTAAAACTTACTCCAGTTCAAATGTTTATTAGGTAAGTAAAGAGAAATTTGCTTGATAGGACCCCATCAGTACGTTGACTGCTTGATGGGATCCTTGAAGTTCCATTTTACCCGATGGGACCCTTCCAGACGGCAATGCAATCCACCGTCACCGATGTTTTACTGCGAGTTCTTGTAATTCCTTTCAATCCACTTAGGAAAAGCACTGAGTCTCTTTGTTGAAAAGTGAAATGCACTTCACGGACCAAAATACGCCATTGGTTTCAACCAAGAGTTTAGAAAAAAAAAGTAAGTAGTGAATAGATTATGCCTATACATTATAACTGTAAAATCATTAGGGGAAGTGAGAAATTGGGCTCTTCCACGATGAAGATTGGAAGTCATGGAAAATCTGGGTTCGGGAAGAAATTATTATTTTTCATTGAATTTGAAACAAATCAGTTACAAGAACATAACTGAGGGGTCCCATCGAGTAAAATGGAATGTATTGGGTCCCATCAAGCAGTCAGGTTCATCAAACAAATTTCTCGGTAACGCCTATGAGCAGAATCACCCAAACCAAAATGGAAGAATAAATGGAAATCCTCTCGGTAGTGCTGGCTTACGGACAGCCGATATGCCCCATGTTTAAGGAGTGTTCGGAGGGTTGGCGTGACGGCATCCCCGCGGAGCTTTCACACGCATGCTGGGAAACAGCACACCACGTGACTCAAACAGTCAGCAGCCATGACAGAAAACATGACGGCAAGGAGAGCCACGTGGAGGGCACGTCAGACATCGCCATGACAAGTGGTAAAGCGCCAAGGGCTTCTTTCTTTCCTTCCTTCTGCCGTTACTGTACAGTAAATCTCCGTTCGAGGGCTCGTCCCAAAACGGGAAAAGTCTCTCGCCCCGACGTTCAAGAGTTCGACACATTTTTCCTCTCGCTCACTTCCTCGTGGCATCGGATGTGACATTCCCTCCGCACTCGGCGCAATATCTTCCATGGCTCTTGCACCTTCGGATTAAATCGACAGAGCTCGGGCCGTGAAGCCTGGGACTGATTTGGTTCCTTGGATCATCGATTTCGTGGGACCGTACGCCGAGCTTTGCACCCGTCGATACATTCTTCGGATTGTCACTCTAGCTTATCATCATTGTGACTGGATAACTTGTAGCATGTACAACGAGCCGCTTGGACTTTGCGGAGGTGTGCTCTATAACAAAACTGCCAGTTCTGTAGGCCCCGTAGATTGGTGACAAGATTCTTAGAAATAGTGAAATGGTAGTAGACACCTGGATCACACTCCAATAAGAGTAAATGGCCACGAAGATTCTGATTGAGGAATTGTAGGTCTTTGAAGGTCTTTGAACCCATACCGTGGCCAGGGTTAGGGCAGAAAAATAAGGTCAATGTGAACTCACGAATGGGGCTCGGGAGGGTGAACGCGGGCAGGAGTGAACGTCACAGTTGAGAAATGCCAAGACCTCGGTTTCTGATCTCAAGTCCACTTTCTTGGGATTTGAGACAAAAGGGAATCATCGAGGACCCGAGTCTGTAGGGTGCAAGTCAGGTTAGCAATTCCACTATTCATGCGCCATTTCGTTCAAAGACTTGCTCATTGACCAGGACGCTCTTCTTACGCTCATTGGCTTACCATTGCCTGTAATCTCTTATGAACCTTCACAAACCCGGGAGTAAGCTCAATGACTGGATTTTTGGTGAAATTTTTTTTGTGCACTCGGAAATACAATGTCAAGACTCAAGAAACATATATCCGGCGACATAGAGTTTGTCGGATGTAGTAGTTGTTATGACCTTGTCCGCATCGGGGCTTTGGTTGATTTTGGACATGTTACGACCAGAATTGACGACATCTTGCATCACCGCGAAATGTTGTTCCATAGTTCGGATTCGGAACTCCACCCTCGTTCGTAATCTCGACATCGTCTGCAGATAAGAAAGAATGTACACATTCTTGCCTAACCATCGAATTCCACATTCTTGTTGAACCAATATATCTTTCTACAACCGTTGACTGCATCTGCTGGTGAGCTAAATGCACTCCTCCACTCACTAAATTGGATCCAAGGACACCACCAAACGCGACTCAGTTCCTCTGCTCGATTGTGCTTTCTTCTTGATCAGTGTATCAAAAAAAATTTAATGACGAAGTCATTCGATCCTTTTCCGCGCTCAGAGAAAAACACTCCCCTCATCCATGATTTGCATGCTTCTAAATGCCCATACGGTGTGGGTGAATCGTATTGGGAGGTCTCTTGACGTTTAGGGTTATCCATGACCAGAAATTCGTATTTCTTCAAGCAAGAAACCCGATCATTTCCTTCCACTCCATCCCATGCTAATTTCCTCCATTCGATGGAGGTGCACCCTCCCCTCACTCACCCAACTACGAAGCTTATGATCACATTCCAGTACGTCGTTCGCGTGTTGCCACCGTCCGTGTACGAGGAATTTCCCGTCATGACCTCACAAGGGCTCAGTACAGGGAGTTCCGGTCGGGACCTACTGTCTCCTGCTGAATTGACCGGAGCCAGGTGTACCCTCTCGGACAGGTTGTACCAGGTCAGCGGACCTCCAGGTGTGTTTATTGAAGAAGTCATATAAAATAATGTCAAATAAACGTACCAATCAGCCGCCGGTATTCCCTCCCTAATCTCTTTTTTATCCATGATTCTCTTTTTTGATTCGCTGATTTACGAACGGATATTATATTGTCTCATTTTCAGAGACGGGTGGGTATCCGGAACCCACATCTCAGTGCTCGGGCTGATAAATTGCCTTGCACCTCGGGGGCACCCCTGTGGGCTCGGAAAGCAGAGGATTTGAATCTCCCATGAAAGGTACGGGACTCGGTCGTTCCCTGTTGCAGCTAAAGTACCTGTCAGAAAATCAATCACCGCCCCGTAATGGCACAGACACACTGTTCTCAAGCAAGTACGCATACGGGCTGGAGAGATCGGTCGCCACTGTCCCTGTGTCAATAAAAAACTCGATCACCTCATGACAACCTTTCAGGCCGGATACGCCCATGCGTCTTACATATATATCTCTCTCTCTCTCTCTCTCTCTCTCTGTATGTCTATAGCAATAATCGAAGTCCCCAAAGGTGTCCGTCCACACATGTCCCTAGATTGCTTATCTGACCTGTCATACTATCAAACGCATGCACTGGACAACGAGGCAAGCGTACCCGCCAGACATTTCTGGTATCCACAGGACCGTTATCCCACTGTGCGATTACCGCCAAAGCATCTGCCGACGGAATGAGAATCTCGTCAAGAAAAGTACAAATCATCAAATGTGGTCCTGTGCTCTAACTGGATTTATTATCCCCAACACGAGTGAGTGAGAAGGACAGATCTCTCTCCCCCGACCGGTCCTCCGGTTTGTTGACCGCAGACAGGTTAAGAAGTAACCATCACCCGCGTGAGGCAACCAGTGGTGCTGGGCTCGAGGCCAGGTGATCCTTGCGTACGGAGGGTTGGGGACGGAACCGGAAGCTCCGGGATGACTTCCGGCTTGGATCACGTCTCAGCGACTCTGGTTGGAAAGCGATGGTGGTGTGTCATGCGCACGCAGTCGGTCGGTGCTCCGCTCGGCTTTTGCTGAGTTGGCGCTTGCTGAGTTGGCCCGTGACTCATTTCCGAGTCTTTGTTCTGCGTTGGATCCATTCTCTACAGCTTCTGCGACGTGAACATGATCGGCCGTTAGATCAGCATCGCATGTGTCTTCGACAGCTGGACGTCGTCGATTCGGACTGAAGCGTGAGTTAATTTTCGTCGACCGGGCCGACTCGCGGGGTTAGAGTACGGTTCTATTACCGTGCAGTTCCGCTCCACTCGCCAGCATGATCCCAGCATTCAAATAGATAAATTTGTTAGCACGAAATGTTCAACGTTTTATCTGATAATTCATCTTCAAATTGATTACTGCAAAGTGCTATCCATAAGATTGCATCATATGTCGTAAATGGTGTATCGGACTACTTTCAATCTTAGTTTACTGTGGGCCTTTTGAAACCACAGCTACAAGAAAACCCACGAGAGTGGAATACTACTATAGACCCTAAAATATTCACTGGTGAACTGACCAAGAGATACTTCCCTTTAAAATGTGCTCCTTCTTCTTAAAAAAAATTATATCTTTGGCATGGGAAGAGTGAAAAAACATTTTTCTGGACTGTTAGGCTGCCTGTATGTCGTTCTCCCGTTCTCCATAAATCACTGCGATGGGACTGACAGAAAAGTTGAAGTCATTGAGTGCGACAGTACCTCATGGAAGTGAAATTTGTCGGCTACAAAGTTTCCTTCATATGTCGAGTGACATATGAAGGAAAGTTAATCGATCATGCGGTATGTGTGCTTTCATCAATTGGGCAAATGGTACTGTACTTTAGCCATTTTGATACGCCAGTTCTCTATCATAGAGCTTCAATGTCCCTCGGCGATGGTGCAGTTGCTTGACCGGACGAGATGGCCGGAGGGCGGGATTAATAAAATGATTTTGTACCCACTAGTTGCCCAGGGCAAAAACAGCTTTCCAGGACTATGGCTGAAGAATCTGAAGAATTGAAAGTCTCGTAGCCTCTAACAGCATACCAGATCAACATGTGCATGAACTTTAGAAAAATATGACGTGTCACAACAGCATGAGGTGCGGCACAGGAGGTGCTGCTTTTTTTAGCTGGTTTGTTTCTTTTTGATTGTCGAGAAAATGGTTTCTTCATGGTGTCTTGCTCGAATCTCCTCTCTCCAGATCTTGTGATCGATCGTATATAAAATTCTATTATCTTGAGATACAATTTTTTGAGTAATTTTCAATGTTATACAATATTCGTTTGTTTTACAATTTCTGCAAGCTGAGTTAGAAATCTCATGTGTCAATCTAAGACTTCTACTTTAGAAGTCTGAAGTGAACAAAGTCCACAACGAATATCTTCAACCCAAGAACGCAACTTTCTCACAGGCAATGCATACATGAAACTGATTTCTAAATAAACGAAAGCTCAAGTTATAGTAATCTGATCTAATGCTGAATGAGATAATTAAATATATTATGAAATAGATTACAGTCATAAGAGATAAGGACCCAAATGTAAGAACATCAGAAGATCTAATCAAATGAGGCACATATTTCTCCATGAAGAAAAAAAGAAGAAAGCCTTTTCCCAGCCGTAAACATACTTATGATTGATAGTGATGCATCCCAAGTTGCCTGATTTTAAAACAATTTGTAGCATGAAAAATTCTCACTCCAAACATAAAGATTCTAGTTTCTTTTTTTCCCAGGTATCGGGTGAATGATGTGCATGGTGTGGTCCCTTCGCACCACGAGAAAATGCTAGGGACGTCACATTCATGTAAAGGTCATAGAACCATCCAGAAAACTTAAAAGACAAAAAAATCTACTCTCTTCAGCCGTTCTTCAGGTTTTATCCTTTCTCTTTTGTTGGTCATAACCTTTTCATAGAAACATCGTCTCACCCCAGCAGTCGAACGTTCAGTGCCTCATAGTACTCTACAGCTGCAATATATGAAAGGGTGACACAACGAGAAAGCCAAGTGCATATGAGTGCTCAGTCATGGAAAAGCTAGCCTACAAACAATATTACATTCGCATTCATGAGGAGTTCACACTCAGGACAAACTCATTCAAGCCAGGAAAGCGATAGCCATTCATACGAAAGTCTTGGTTTCGAGCTTCGGTATTTTGAATATTTAATATTTTGGGAAGCTCCGTTTATCCCACAAAATCATTGATTTTCTTTTTTACAATGTCTCAACTTTTCCGTCGTGTGTTCGATTCTCTACTTTCTCACACTTTTAATCTTCTTTTTGTTTTCGGACCTACACATTCAACAAACAATGAACACGTGATCTTCCAATGAAGCAATATACTAAAAGATAGCTGAAAGGTTCTCTCAATATGATATTCTCCTGGAGATGAGGTGTACAGATTATCACGTTCTACTCGATCAATGCCTTCAATATAGATACTGACCTTTTGTGCACTAGCTGAGGTCCATCCATGAGATTTGTAGATTAATTTTTTTTATTAATTAGCTTCAATACTCAACCTAACATGTCACACAATCGTTGAATTTCATGATCTTTTCGAGACTGGTTGGAGAAAAACCGAGGACACCAGTTAGAGGAAGATATGCATTTAATTTTCATTCGAAACTACGACTTCTCTCCATCATCATTTTCACACTCTTTTAATTCATGTGATACGATAAACATATTATGCAATATGGAACAAAAATTTCCTCCGAACAATTTCATTTATTAGACTATGACTATAAACCTTGAGGTATATATGTCTTTATCATCTGTATTGAAGTGAATGTATCCAGCATGGTACTATCATCCTCACCTACCTTTCACAAAAATGTTCGCTCATTCTAGATTACTCTTTGCATTTTCTAAACGAGGTGTTTGGATTTACTCTTCTTTCTACGTAGCCTACTCATGTTCACACCGAACACCATAGAAGCATAATACCACTCCCCTATCCTTGTGCCACATGATACGAATGGAAAAAGTTTTTCATACAATAAACCAAAAGTTAGCTATTTATGATTTTATAAGTGATGATGTGATTATCATCGTGAGTAGTTCACCTAAGCTCTATGCTTCACTATAGGGCATATAAACACTAATTTAGGTGATCTATGTATATGATTTGAAATGACAAACATATAGTTTCTTGCCTTGCTTTTCGTTATATTACTTGGCCCTTTGCAATTTTCACGTCGAGGGCAGGTTGAAACTCAATAACAAGCCGCAGCTGAGCCAAGTGAAGTTACAGATAGCACCTGTCCAAGCAATCCACCACAACGCATTGGCAGATTTCTGTTGCAAGGAGTTGTGATATCTGTCTATGTCCTCTTGGTGTGCATGGAGCTGCAAGAGACGAGACATGAGACATGACACGACCATGGAACTCCATTGAACCAGTCGAATGTCCGACGGTACTGCCTACAAGGTTCACGTCGACACAAGAGGACATGTGATAAGCCGACTACCGTTGGTGTAGTTTAGCCCGTGGACTTGGCACTATTTCCAAGTAAATTTAGAACAATGGGAAGAGGATTTGTTTATTTCGGCTGCATTTGAGTTGGCGACCAACGCTTAGAACGTCTCAGCGTATGGCATTAGGGAGGCCTGTTGCCAAAGTCACATGGAGTTAGCCTCCCAGCTCGGATGAGCCAGTTGTCGTCCTGATCCCGTTGGGTGCGAACGTGGTCAGACCAATGATGAACGTGATATTTACACGTATATAGGTAGGGGAGAAGAAATAGAATCGGTTAGTCAATTTTTATAGTCCGATGGGATCCCAAAACGTGGTTAGCGTTTTATTCATCTCGCGAGAATCCATGTGAGTTCCGTGACGAAAACCCTTGCGCCAATCGGAAATGGGAAGGCGAAGAACTTTGCGTCGGACGGTGTGGACGCACTGCGACGACGAAGACGCACTGCTGAATTATTGGAAGTACTGCGTAAGCTGCCGAGAAGACGTCAACCGTAGTCGTCGACAAGGAGACATCGTATAACGCCAAAATGGAGGACACGGCCCCCAAAGCGCTACGAGGGCTAAGGGCTAAACCGGGCCGAGGTTGTCCTCGGCCTGGCGTTGGAGGACGGGTGCGAACGCTGTATATAACCGGTCCACGACAACTCCGTAGGTCAAGCCTACGGATTGCCGAGAGCTCGGTCAAAGTCCGCCGGACTCGGGACAGGGAGCACAAGTCCGAAGCCCTCTGCGATTCACTCACCGGCGCCTGCCTGCCTGCCCGCCCGCGCCAAGGTTTTGCGTCCTGTCCTTACCCCCCTGCCCGGCGGGCGGGCCCCATGCGGCGGCTTCGTCATTCGGACCCCTCGGGCCCTCTTCCCCCTGCCCGGGCGGGTCCTGCCACAGCAGTATCAGCAGCAGCACCTTCACAGCGCAGCACATATCTGGCTCTCGGCCCCCTCTCCATCGCTCCTGTCTCCGCGTTTCTTTCTTTGTGCCTGCCTGCCTGCCTGCCTGCCCACCCACGGGGAAGCTTAGCTGCATCGGATCGACGCTCTCTCACTCTCTCCGTCTTCTCACTCTCTAACACGGGTACTATATCATTCGGCGAAATCACACTGGCAAATTAGCTCTCTCTCAGCAGGAATTGGGTTGGGGGAGGGTCTGAGTGTGGAGAGTTTGGGGGTGTGAGTGTGTGTGTGCTTGAGCCTGCTGCTCGGCGTTGGGTGGGTTGTGTGTGATTTGATTGGCTTTGATTGGACTTGGAGCTCGGTGGACTCGGTCTGATTTCGATCGCCCCGAGCCCAGGCTGTTCTTGTGAAAAGGAAGGAGTTCGTGAGCCGGCCCTTCACTCGCTCGGTTATCTCCGAGGAAAGAAAGAAAGCGAACCTCGAGGCGAGCTCAATTTCTGGCGCATCATCCGTATAGCTTTACCGACGTGCTGGACCTCGGACACTCCAGCGTCGGCCACTGCAATTACTCTCGTCCGCTCGAAGCTGTGCAAGCACTGACTGCGGACTACGTTCCGTGGGTAGCGGGGAGGATTTCTGACAAATCGAGATTCGACACCCTGCACAGCACGTACACTGGAGTTTCAGATTCGCGACATACCGTAAAGCGGATACGGTGTCACATAGCTCGGAGGACAGGGCGGGCCGTGGAGTGACAGTGGGGAATTGGGATTTTGATCCGTCATGGCGGGCTGAAGAAGCACCACAGGGTTCAGGGACAGACAGTCTCATGCGGATGAATCAGAGCAGGAGCTGGAGCAAAATGTGCGCTTTCGTGAGGATCGACGGAGCATTCTGATCGAGGACGGGGGGAGCCAGGCGAGCGAGTTCTTGTGTGAGACCAATCAATCGAGTCCGTGTCGGCGGCTGGAGCAGAACAGAATGGCAGCGGTGAGACGCATCTGCGCCGGGGGCATCCAGCCCGTGAGGGTGGTACATGGAGACGGGCAGGTCTTGCAGCTGGCTCCCATGGTGAAGGTCGCGGATGTTCTCAGCCGATACCCGCACCATTACATATGTCACATGAGTCCCGACCTCCCGTCAAATCGGTCCACAATGCTCCCGCTCGACACCGAGCTCGAGCCCGGCTACGTCTACTTCCTGCTGCCGCTGCCGCGTCTGTTCCCGAACCCGGGCACTCTCACCAGCTCCTCGTGCTCGTGCTACTCGAGCCACGAGCGAAGCCAGCAGCAGGACGAGCAGAGCTCGCAGAAGGGCGGGTTCTCGCCGCTCATGATTAAGCAGATGATCGTGCGAATCGGGTCGCCCATGCGCACGCCGAAGAAGAAAGTGTCGCCCGAGATATCGCGCCAGCAATCCAGCAGCACCGCGCCGCAGAGCACCAACCCCTACAGCCCCAACTTCGGCAAGGAGAACAACCCTCTGCTGTCGCCCGTGTACAAGCACAAGCGCAGCAACTCGTCCCCGAAGAGATCGGCGTCGCCCAAGAATTCCAAGGCCGCCGCGCGATCCTCGCGCTCCTGTGCCAGCGAGCGCGAGGCCCAGGCGACCTCCTGTCACCGCTGGAAGCCCAGGCTCGGATGCATTTCCGAGACCGACGCGTTCGTGGCCGCGTGCGAGGAGCTGCGCATCACTCTCGACCGGAGACGGTTGACGTTCGAGAGCAAAGGTCGCCCCAGCCCCAACCCCACCACTCTCAGACTCGGCCACGAATTCAGCCGCAGCCCCTCGAGGATGAGCACCGGCGATTACTGCAGAAGCCCGTCCAGGTGAATGAATTTTCCTCCCTCGTCAATTTCTTTCCATTGTTTTCCCAGAATGTCTGCCCACCCTCGCGGCATTCATCGAACTGGTTGGGCCGAGACACGCCCTTCCCTTCCCTTCCCTTCTCGTGCAACCATGGTTCGAGGTTTCTTTCTTACCTTGCGCCCGCTCGCCATCGACATGGCGCTCGCTGACATCGGTCGCAGCGCGGAAAGCGGGAAAGCGGGCGGCCATGCAATTCTGTCACACGGAAAAGAAGATGCGACATTTCCACGCAGGCGCGAATTGCCCGAATGCCAGCCGAAAAGAATCTTACTCGACGGCCGAGGTGACGCCTTGCGTCGCCGCTGACGCCGCACCGTGGTGCGGCAAAGATCGACAGATTGGGCTTCGCTTTCTCTCGTCAGATTCGGCTTTTCGCACGCCCGTTGTATATTTCGGGGCGCGCGGAAAGAAGATGCCATCTCGCCCTCGAGGTGCTGGGGCCGCTCACCGGCCACCTCGAGGAACACGGTGGCCCCCGCGCGCAGGCCGTTGCATCGAGCATCGAATATCATTTATCGAGAAGGGAATGAATGGACCTGCTAACGACGGAAGTCGGTCGTTCTTGCGCAGGGAGCTGCGGAGCACTCCGAGAGACACGTACATGTCGTCGCCCAAGCACGGAATGGCGCTGGCCGGCTACGTCTTCGCGTGAGCGCGGGGCACGGGCGGCAAGGCGACACACATGTTTGTATATTGTGTATGACAGACTGACGGCGCATGGCTCGAGCTCCGCATCGAGGCATGGATGGGCGGGAGGGAGGGCGGACGGGGGCGGACGTAGCGCGCGCGATCGTGAGATCTTTCAAGAAGGTGGTGGACGCCATAGCTGAAGACGAAGACGAAGACGAGGACGAGGACGAGGACGAGGAAGACGAAGGTGCGAGAGAAACCGTAGACGATTGCGCAAGCTCGATCCGCCCCCGGGAGACCGACCGGAGCGCGTCCCGATCGCGGCCATGCTGCTGCCACCGGAGGATCGTGCCGCCGAATCGTGGCGGCAGATAGAGGTAGACAGAATTGTAGCGGAAGAATCCGAACTGAGCTCGAACCCATAGATGAAATGGTAGAGAGACCCTTTTACACCCCCGGCCGTCTCAGGCGTCCCCGAGGACGCCGTGCCCTCGAGGCAGGCAGACAGGCAGACAGACAGACAGCCTTACAGACGATGGACGACTCGAAGAAGTCCGTGTGAAAATCGAGACCCTGTGCTGTGCTGACTGTCGGTCGGTCGGTCGTCGACGACGTTGGAGATGAGAGCTAGCTAGCACGGACACGAGCAAATCGATCGTCCTTAATCTACTGGAAGAAGAGCGCCGTGCGTGAGGTTGGACCGGCTGAAGGAAGGCCAGGGAAGCAAGAAGAACTCGCGGGGGCCATAAACTCACTCGTCAATGTGAAGATGTTGAAGAAGAAGATGAAGACGAAGACGAAGACGAAGAAGAAGAAGCAAGACGATAAGGAGGCTGTAGCGGGTCGATGATTATGACGATGATGATGAAGATGAAGATGAAGCTTGTAAACCCCCATTAGATCACAAGTACAAACGACTTAATTGAAGCTGTGCAGGGGATAGAGACTAGACAAGAGCAAGAGCGAAGGATATGAATCGACAGAGTGAGTTCAGTGTCACGGGAGGGACGAGATTCGAGGGAGGGAGGGCACTTGATTTGTATATTCTACTGGCATTAGGGGAAATCTGTAGAACCCTGTTCTTATGACCAAAAGCTTCGAAGCTTCGACTTCGAAACGAAATGGCCAAAATGTATTATCATGATTTGAAGGCAACTGAAGATGGAACGATGCATGTGTACTGTTTACGATGTTCGGCTCAGGAGTCCACTTGCGGGAAGATGTCACTGTGAAGATGGGATTCGGGCTTCCTGTGTTTTGGTTCTGTCCGATCGTCGCCTGCCAAAGAATAAAATATGAACGTGGGATGATATTTTGTTTGAGGCCCAAAGAATCGATTGCTGCATAGAACTGTAGTGGGAAGTAAAGGATGGGGCGATGTCCATCTGCTCTGATCAACGACCTCATTGGACGTGTACATGCCATGACATCACAGCCCAGCCCAGTTTCAGCTGACAGGCTCAGCGTTGTCGAATGGCAACTCGCGGCTCCAGGAAACCACCTTTTGCCTTTCCCCTTTTTCCGAGAATTCGTATTCGTACGACATTGAGTCACGAGGCAAAAGGTCTCCTGTGATCTTGCGTACTTCCACTGGCTCCAGTGAGCTGCACCCACTTGGGTGGCACCGAGAATAGATAGATTGCCCCCACTCACCCGCAGACCGTATCCCTCGTCAAAATTCGCTTGTCCCTCCATCCCTCCCTCCCACCATGGCAGATGGGCGTGCACCGAAGTGGATACAATCTCGATCTCAGATTCCAGTCCTGCCCCTCATCCGGTTCGAATCTGAAGATTCACCCTCCCACTCTCCCCCGGCCTTTACCGGCCTCCACTCAACTAGCAGCAGCAGTTGCGATCATGCGGTTCCGGCTCCAGACAAGTTGAAAGAGGTGCAGATCTTCTCTCCCCCACACGCTTGTACCGCATCTGAGCACTTTGCGACATTCATCGCCGGAGCTGGCACTCCATGACCGTTTCCCCCCCCCCGCCCATAATTGAGGACGAGAGGATAAATGCCTGTGGGCTGAATAATATGTCCAGAGGGAATTCTGTCCTGCTCTGACGACGAACAAGGCAAATTCTGTCCCTTCTTCACGGTCAGGTCGAAGAGCAGCCATCCTGGGTCCAACATTTACGACGCTGGGCCTGTCCTGGGTCCTACATTATCGGAAATTAATTGTTCCTCTTAATGGCTCTGAGCCGTGTGTGTATGGATGGATCGATCACCCCCAGAGCCCATGCCAATTGAAGTTTCTGCACCCTCAGCAGGGCTGCTGCAGTCCAGGCTGCGCTCACTTCTGCTGTGCTCTGTGTAGGAGGCTCCTGGACACAATCATTTCTGTCCGCCCCAGAGCTCGATCGACATGTCTTGTGCCTGGATATATGACAGCAGCCCTCATCAAATCGCAACAAATCTCCGCAGATCGGTATCTCGATTGTCAGTGCAGTCAGCAGTCAGCAGTTGAGGCAAGTCTGCGCCCCCCGACACGCCCTCTTCTATTTCCGTCCGTCTTCTCGTGTTCTTGTACAATTTGCGGCGCGTCCCCTCCTCCTTCTAGGGATGTTCACGACTTGGCAAACGGCTACCCGGCTAATATTTTCTTTCAGCCGGCTAGCCGGAACGCTATCCGAGGCCGAAAACTTGGACCGACGTTTAGTTTCGGCCGAAATAATCGGCCAATTCATACGAAATTATACTCCGAATCCTTATTTCACTTTCCTATTTCCGTATGCCATCCGACGGCTTCTAGAGTGTGCGCGATCGGCGGGTGGGTTCTTCACGGTCAGATGGGTATACGGTCGGGGTTGATCTAGCCAAAAGTCTCATACTGAACAAATATATCAGCCGAAATCGTTTTCGTCCGATAGCCGTGGGCTAAATTTGAGTCCCTAGCCGGCTAGCCCTTTGTATCGGCTACAGAGCCGGCTACTTGACCATGTCTACCTCCTACTCCCGAAACTTTGTCCAGTTCTTGACCTCGTCCGCAGCCCGGGTTAATGGCTTCCAGTTTCCGGTGAATGGACTCGGTACTCGGGTAACTCGGGTTCGGATTGTGGACCGTTCCTCACCGACCGGAGAGAATCCCTGGGTTCGGAAACGCAAAACTCCGCCGGAAGGTGCCGAGCGTCAGGACGGCATCTGATTCTGCGCCTACACGTCCGGCCTTGTTCGACGTGATGGCCATCGCACGGCCGGATTGGAGGACAAATGGACGGTGGCGATCCTCGCGCGCTTTTCTCCGATAGACGAGGATCTCCGAAGCGCGGCTGCTCTAAATTCGGAAGAGCGCACTTCGGGCGATGCTTTTGCTTTTGCTCTTGCGTGAATGGAGTTCGTGTCCTTGCTCTCCCTCTCCCTCTTGCCGTGGATGGATCACGGACGACGACGACGATGGAGCATTCGTTTGAAGCATTCGGATGTGTTTGTGGGCAGGGCTTTCGTTCGCGTCAAGCCATGCGGGCCCTGCTTCCTCGGCCAAAGTTTCCGCCTCAGATGCTCTGTCAGAGGTTTGTTCGTCGCGAATCAAGTTTGACGTCATCGTTGTTGTTCGTGTCCGCCTTTTTATATCTGCGGAGAACCTCTCCGGCTGCAAGGTTTGTAAGATTTGTCAGTTCCGCCCACTGGATCGAGGGAGCGTACCTTTCCTGCATTCGTCAGGCTACAAACAAGACTTGCTGTGAAGTAACCTTCGGGTTCGAAAACTCGGGGTTCACATTTTCTTGAAAAGTTTAACCAGGATTGTGAAAATCTTTTCGCTTTTGCACTCAACCGCTACGAGCTGCCATCTCGGTCGTCCCCAATTTCTCTTTGAGATTCTTCGGGTTACGTCCCGTTTGGGCATTCTGTGGAGCTGGTACATGTGTTCCGCCGTGGTGTTCTTTCACTGTGGTCCGTGTCTCGTTCTTTCACTGCACTCTTTCCACGTTCGTCTTTTCTTGGGTGGCTAATTGTTCCCAATAATATTAGACCCTTCGTCCCAGCTTCGAACGTCTGACTTGCTTGGCCACCAGCCTACGATATGAGCTACTTTCCTTGCTATGAAAGCCGCCGTGCTGTCCCGTATTCCATCTCCATACATCAAATCCAAAGACAATCGGGCTGCGAAAAAGAGGCTTGGTGTTTCTGTAGTGCCGAACGAGGTGGAAGTTCACATCCCGTCGGAAGTAAGGTCGCAGAAAATTGTTTTTCAACTAATTCATACTCAGTTTTCAGGATAATCTCTCCTGGAATGATTGCGACGCAGAAGGTTAGCATTTTCAGAAACGATTGCCGTTCCAAACTTACAGCGGTCGAATTTAAAGGCCGATTACGATGCCATTCAGGAAATTGACTCGTAACCCCAACAGTTTACCGCCGATGGGCTGTGCGGACTTTCTGAAACGCTCTCCGCTCTGATGTAACAACATCTTCCCCGCAATGAACTCTTACACGCCTGACTTGAATCCGGAATGTCCTGATCTGCCAGGAGAAATCCAGGTGCACGACAGTTACACCCGGACATCGAGCCGGTGGGCAAGCTGCTAGCTCAGGTACGGATCGAAACCCCAATCACTGGCAACACCTTGTCGGTTAAGTTGAAGTGAAGAATGTGAGTGAGAACACCACGGCTCTAGAAGTAGATTGATTATAAAGGGCTAATACTACGGTGCTATAAAATCGTAAAGCATTCGACTGCAACTCTACCCAGTCGTGTAGGTCTGTCAACATCCTCCACTAGCTGCTCTACCAGCAGGGGATCTATCCCTACCACACTTGCAACTTTTCCTGGTTCCAAACTGCCTCCGTCACGCCCCCCAAGTTTGCATGCTACAGCTCCGACTGTTGCGGTTTTTGGCCTAGCTTCTCCATGTCCAATCATCCGATCACCCGTGCGATCACCGATGGCCTGAACCCCGGTCCCACCCTCTAATTCTCGACCAAGTCGATCATCTCCCCACGCAGCGCATTGTCCCACTGACTGACGAGGTAGAGTCGAGGCAGCACGATGTAAGCAGCCCCTCCGTTTATGACAGTGCACGCGCCGTCCGTTGGTACCCCCTTCAGTCTTGGAGGCGTGAGGGGTACAGTACAATACAGTAAATACATCGGTTAGACCCCTTTCAGCAGAGCGGCAGGGTACATTGGACTCTTGTAGAAGTCGTATTCGGATTCCAAGCATTGAATCGGTTTTGAGAGTTGAGTCTACGTGGTTAGAGCAGGACATGGTGCTCTGTTCAACTGTTTAATTATTTACGTGATATGGATTCGATGGAGAAAATTTGAACGTGACTTTCTTATTTCAAAATTCTCAGACTTAATTTATTTATTTTTATCCTTTTTTATATATAGAAAGAGAAATCGAGAATGCAAGGCCTAGAGTTAACTATTTTGCTTGCAATTTTTACGAAGGAAATCAATGAAAACAATTCATTTTGGTTTTCAAGGTTTTTGCATTAAATTTGCTTATTGAATATATAAAACTCAAGTTTAAATGTAACGAAAGACGTTGGATTGAGATGACAGTTTAGAAAAGAATCTAAAGTTAATAATCATACAGATTGATGTTATACATCCGACTGATCAAAGTACTGCAAGTTGATGATTTGAATGTCCAAAATTGATATTTAATTTATAATAGATTTTTATATTTTTAAATTATTTTACTTTCATAAATTTGACTTGAAATGCAAAAGATTTTAGACGGAGGTGACATCTGTTGAATAAAAAAATATACTAATCCATGAAACTTCATATGATTCACTTTGTTTACTTCTTTTATCAAATTATTTCTGTTGATTTTTGTGAACTCGACTTTAAGGTCTTGTGTATGCATTAATATTTTTGTTGTATTTAATTTAGAATTTTCTTAATTTCTGGAAAATATTTTTAAAAATATATATAAACATTCCAAGAAATTCTTGAATGATTATGTGAATTAATAAGTTTTTTTTGTGTACTTTAATGCATAGAACGCTTACTATAATCATTGATTTGAATAGATTAATTAACATTCAAGTATGTACTGTATGAATTTTCAATAATAATTTTTTATATTTAAAAAATATATTCTAAAAAAATATTAATTTTTTTATTATATAGGAATAAAAAATTTCTATGTATCAGGATATTTCATTTAGAACTCAAAAAGCGTATTGTGCTATATTTAAAAAAAAATAGCACAATACGCTACTTTTTCTATGTCTATAATAGCATTGGGCTTATGAAATATAAAGTTTTAATGTCTGCTGATTCATAAATTGACGTTTCCAAGGCAAACAATTTCTGGTAATTGGATTCTTCCCGCGAACGAGTACAATACGCCGCGCAGTTTGTGGTTCCAAGTAACCTCATCGGTTAAGGCTTAACCTATCTCGCGGCTAGAGACTCAAACAAAAGATTATGGTTGACATATTTATAAATATTTCTTACAAGAAAGTAAATATGTCAAAATTTTACACTTGATAAACGAATGAAAATTTTTATTTTTCACTTATAATAATAATGTGATATGAGAATAATACGGAGTTATATGTATATTATGGATGTATGTACAAATTACAACCATCCAATGCACTTCACGATGACACCATTAAGTACATTTCCATCGTATGAAATAAAAGCTTACATGATTTCATGCTCAATGCTTTCTAGTGTTTTATGTTAATGATTCTACACTGCAACTTTTCACGCATTCACATTCAATATAAATGGAGATAAGTTTCATGCTATAACAACGATTGATAATACATCGTCTACACTTTGTAAAAATTCATTCAATATTAAAAAATATACATATATATGAATCAATGTTAAAATTGATAAATATATACTCTTATATAAAACTAAATTCATTTAAATTTCTGCTAATAATTATAAGATCTATGTGTCACATCATTTTATTTATTAATATATGTCTTTTTAACTTACTATTTTAATTTCATATGAATTTTTTTTCAAGTATATTACAATATAATATATAAAAAACTCATATCAGAATTGATTCAGTTTGTCTGCTTACATTCGGGTCTTACAAAGAGTCAAGAAGCCTTACCGAGGGCAAATACTTGAGGATTCTAGGGCATAGGATATTCGTTGACTGCCATCAGCAACTGCCTACAACCGGTGACCGGTGACCGGCGACTTGTCCATGTCAATTCCCTCCCATACATGACCACTTTCCGAAGGACGAGGCTGGCGATTTGAATGTTTGAATCCCCCTCGTGGATTTCAAATTTGAAAGCCCGTGACTTCGGTGACTTTCTCGCGGACAGTTCCACGCCCGCTACCGTTCTTGTTCGTGCGCACGCTCCTCCTCGTCGTCGCCTCGCCTCGCCTCCTTTCCTTCATTCTCACATCAAGGACGCGATTGCGGATTTCGCATTCTGTTCAGTTCAGTGCGCGTTTCTCCGCGCGGATGCTTGTGATTACCTTCATTCTGACAACGAGGACGCGATTGCGGATTGCGGATTCTGTTCAGTTCACATTTCTTCGAGCGGATGCTTGAGCAGCGAACGCTCGTCGGGCGCATGTACTAGAGATTGCATGGTGAGTAGAGAATCCGAATCCCTTGGACGGTTCCATCTCCGACTTGCTTCGGCATCGTTGTTCGAGGCCTCTGTCGGTGTGGGTCGATGCTGTTTTCTCTATGCTTCAGGCGCCTGAGGTTTTTCTTGTGATCTTTCGGCCTCTTGTCTCCTGATGCTAATCTTTATCGTGTGGTGTGCAGGAGAGTTCACCGCTCTGATTTTTAAACGCTCGCTGCGTACTTGCTCCTGTCCTAGAGGCTTGGAATTCTCTTCACAGATCGAAGCAGATCGAAGCAGCGTTCAGTTTTTTATGGCCAACTATTATGATTTAGATGACATTTTGACGGAAGAAGAGGTAATTGTAACCATATTGAAATAAACGAGCAGAATGTTGGTCCATTTGAAAGTCCTCTGTATTTTTTTATTACATTCAGCGGTTTCTCTTTCGAGCAGCAATTTTAACTATATACCGGGATCTCTTATTGCCGACTGCAGTATGTTAATGTCCACTTCAGATTCGAAGCTGCAGGCCTTGGCGTACTAGATCCAGGTTCCGAGCACGACAATGTATAACACCCACCTCCTTCACTTTTGTCATTTTGAGCTTAGCGAAGTTAGACTTGTAAGAATCTTTACTGCGGATCGAGTTTTTGTGCTTGTGCACTAACCTTCAACTCAACCTTGTTGAGATGAAGGAAGAATCTGTCCCGCTATCACCCGGCGACTTACTATTGCTGTACTGAATTATTTCAACCGAAACGTTGTTGTTGGATCTGCAGATAGATGCCGGAGCTAATGTCGAGATTCCCCTCTGGCTTGCACATGATCTTTGCAACAGGAAGTTTGTCTCCATCAAACTACCTTATTTCTATAATGAGAGGTAAATTGAGCTAGATGAATACTTGTACGAGAACTCAACATCCTTTCAACTATTTATGAATCCAACTGCAGACCGATTAGATTGTTTGAGAAATGAAGCTCACATCCTTGTCTTTTATTGGAACTTCTTCTTTAAGGCTGAATTATATCACGAGATGACCTTGTGAGAAATAGAAATTGTTGCTCATTTCCCACCCTCTTATGGAACGCAGAGTCAGGAAGGAGATCCAAGCTGATGCCTCATGCGTGGACTTGGGAAGGTGGTGCCCGTATTTCTACGAACTGGGCTTAAAACTAGCTCCAATGTGAGTCGGATGTAGGCTCTGGCATTGAATGTTTCGAAGTTTTTCAAATTTTAAGTCCCAATCCGACGAGCTGGATACTTCTGTCAATTAGAAACGACAGTGTACTGATTGTTCTTGTCTTCCTCTTTCAGGTCTTCGGACCCAACTTTGGGATCTTTCCTTCTCTACTGCCTTCAGGGCCGCTATAAAGAAATGCTGTGCAAGTCTCATACAGTTGCTCTAACTACTGCTCCAAAGTTTGTCACTTTGTTGACCCAAGAAGAGTTTCAACGTAAGTATCAAGACTATACTTTCACCAACACGGAGTGTATTGGTCATCGGAGTGTTCGAAGCCTTCTATAATCGCCGATGGGATATGTACAATATCGGACAGATCGTGACGATGATATTTCACTAAATATGCTACTAATGCCTCAAATTTTCTTCTCAACTGCAGTATTCGAGGCAGCTCGTGATTCGATGAAAGCGTACAACAAGTGGCGGTTTCAAGGTTGCAGACTGGAGCGCGCCGCTGTGCTGGGCAGAAAAAGGCGCCATAATGCGCTTCTCTCCCCCTTCGAGCTGTCTTAAGTTGGACTTGTCTCGAGTGAAACTCCGTGACCCAACGTGTACAATTTTCATCGAGACAGAATATTGACCAAGAGATCGTCTGCTGTGATCGAGACGAGCAAAGCTGAAATTGGTGAACAATTGATTCTCTCTGTCAATTGAAGTGTGGGGTAGAAGAGCTCGTGTTTATCTGCTCTACACATGCTCTCATTTCAGTGTGAGAAAAGGAGCAGTCTTTGGACGACGATACAGATCACTGAAGAGGATGCAGATCACTGATGCCTGGTGACTCCTAGAGAGGTGAACAATGGCTGAACCAAAGTCTACACCTCATCAGATGTAGTTCAGGTCTGCCATTCACATCTACAGCTGTCAAATTTGCTATATGAAAAGCAAAGTGCAAGCTCTAATGAGATAAAGGTCTCAAACGGTGAATGAAAGGCATAGAGCGAGCTGTATGAGACAAAGGTCTCAAACGGTGAATGAAAAGCATAGTGTGAGCTGTATGAGACAAAGGTCTCAGACGGTGAATGCAACGACATATCGAATTGATATGTCGTTGCAACGACATATCAATTCGATGGTCAAAGTTTTCAGCTCACATTACCTAACTTCTCAGGGACCTAGGGTATGTATAGTAACAGATTTTAGGTTGCGTTTGCCCAACGTAGCAAGTGAAGATAAGGCAGTTGAAGATGAAAGTGACTGCTCGTCTCTTGTGCATGTGAGTAATTGCAACGAATTGCAACACTCACCCAGTAAAGAAACTCAGTCTTCGTTCTCTTATCAATCTTTAAATGATATATTACATTTCGTGTAGCAGATAGTTATCTTTCTAGATTACTGTAAGAATTACAGTACAGTTGAAAAGTCTAAGCGCTTCGTCCACAAGTGCAGAGTAGAAATGGATTGTTGCTCCGTAGTGCAGTGCGAATCCTTGGTGTCAAGTGTTCGGATTCTTGAAAGATTTATGTTCCAACCACCCAAAGAGAGTTGCAAATGAATATTAGTGCTTGCGATGTGGTCACCTTGAATGTCCTCCCATGACCGAAACATGCTAAGGATGTACCAGTTGTTCCAAATCACTTACGGGATTCTCTGAGGCAAGTTGCGGCGTGGATCAGCGGTCTGTACTCACTACAGAAGGTCTGTACTCACTACAGAAGTGCCACTACCACAGTGCAGTGTAGCTCCGATCACAGTCGGGACATAAGCACCAGCTCCTAAAGCAAATCAGAAAATTTAGTGCTAAACATCAACACATGGAGCTTGATGTTTTGCATGTAATCGTACACTTCCATATGTTCATACCAAAAACTGTTAATCTGCAAAACTTACTCCAATTTGAGAATGCAACTGAAAGAACAATACAAATAGCGATGTACTGAATCCAAAGCCGCCCTTTCATACTAAAGAAAGCCAGTTCTTCTCGACGCAAACTGTCTGTACAAGGAGGACCTTTCATACTAAAGAAAGCCAGTTCTTCTCGACGCAAACTGTCTGTACAACGAGGAACATTTATGGTTGACAAAAGCCAATGCAACGACAAGCTCTGCTGACGGATGTCGTAAACTCTTCAACGACTGATGGACGAGTGCACGCATAGGCAATCTTCAATAAAAAAAGCTAGAAATCAATCCATCAACGAGAAGGCCCAAGGATGAAGTACCTATATTCAATTGTTCTCAGCTCTTGTTTCACTCAGAAGAGCTCAAAGCTTTACTCAGCTCTTGCAACAAGGTCAGGCCAAAAACTGTATTTTCACAATTTACCTTCATCAAAACCTCTAACTGTTCACAATCGATCTCTGTCACAGTTTCTGTCAATACAGCTACTTCTATTAGACACAAAACAGATTCCGCCAACGTTTTCCCACTAAACCGGAGGCGCAAACCCTGTACTCCCCCACCTTTGATGGCTTGCTCACTCACAAAAGAATCGCCTATCGGAATAGTCGTTGACACCAATGACACATGTGCACTAGTCAAGACTTTTTGAGCGATTGATCGAGCTACTACTAGAAGCTTGTCTTCTGTTACAGGGACTCCTTGTGACGGGTGACGAACTTTTAGTATACACCTGAGAAGAAAACAGCGAATTTTTAAGAATCTTGAAACAAGTTCAAAAATCGTCTATTTTTTTCACAAACTAAAGCGCTATTAGTAGAAAATCTAGAACCAATTCACACTGATGACGTTCGCTGTGTTCGGGAATTTTGAGGTCGTGTGTTTAGTATCTCTTGGATCCCATTCCATCAGGGAGTTCGCTATCCTCCGACATAAGAAGCTCACATCCAAAGAACTGAAAAGAAGCAACTGACTTCCATGCAAGAAGTTGTGTTAACATGGAAGTTGGCAAAGTTCACATTGAAGCTCGCACTCTAGAAGTGAGTATAGAGTAGTTTCTACTTTATACAGTAAGCAAGTTTCCACTCTGCGGATGTGTGACCCAGCAGCGACGACGATGAGTATCTCAGAAATACGGGATATTTACCACAGACTATACAAGATGCGGAAAAACAGAGTGAGAAACTCATAATTTGTCGCTTTTCCTCAGACCAAACACAGAGATAGCCGTGCTGGCTTCGACCGTCGATCATGAATGATTTTTTGATGATTCTGAAGCTTTGTTGACTTGTGACAAATCATCAAACTACTACTGTGGATGGAGAAGGAGAGTTAGGACTTCGAACCTGCGAGAAGATTCGTGCATCCCTGTAATTCGAGACTGGGAGGAATTGAATGCCTCGGGGCTCAATGGAACAGGTCTTATAAGAACCCCAACTTCCAGAACGAGCTTCACAAGATAGGTTTTATCATTACAGACGATGGATAGCTTGACTGGATTGAAGTGATGCAGGAACTGAACAACCAGCTTCCCTTCCGCTTTGCTCCCGGGATCCAGGCCAGAGACGACTTGCTCTGACTTTACTGGGATGCTGCTAGAAGTTTCTGACTCGCTTTGTAAAAGACACCCGGAGCCCAAAGTCAGTGAGCTGATTAGCACATATTTCCGAAGAAAAATAGCACACGCTTGCACAAATTCTGGGTCAATCCCAGATTATACCTCGGCTAGACAGATGAATACACACCATATTATTCACAACAAATATGCCGAATAAATACCTCGTCTCAAAAGATGTTTTGCTGGATTCAACCTCCTTGACCGTTATACCAGACAGAGACTCAGATCCGCGATTGTGAAACAAGAGTTTTACGTACACCTGGTCTTCTGATGATGACACAGCGATTCGTTCGGTATAGTATTTCACCTCCAATCCCCCTCCATTTGTGAAATCCAAAAGGGTGTGGGTCTTGGGCTCAACAGCAATCTTTCCTAGAGAAAGATTGGCGTAACCAGATGCTGATCCTGAAGTAGTACCCATCTCTTCTTGACCTAACCAAGAATCTAAGTCTTTAGAAGAGAGCCCAAAACCTGCCGTTGGACTCTCGCTGAGTGGTTGTTGATTCACATCTCGCCCTTGGGTTCCTGAAGTTACTCCAGCTTCAGTATCTGACAAAGATATAAGAGGTTCTACATCTCTGCTAGACCTTTTTTCATGTCCTGACCGGTGGCTTCTACTGTGAGATGACGGATGAGATGCTGACTTGCTCCTTCCTGAATGTTGATACATATCGATTTCTGACGAACTGTCTCCAGAACCACTTAAAAAGCTCTCACCATTTTCTTCCTCAACATGCTCACCATTGCTACTGCTTCTTGGACTTGACATGTTGCCATACTTTTCATCCCCAGATCCACTGTAATCACCATTAGAACTAGAGTCAACCTCACTATCAGCTTGTTGAGTAGCAGCATGACGCACATGTGTTAGACTATCCGCTGAGTCTATGCTGAAAGGTTGTGGCAGCGGCCTGTAATCTGGTGCAATATGCTGTACAACATGTGACATTGAACCAGGTAAAAATGATCGATCAGGCGTCAAAGAAAGCACAGCTGGAGCTATTTTTGGTACTAGAAATATGTGCTCTGCCAATTTCATTAGCCCAGCACTTGACTTTCCATTTCGAGGCTTGTCAACGTTGAAACTAGAAGTTTTTTCTCCATCATCACCTTCCACGCTTTCCAAAATAGAGGACGATTCTTGTACCCGCAACATGGTAAGTTTATCTGCTACATCCCCCTCAACTTTCTGACTTCTTTCAGACAGGCCTTGTAGATGTAAGACGAGAAGCTGCTGAAGCATACGAGCGCGGTCACGGATATCGTAATTCAAGTCCTGAGAAGCAAGTCTAAGAACTGTGTCGAAGACTAGCAATGCAACTTGAGAAGCCGAATCTGATGATGCTTGAGACCGTAAGACAACCTGCCATGAAGTTCAAAACGAAACCTTAGTACTTGCATACAACAGAAGATAACTCCATTGGGACAAAATAGTTTTGAAGCGGTTCAATTCGTGAAACTGAACCTGTAAATGACATTGTGTTTGTCCAAGGCCTTTGACATACTTATGGCTTCGCTGTGAACCTATAATCATTGATTCATAGCGAATGCTCCGATTACAACAGGCATCTGGCTGCAAGGTTTCATTCTTTGCCGGCTGTCTCGGGGATACCTTCATGGGGTTGAAAGATATGGTTCACATACCTTCGCCGCACAGTTCATGATTTGCAATTTCGTCTCATCTGATTCTTTCGTAAATGTTCCTGCTAGATACTGCAGAACAACAGGAATCATTTTAGGAACAAGAGTTCCTGTTTCGCTAAACTCTCCGATCATCCAGATAACGATAGCTCTTGCTCGCTGGACATTCAATTTGTCAAGGCCGCGAATAAGGCGGGCGAGGACCTGCAAACAAAATCGTTCAGATTAAGCTGTGTCTCGATAGAGGTCTATTTAGTTCTACACATAACACTCGTCACAAGAGTCCACGCATTAACGCGTGGAGGTTAAAGCTTGACCTGCGTGTTCGCAAACAGGTATCTGCGCATGTCTACGATCCGCTTCAAGCAAATCTGATATTTTAGCTTGATGGGGATTCGAACTCTCGTAAGCAAATGTCAACGCAAGCTATTCCCTTATCAGCAATTCTATTCGAAATTTGAACGGCTAAACTTACTTCAAATACATAGGCACGATAATGTGTAGTATTTGCAGCAGCTCAACCGGAATCCATCCGCTTTACCATCATAACTCTTGTATTTCTTCTGCCATACCTCTTCATTTTCAAGTGGCCGCTGTTGCACAATTATGCGAAGAGCAAGGACAGCTTGAGTAACAACGACAGCCTCTCTGCTGCTCTTCTCTCCATTATTTTGGCTCCGCAGTGTCCTTACTGGTGTATAACGAGTGGTGTGACCCTTAATCTGAGCTTCTTGGTCTTCTTTCCCGACATCATTTGAATCATTAGATACAACAGACCCACTTCTTGCCAGTAACAACAGGCCAATCGTGCAAGCTGCAGCAAGAGAAGGTAGTCGTACGGCGCACCGTCCGATAGCGCTAACAGTGTCTGCAGCAAACTGACGGTCCGGACTCCTGACATATGCCTACACCATATTGTACCAATCGTCGCTTAGGTATCACGTGAAAAGTTATTACCTTCAGATAGAATCAACTTCAACACATTAGCGGCAGTGAACTTCGTTGCAAAAGCCATTGTACTTAGTGTAAATAAACAGAGCTACTACCTGAAACTCTTGAAGAATATATTTTATTGAGGTTTCTGTTGCTAGCAAACAGAGAATGTCGAGCTTCAGTACTCGAATCTGCTCAGAGTCGGCCGATGTGATGAAGAAATCTTCATAATGAGCTTGAAACATCGATGGTGCCAATTTCACAAAGGTAGATAAATTCGCAAGCACCTACACAACAATAAGACGCGCTGGAGTTGGTTTCTGAGAACAAATGCACATGTGTGAGACTCCTAAAAAAAAGGGCCCCTTATATTCGACAGTAGGTATATTGTAATGAACAACATAAAAACGAAGGTTCAAACGACTAGACAGATATGGATTTACCAACCGTGTGAACCGCAGTGAGGCATAGACTGACTCCAAAGAAAAACAATGCTGATGTTCGCCAAGTTAGATCGTCTTATTCAAATGGAAATGAAACTGTATTCCTGTGTAAAGCTCACCACATACTGCGTTTCGGGTGCTGACCGAAGAAGGAACACCAAAGGCTGCACGATCTTTTTCACATCTTCCTTACGCCCAAGCAACCAATGAACACTAGCAGACGCCATAACTACGGCGCTGTTCCGGCTCCACAACAGAGGTTGAGTGTTCTGTAATAACATCTGTATGTCCTTAGAGACCTCCTCAGGTTCATCCATTTCTTGTGGTGTATTCCTTAGCCATAACTCATTAGCCGCTTGAAATCCAGAAACTTTTCCGCCTCCATCCTTCTCTTCTACCTCTGCTTTCCTCTTATCCCTAACTGCACGATGAGCATCACCAACCTGCAGCATCTCTAGCAGCTGTCCTTCTCTTTTCTCCAAATATACATCATCTTGGACTAGTCCTTTGGCTTGCTGAGCGTTGAGAAATCCGAAGCTTCCTTTAGGAAAGCCATGTCTTCCTATAGCATACCGCAGGAGATTGTCAATAAGCACAACCTGACCCCATTCATCCACATCGGGAAGTAGTTCACAAAGCTTCTGAATGCGTGGTCCGAGCAGGGAAAGCCGATCAGGACATACGACACTGAAAGCTGCTGCTACAGCTCCAATCACACTGGGAGAGTTATCGTTCATTAGCAAAGCTATTAACTGCACAACAAGCGTTGAAGATAGTTAGCGGTGCTCGAAGGAGGTAAATGCAGAGAGCAATGTCTAGGTGACTTAATACTTAACCAACTTAAGATATTGTCCACCATTTCTGCTGCCTCTACTTTATAACGACAAACCTCATTTAGAAAAGAATAACTTAAGGCCTGGACAAGCAAGAGATGGCTGGGTCAAGAAATCCACGCAAGAGCCTAATCTTCAAATATGATATGAATCAGGAGGGAGAGCAGAAGAGACTTCAGACCCTTCAACCCAAGAAAGGGCCAAATAGAGTAGGCCCGCTCCGAAGCGAAGATACTGACACCAGAAAATCTTCCATTCAGATCGTATATACTTTCCACCTAGAAGCTAGTGAGACACGCATATTGTATGAACATTTAGCGCTATTTATTACATGTACAAATTTTTCATTAAGACATACCTCTTCAAGGGTTTCGAGATGCTGCTCGCGATCCATGGCAAAAACCTTGGAGATGGCATGTGCTGCACATCTACGCACATATGGAGAAGGATCTCTCGCACATTTGTTTACGGCCATAACTACCAGGGGAAGAACAACGCGAACTCGGATCCCTGACATAGCCCGCAGAGACCAAGCACGAACTAGGGGATTCAAATCAGATAAGTCTTTCTGAAATGAGTTGATTGCCAGCAATGCTTCATCGGGTCGCCTGAGGAGTCGAAAGAGCAACAGAAAATTGTATGTGAGCAGTATACGTCACGTGTATCTAAACTTTCAAGCCCTCTGTCCCCTAATCTACTCTCAGTTGTTCACGGTTTTAGGTGAAAGTCATATGCGTGTGTACATGCAGCATCTGTAAATCAAGGACCCATTCCAGAACGTGCTTGTACTTGAATAAAGAGTAAGCTCAACCACCAAGATGTGGAAAGGAGAGAACAAGGTGTAAAACTTTGCTATATCTGTCTTGCTTTAAGACCTAGGCCTTTTGGAGGCAGAACAGGGAGCACTCTCAGCAAGACGGATGGCATACTTTTCAGCATAATGTACCAAGTAGATGTAGACAAGCTTTTTCAGCTCCAAAGAAGGAGACGCAACATTTTTTACAACCTGCGAAAACGTTCAGTAGAGCTGTCAACACCGGACTCTTGATACCCGAATGATACAGTACGTATCCTAGCACGTAAAATCTCCTACCCAAGCGGGAAAGAAATGAGTTCATACAATTACTTCACCAGTGCTGGCACTGAGCAGTTTTCAAAGATCAGTAGTACGTATCAATACCCTGAACATTCTTCAAGGCCCTGCACTTGAAATTGCTCGAGTACACCCAAACAGAGAATGCCGAAAGAATTTCCGACAGCAATATACATGTACGACAAATTTGATTCTAAGGTGTCATTCGGCCTTCTGAGGTATCATTATGAGCAAGCACGATCTAGCAAAAGACAGTTTCATCCCACAACGCAAAAGCCGATCATCCTAAATTGATTATGACACCAACCTGGGGAAAGAAGTTGGACACATCTCTGCCTTGTGACATGAGAGCTATGAGGCGCTTCATGCCCTCAGTTTTTTCCGCTTCATACTTGGAGTCCAAAAGAATGGCCAAATTGGGCGCCTCCGGATCATCGTAAAAGTGGGCATCTGTACCCACACGAGTCAAGAGCGCAGTTGCTCTGCTAAAGGAGGCTGCGCTGACAGCAAATTGAGGAAACATGCTCTCGACCAGCTCTCACCTGCACCAAGACTCCGGTCCGAGCGATCGCCCGGCACGCTCAATTCCCCCCAGCTCCTCCCAGCACCTGATTACCACCTACCCACTGATCTCGGCACCCTCTGCTGGCAAATCCTTTCTTCATTCTGCCAAACTCCACACATTTCCACACTGAGCGTCAATCTTGGACACATTTCTCGTCGGCCCTCAATTCCACGATCAATCCACATTACAACCTACCCATTCGGCCCACGTCCACCACCTCGACCCCACCACCTGACGCCAATTTCATCCACCAGTCCAGTCCGCTCTTTCGATCCTGGATCCGCCACGACCCTGTCGGAACAAATTCTCGTCCTTCTCCTTCTCCTTCTCCGTCTCAACGCCTCACAGCCCAAGCCTTCGCAAGATCCTCTGGGCAGAGGCAGAGATCGAATCTCGAGGGCATTTGCATTCTAGCGCAGTGTGCTGCTGCTGCTGCTGCTGCTCATCGATCGCGAGAAAGAAACGACGAACGACGAAAGTGGCGCCGTGCGTCGACCGCCACATGGAATCTTCAGGTGCAAGCGGTGAATGCAGCGTCAGCTTCCGCGCCCAGCCCCGACCCGTTGCGCTCTGGATATATTCCTCCTCTTCGGTCTAATTCATGCCGAGCCCAGAAATTCATTCGGATCGAACTATTTTTCGTTTTAATTTCTGAGCCAATTTGCATAATATTCTGAGGTATATATATATCTTCTATAATTTCCGCTCACGGACCAATCAAAAGGGTGATCCATAGCAAGGCACAACCAACGAAAGAGTCACATGATCGATCTCCTACGAAGTCTAAGAGCATATTCCAACCTCGACATATTGGCACTTGGTGTTAGAGATGGGTGTACCCTCATTCGGTACGTGGTGTATATGAGTTGCGGTGGGGACTACCGATACATCAGGCTTATTATTAATTACTTTTGATATTATTCATTATATTCTTATTTATTGATTCTACCGGTGATGGCGGAAGAAGGGTTTGTTAACAGTTTACTTATTAATATTTCTAAATATTGGACTTCTATGGATATTGATGTTTAGTATAGAATGACATCTTACTAATACTAATATGTACTATATATAAGATAGCATTATTGCATTGCTATATCCAGAGATGTAGTTTTGTGCAATGTATTTGATCTAATTTATTCTTATTAATCTGCAAATAGCTATAGTGTTATGAGGTATATTATAGACAATTTAATTGTAATACTCTACATAGAGCTGTGGTGGTATATAGTGTACTTTTTATTGTTGCATAGAGAACTTTAGCGTTGTGTAGTATATTTTAGATAGAATTTTTTTCTTGCTTTTAATTAATTGTCAGTGCTTTGTAATTTAGATATTTGTTTCCAATTGCTCTACATATGGTAATGGTAAATAGAACTACATTGTTATATAGTATATTTTATATAGCATAATTTCATTGCTTTACATAAAGATGTTGTGGTATTTGGTACATTTTAGATATTGTACTTGAGGTTGTTCCATAAGAGAATTCTAGTGTTATGTAGTAAATTTAGATATCATATTTCCAACCCTCTATAAAGAGTTCTAGCTAACATAAGAGACATGATTAATCACATCACATATTGTAATGTTATGTTGGATATTTTTTATAGTTTTTAGTCTTTTGATTGATTTAGTTTAATTAATTTATTATTAATTGAATAATTTATTAATACTTAAGTTGTTATACATAAGTTTGATTGCAATACTACCAAGAAGTAACTCGTGATTTTTATTCATTGTAAAATTTGATAGTGTCTTACATTTTTTTTGTTATCTCACGATTTTTTCTTCTCAACACTTTTACATGCACATTAAATCATATCTACTTATACAACATATATATCAATATCATTGTCAAACAAGAGTACCAAAAACATACCTATGCAAAATTTGACAAATCTTTAAAAAAGCATAATTTTAAAAATTACGATGTGATATCATACTTCTTACCTTTTTTGATAAATTATTTGTAATAATGTACATCAATTATGATGTAGTAATTATCTGCAATAACTTATATAATTTATATAAATCAATCATATAGAATAATAATTCTTAGTTAATTTTATTGACCAATGTACTCATTGGATAGATTACATTTGCAATATAATAAGATGTATATATCATGTCATAATGATTATTGATATCTTATCTTATCTTATAGTAGATTTTCATTGAATTTTGTTGGTATTAAACAACAATGGAATAAAATTTGAACACCAAATTTATTCATTTATATTTGATGAATTTTTTTCATTAATGTGTGATTCATTTCATACAAGTTATGATTTTTTTTAAATATATATAAGAATTGATATAATGTCATTAATAAACAAGTTAATCGTTTAATTTGTTTCAAAATATATTACACTTGAATTATGATAATAAGTATTGTAACGTGTATAAATATTGTCTATCATTAACATCTGATTAGAGTTGATTCTAGTTGAGTTAACTTTAGGTTGAACCTAGATTAAATCACCCCCGTCAAAGAATATAGTTGCATTAATTTGAAAAACTGTGAACTCTTCGAGTTAAGTTTTTTTTCGAAGGTAATAACTTTCAATAGGTTGGTTATGGTGTCCCGCTAACTTCGACATGTAATTTACTAGGTGTGAAATGGATCTAGCTCGATTGTGAATCTTCTCGTTTGAAATGAATGAAATTTACACATATACCTTCACTTAAAAAACTTAGTCACTTATTAATGATCAGACAACGCCGATGAGTGTGTTTGGAGTTTTGCTATTGCGATGTTTTTTCATTAATGATGATTTTTTAAGATAAAATTGGCAACGTTGGGGGAGTTGGTCAGATGATGTCAACAATTTTTTTTTTGATATAGTTGATTTTACTGTCTTCGCCCAAGTGAAAATTTCATTCACAGATTTTGTATCGTGTGTTGATTTGAGTATTCTTTCAATCATAAAGAGTAGTTTCGAGGAGAATATTGACTTCTTCATTGAAATCGAAAAGAAGATTTGAAAGTTTGGAGAGTGTGAAAGGGGTTGCTGGAATTGAATTTTTTGAGATTTGGATCACCGTGGAGATATTATGATTCGTCTATGTATTTTTGGAAAGTTGAAATTCGTAAAATTGTGTAGTAATTTATTTGCTCAAGAAGATAAATTTTGAATTTTACATATAATCGGTGAAGATTTATTGATTGAGTGATGTTGCTGTTTATGACAAGATGAAATTGAAAGTACAATTGTTTAATTTGCAAGTCTAAGTGTGGCGTTGAGTTGGAGTACATGCCGGACTGATGACAATTTGTTGAACCTCTAGCCTTGGTTGACTTTGGTGGAGTTGTAGTTGAAGGTAAAAAAAAAATATAAAATGCACAATTGGAAAATAACTATAATATCATATGTTGCATGTGTGAAATAGAACTAGAATTAACTAAGTAGTTTATTATGGTTATCTTAGTTAGAACAAATTCTAGATAATTATGATTAAGCCTAGCTAGTTAAAACTAAATTTGTCAAGTTATAATTATGTTTAACTATAATGTATATATTTGGCGGAATAACTAAAGAAGTTCTAAAAAATTTGAATGAATATTTTTATTTTGTCTTGGACAAAGTCTAAATTTCAAGATAAAAGAATTTTGACTTCATGTTTAATTTTAATTGGTTTGATTAAATTATGAAGATTTTATTGGTGACATTAAATCTAATGTTGAATTAATGGCAAGTTGAACTTTTAGAAGTTGGAAATCACAAATGACATGTTGCAATCTCAATCTAAGTAATAATAAAAAAAATTAGGTTATCAATAACATGTTGCAATGTATTGGTAACTAGTCAAATTTACTATGATTTATCTTTGTAAAAGTAAGTTAGATAGAAATAATCATTTATTACTCAAGCAAGTCTAAAAAGTTCATGTGTAGAAACTTGTTTCATATATAAAAGAATGACATTTTTCAACATCTTGGAGTGTTGATTTGTGTGTGAATTTAAGTGATGAATTGAAGAAATGTTTGAAAGTGTATATGGGCAATATAACTATGAGCAGGAATCCTAATCTTCTAGAAACATGATGAATTACAGCAAAACCATCTAAAGTAAATTTGAGTGGGAATCAACCTAGAGGTTGAGGAATTCGGTCTAGAAGCTATTTTCACAAAAATTGCACTAAAACAATATCGCATGCAAACAAAAATAACAAGTGGCAATGATGTTGAGCATGAAAGACAGTAGTTAGATGTTGGATAACTATGGAAAGAGTTGGTTGTAAATATATGTGCTTGATAACATTTGACGCACCCATGTTAAACCAACTACCAAATAAACTAACACCCAATGCAATTGCAAGGCTAACTCCATCCAAATGGTCATATGACTCTACTACTGTTATCTGATCAAGTTGTGATTCTTATGCAATATGATATGTTGTTATATTACAGTATGAGTCAGTGAAAATTGAAACACATGTTAGTGAATATTTTAAATCATTTTACACGTGTTCAAACGATAATAGTTGGATCTAAGTTCCACCACTAGAGCTTGATTCGGAGAAAAATGAAATAAATTTCAATTTTCTAACTTCACCGAAGACGAAAGCTGACTAGTTCGAACGATGATAGCTGGCTCCAAGTTCCACCACTAAAGCCTAAGTTAGAGAAAATTGAGACAAATTTCAATTTTCTAACTCCACCAAAGGCATAAGCTGCCGGGTTCAAACGATGATAGCTGGTTTCAAGTTCCACCACTAGAGCTTGAGCCGAAGAAAATTGAAACAAATTTCAATTTTTTAACTCCAACGAATACGAAAACTGACAAATGTTTCACAACTGCACTCTAAATTACAACAAATCAAATGTAATCTAAAATTTCAAGAGTCAAGTTGATAATCCTCATTGTTGAATTAGCGAGACAAAAAAAAACTATCATAGATATGAATCATGTTTCATATTCTCTGTGAAGCAACCAAACTGGACACAATCAAAAATAGTACATGATCTGAGGACCATGAAAACACATAAAGAACGGAGAACGGAACTTACAATTTTTGGAGACCGAAAGAATCGCAAAAAAAATCTTGTAAATTGGAATCCGTTTCCAAAACCAAGAAAACTCTAGCAAAAAAGAATAAAATTTACACATGAAAACACTAAAACCAAAACATAAAAATAAAATTTGACTAAACTTGATAAAGCAATGAATTATAAGAAAGAGACTTACCCAATCGATATCACAATAAAGAAGATGAAATTATTCTACATTTTTAATTGAAAGAAAAACTTTCCATCATTGAGGTAGTCTATGTGAATGAAATTTAATTATCAATCAGTTCATTAAATAGGATCATCATTTAAACTAATTATAGTTGTGTCAGTTGAAAGCTCTTCATCAAGACGTTTTGTCATGAGAAATCTAAATTAAGTCAAAAAGATTCTATTAAAATCAATTTGTAGTTTTCTACTCTTATGTTTTTCATGTAGTTTAGTGCTATGTCTAAAAACTCATTTTTATTTGTTTTTTTTTTACTCAAACTTTTGAGTTGTATCAAAAAAAATGTTGTCAACACTAATAACATATTTGATATCTAATATAACATCTGGTAGAGTTTGACTATGATTGGTACCACTTGGATGATTAATATTATTCTTGTGAACATTTTCAAGAGCAAACTACAAATCTTGTAAATTTCACAAGTGATAACTTTTTAGTTATAATAAATATAAAAATAAATACAATGAAAAAATATATATAAATATACGTTTATATCATAAACAATTCAATTCAACACAAGTTGAAATCATTTAAAAAAAATCTCTTGATTGTATCAAACGATGTTTTTTTTTCAAATTGTTTTTCACAATTGAATTGTTTCTTTTTGCGCCATGATATTTGTTAACAATCTCCAATTTTCTTTTCAATGTTAAATCATTTACCATGATAAACATGTCGGTTGTTGTGACCATATTTTTTTTTGTTTCTAATTAACATTGGTCCTGAACTTTCAAGTCATGCAAAGACATGTTCATCACAACAAGTGTGCTCTCCACGATGCAATCACTATTTGATTAAATTTTTTTACATGCATCCAAGCTTATCTTGATTTATCAAGATAAATATTTTTCTCATTATATCTCGATTATAACATCTTGTTCATCTTAATTCAGATTTGACTCTCTACAAATTTTTTTTCTAGCTTGTAGTTCTTCACCATATCTTACTAATAGTTGAGTATTATTTCTTAATAACTCTAAATATTCATTAAACATCAAAATTTTATATTGCGATCCAACCCATATTTCATGTTGTTGAATAATGGATGCTTCTTTGTGTAATTGTCATATCAAAACTCTACATTGAAATTTGCATATGTTTCAAATTACAATATACAAAGACAACATAGAATAACAATCTCCAACAATATATTTAATTTTTTATTTTGTACAAACTATCTCAACAAAATTTGACTTTACGGTATCTGAAAATTCATATGAATATAACATAAATAACCTATCATTATTTATAATCAAAACATATTTTTGTAAAATTATAATAAAATATATAATAAAATCAAAAATTAATGAATATAAATAGAAAATTATAAAAATTTTCACCTTAGCATATTTGATTTAATTTTCTATTGCCCATACATTGGAGATGATAATTTTTTATTTTTTTAATTAATTATTAATTTCATTTACTTCCTACAAGTGTTATAAAGAAGAAAAATATCATGCTTCCAAAAAGTATATCTTATAATTTGTCCAAATGACAAGCTTTCAAAATACCTAGCATTCTTTGAATCATTTGTTTCTTGGCTAGATGCGAAGCTTTTGTTGTACAATTTGTTATCTCGTTTGTATTATTAACATTTTGACAAATTGTTAATAATTTTTCTATTGAAGCAACACACAAAACATATGTAAAATATCGTAATTGAAAACAAAAAAAAACATAACTTATGAAAGTAGAATTCAAAGTAGTGTTCATAAGATAGAAGAGGTTTTTATTTAATCAAGTTCAATCAATTATTGTGAAATAATGAACATAAGAATATTGATTTCAAAAAAAATAAATTTGATGATGCATACGATCAAAAGATAATGTATGTGACTTAAATCAAGTCACACCATGTACCTACCAATTGTAGTGTAGACTACTTCTTTATTAGTGGAGTTCTTATCAATCAAAACACTCACAATCAATATCAAAATAAGAATAAATGAATATTTTTCACTATAAATTATCATAAAAAAATCAACAATTCAAGATACAACTAAATCCAAAGTTATGTAATATTTAGATATCACAAATGTAAAATCTAACATCAAAAATTTATTTAAAGAATAATGAATCATCATCCTTAATTACCATTTGGATTTAAGTATCAACATTAGATTTTGAAATAGATCTGCAAATTTATACTATTGATGTAAAATCACAATATGAGGATTCGCATTAATTCAAATTTGAATAGATTTTTGATTGTTTTTATAAAACATATAAGTTATTTGTCACGTTTACGTTTATATCATGTATATCTTTTAGATGAACGTGATAATCTTTAGTTTCTCTAATGGATCATGAAAACTGAATAAAATTATTGAAAATACAATTTGAACATTCTATTTGAATCTATTGTTTTAAATGCACATCAAAAACTTGTGAAATAGTCAAAGTTTATTTAAACAATTGCTCTATATTTCATCTGAGTTTGATTATAATTTGTGAAGCATATGCACATTCCAAAAAACAATTACATAATGTACAATTATTCCGTGATAACTTTTGCTTTTATAATACAATGATTTCTGTAATATAATTGTAGAAATCAACTCAAAATTAATAAATATATATAAAATAACAATTACAAGATGAAAAATATAATTTTATGTTAATAAAACATTTAAACAAATTACACATACTTTTGTCTGTAATATATAACAGCAATGTCAGATTTGGATTTATGATATGTAACAATAAAGTTACAAACACATAATCTTTTTTGATAATCATTAAAGTTTATATTTTTTGATCGTGGTTTACTACTGTCACCTATACCGAAAAGTGGATAAATGTATTTTTTAGATATTGTGTTTGGATACAGAGAAGTATGATTCAATGATCCAAAAACACATCAATAAGTTACAATTTTAATTCAACCAGTCTCGATAACTAGTTTGTCATTCGTTGGTTTTTTTCAAAAGATTATGTCTAAATCTATATTCATTTTGACTTCATCATCTACACTTTCACTTAAAATACGAATTATCTTTACAAGAGAAAAATGCATTTTTCAATTCCATTGCAAATCGTCTACATGGAATATGCCTGAATGAGCCGAAATTTTTTTATTACAAACTCAAACTATAATTATGAAAACTAAAATTTTTTATTTCAAAAAATGGATGACTAAAAATATTTATAAACAACAATGAAACAATCAAGTTAATCTACATCATCCAAGATACAAACTCAAAAAAGTTGAATGTAACACTTATACATTACGACGTACATTGTGACTGAAGAGCAATGAAAAGTACCTCAAACTGTAACACAAATGCTAAGATGTACACTTATATGATAAAAAATGAACAAAATTTAATTTTCATTCAATATTTTCAAATCATTATTCCAAAACACTTTATAAAGACTGAGTATTGTCTTGCATTTGCAGTTGAGTGTTTAGTTAACATCTGTACGTCATTTCAATTTCCTAGAATTGCTAAACATTCTCTTCACTTTGCATGACAGTCTTTGATGTTTCAGATTATTATATCCAAAGTTTACCCATCTCCATGCATGGATCGACATCACTAATTTGAAAGCTGCATAAACTCTCTAGATATAAAGTTCTCTTGTCACAAAAAACAAATTCAGTCAAATTTTATACGTCCTGACTAATACGAGAGATCCAAAATGTATTCTTAATATGATATCAATGTGTTCTTATCTTTGTTAAACATGATATATTATTATTAGATTTTCATTGTCTGAATTAAATTTGAGAGAGTTTCAAAATTTGATAAGCCTGTTGACGAGAATTAAATTGATAGCTAATGATCAATTTCATCTTGATTAACTCTAATCATATTTACTATTGAAAATGCAACGATATATTTTCAAATGAAATGATATGGGATTATAGATATAAATTGAATATTTTCAATGAATATGATGATACTTCATATGGAGTAAATAATGGAGTTCGAACATCCATTGACCCGCTGAACCAGAGGTATTATTACAAGACAAGACATTTACACTAGAGAAATTAAATACTTTAAAAACAATCCATACTTTGCATTTAAAGGTATTGCCAAAGATCTTGTGGAGCTTTATCCTTTCCTGTGGTGCTATGACAACTGCAGATTGGGGGGAAATTAAATATCCGAATAAAGGACAGTGTGCTTGGTTCATAATAACACCGAGTTGTACTAGGATGGGAGGGAAATGTTGGAGACACCCGGTGGCAGCAAAAGTCGGAGGGATGTGAAAGGCGGCGACCCAGTGACAAGTACCGTCACTGGCGCGGGGCCGGGAAAGAATGGCACCGCGCTGCGCTGAATCCATCTGAAAGGCCAGTGAATCTTACGCAGTCAGCTGACGGAGGCAAGAGGACCGCTGGATCGACCGTCGTACCGCCTGATGACGAACCCATTACTTGCCGTGTATTTCACGAGCTCCGACAATTGTCAGCGTAGTGCGTCAACGTTACCAGCTGCACGCAAGCCAACACGTGGACTGTGGCGGCACCAAGTGGCCAGAAAACGGTCCACGAGCTGAGGACCACCTGACGACTCAATGTCGGAAAGTCAATCCAAAATCTTCAGCGAGCTGGATGTTTGAACCGTATGGAATGTCCTTGTGATCTGTTTCTCTCCGATTGGGTTTCGACCGATCACAAGCTACTGCAAAATTTGGAAGTGCCGGCTGTCGAATCTCGTACTTATCACTCAGTCTCTGCCCCATGAGACTCAGAATTTGGGCTCGCTGTTCTATCCACGACTCAATCCGTTCGCGCATCCCTGAGCTGATCTGAGCTAAATCTGCAATCGGAGTGCATGCATTCTCTCTCAAGTGATCAGTGTCCCTTCGGTAATTTTCCAATGCACAATGGGAAAGTTTTCAGCCGGTGTGTTTGGGGCCCTTTAGTCTCTTCCAGACTGTATAACGTTCACCTTGAACTGAGAGTTGCTCAGACCCGTCTCCTCTAGCTCGTGCCGTGATCATCTCTCGATTCTCGACCCATCCTTGACCCATGTGCTCGAACAGAACTTAACACTTACGATGATGATTATGATATTCTGGTGATGCGTTTCGTTTTGCGATCTGAATCGTTGTATATGCAGATCCACAGCAGTAGCTGTTGCGTTCACAGGGGGCGACCTTGTCTCAGAAGCGGGGACATGACATTCTCTTGAGCTGAAAAATATGCAATCTGATGGAAAAGAAATCTGGAGTGGACTCATTCTGAAGGGGAATAAATAATACGCATGGCATGTCCTGTGTAATTTGCTCCAGCAGCGCATGCGTCGTCGAGCAAAACGCAGCGTCTGGACTAGCCAGTTCTGAGACCTGGCGGAAGAGCTCAAGAATTAAGGAGCCCGAGAAGGAAGAGAGCAGGAGATTAGTGCTCTTTGGAGAGGAAGATCATCGAGAGCCGACATGGAGGACAGAACGGCAACTCCGAGCTCGGAGCAGGGGTCGGTCCAAAAGACAAGGAATGGAGCAGGAATGCAAGCGATGAACATTTCTGGAGCCACAACAGAGCCTGCTGCATCTGCCATGAATAGGTACATTTGGAAGCTGTCGATTTCGGCAGGTTTAGGAGGACTTCTCTTCGGCTACGACACAGGTACGTACAGAATACTGGGAAGCAGAGGTCCGAGTTTTCGTAATAATTTTTTACGGCAACAGATTGGGATGCAAGTGCGTGCAAAATTTGTGTTGCATGTGAGTCTTCAGAATATCCATCGCATGCTCATGGCCTTTGACGTGCAGGGGTGATTTCTGGCGCTCTGCTGTACATTCGAGATGATTTTCAGGCCGTGGACAAGAACACTTCTTTACAGGTCCAACTCCTCGGTAAATCATGTTACTCGTTATCTATGTACGCACGAAGTGTAGTCCGTGTTTTGTGTTTTCATTCCCCCCACCCACAAGATCAATCGTTGTTGTTACAACTACTGTTAAGTGGAGAGACCATCAGGCGAGCCTGACAAGGTTGAGCTCCTCGTAAGCTCTGAGTCTGCATGTTCACAGTTTAGAGGAGCTCTGGTTTGAATTTGGAAAGAATTGACAATTGACGGTATCTTCATCCGGTGGTAGCAATAAACCACGAGCTGTGGAGGTGATATTGGTCTGATCGGAGGACGAACCGAACTGAATGATTGTTTGTGCAGGAGGCGATCGTGAGCACTGCCCTGGCAGGCGCAATCGTGGGGTCGGCTGTCGGGGGCAAGATGAGCGATCGCTTCGGCCGGAAGCCGGTGATCATGTTCTCGGACGTCGTCTTCGTGATCGGGGCAATCATCATGGCCTCTGCCACCAGCCCCGACATCATCATCGTCGGGCGAACTCTGGTGGGCCTGGGCATAGGCATCGCTTCTATGACTGCTCCTCTGTACATTGCCGAAGCTTCGCCGGCCAAATTCCGAGGCGCACTCGTTACCATGAACGTGCTCATGATCACGGGCGGTCAGTTCGTCTCTTATCTCATCAACCTTGCTTTCACCAAGGTATGATAGTTATCGTCACTGAAATCTAGACTGCAGATGCCAATCGCTCAGACCTGGACACCAGAACTGAACATTTTGCTCGTCAGTCATGCTTGTACTGAGACGACCCTTAGTGAAGTGAAGCTGTCAATCATGTCATGGTCGTCCTCTCTTTCAATGATCATGCTTGAAAGGGCCAGTGACTAACTGAGGGTGAAGAAGCCCCTTGGACGATTGTGATACGATCTGTTCTTCAGTAGGTGCGAGAGGAATTCTGATATGTAAGAATGGCCGGGATCAGATCTACACAATATCAAATGAGACGAGACGAGAAGCTGACGTCCAAATGTGCAGGTACCTGGGACATGGCGATGGATGCTTGGAGTGGCGGCTGTGCCTGCAGTTGTGCAACTAGTGGCCATGTTATTCCTGCCAGAGTCGCCTCGCTGGCTCTACAGCAAGGTCTAGATGGGACATTTTTCAAGAGCATTCCCTTCTGTGCTTCCTTCCTTCCTTCCATCTACAACTTGGAGAAGCTCAGGTCTCTGTCGATGAATGGCTCGCCATGACTTTTGACTGGTTGAAGATTATTGGTGTACAGGGGAGGGTGGAAGCGTCAGTCGATGTTCTGAGGCAAATCTATCCCAACAAGGAACAACTGGGCCGAGAGGTGGAGGAGCTGCAGAAGTCTGTCGACGACGAGCTGCGAGAAGATGCAGATGATCGGGGGTCGAGGTTGATACACGAACTCAAGAGCAAGAAGGAACTCCGCATGGCTCTGGTGGCTGGCGTCGGCCTTCAGGTCAGATCGAGCTGCACACATCCCCCTCCTCACTCCGATCAATGCATGCACCAGACGAGATTCGCCTGCACGCACTTTTTGCCCGGAAGCTCTCTGCGTTGTGGTCATACATCTCATGTTACCCCCGCACCCCACCCCACGTCAGGGAAGGAAGGATGTGGGACTCACGGGGATGGATGGATGGATGGATGTGGGGATGGATGGGTGGGCAGGTGTTCCAGCAATTCGTGGGAATAAACACGGTGATGTACTATGCGCCGTCGATCGTGGAGCTCGCGGGGTACGCCTCGCATCGAACGGCGCTGTTGCTGTCGCTGGTGGTGGCAGGGATCAACGCGCTGGGAACCGTGGCGGGGATCGTCTTCATCGACCGGCTGGGACGCAGACGGCTGGCCATAGGCAGCCTGATCGGCGTCGTCGGAGCGCTGGTGGTGCTGACGGTGGCATTCCACCTCACCGACGGCGACTCGCCGGCGGTTGCCATTCCGCTCAGCTTCTCCCAAGCTCCGGGCTACACGTGTCCCCTTCTGTCCGCCCCCAACCGGTCCCCGTCCGCCGCTCTCGACTGCGTTTCCTGCCTCAAGGCCAGTGCCACCTGCGGCTTCTGCGCTGCCCCTGGCAACGAGGTACACTCCGTTCCCATTTTCCCCTCCCTGCTTCGATCGATGATCCATCACAACCTTCTCTTCGAGCTCCCTGCAACTCTGTGTGTCTTGGGGGCGGTCCATCTGAACTCACTCTTAGTAAAATTCGAGCCAAGTGGATGAAAGAACTATGGAAACACCCATCAAGGCATACAAGGGGAAAAAGTCCAATTCAAATACCGGTTAGCCCTTATTGAGACAAAAGCATATTTTTTCAGTATCTAGAACACTAACTAATCAAGATTAAACATTTCAAATGTAACTATAATATATGTTGTCGGGTTTCCGTAAACTAATCTTAAGAACACTTTGAACTACTTCTATACTTTGAACTACAGTTCAAGGTTAATCTATAAAGCTATGGAAACACTTTTTTTATTGCATGTTAGATCAGAACAGGTAATGACCAAATATTGATGGAAAATATGTGTTATAATATTTAGAATACAGATTTATCTCTACATTAACGAATAACACACACTTCTATGTGAGAGCATCAGAAATAATGGCAGGGTAGACTCTTCCTCAAATATGTCTATGGTTGTGTGTGCACAACCATAGACATAATTGTGATTCGACCGGTAGTGTAATAAGTGAGCTAATTGTGAACTGCCTCAAAAGTCAGAATTCCCTTTTCTAATACTCATACTAATACTAAACGAAGGGGAGAGGGATGGGTCAGACGCAGAATAAGATGTTATCATCCAAGACTCAAGGTGAAACTGGAGCAGGATAGACTGACGGGATTGCTCTGGTGATTGTGTTAGTGATTGCACGGGCATGTGCTGTGGGAACATGGTTGGATTCACGCAGATGCAACCGGGACTGTGTCTAGTCTCGAACAAGACGGTGGACGAGTTGTGTGGAGATTTGTCGCGCTCGTGGTTCACCCGCGGATGTCCGAGCCACTACGGCTGGGTGGCCATTCTCGGCTTGGCCTTGTACATCTGCGCATTCTCGCCGGGGATGGGGCCCGTGCCGTGGTCGGTGAACTCCGAGATCTACCCTCTGCGATTGCGGGGCGTTTGTGGAGGCATCGCGGCCACTGCGAACTGGTGTGCGAATCTGATCGTCACGCAGTCGTTCCTCACTCTGACCACCGCCATCGGCACTTCTTACACCTTTCTGCTCTTGGGCGGCATTTCCATCGCCGCCCTGCTCTTTGTTTTCCTCTTCGTGCCCGAGACCAAAGGCCTGTCGTTCCAGGAGGTCGAGACCATGTGGAGCCGTCGAGCCGCTCAAGGCTGGGCCCGCTCGTGGGCCCAAGCTCAAGCTCAAGCTCAAGCTCGCCCCTCCAGAGATCCCGAGTCGGTATCTCAGAGTCACGCGTTGTAGATTTCGCAAGGCTCCGTTCATTCAGGCCTTCGTTTGGACAGCTCATGTTCATGAACTATGCCTTCCGAACATCAATCGGAGTTCCGACGCGCATGGCTCATGATTTGTTTGTGATTCTCTTGTCGATGATCGCCTGTTGCCATTTTGCTATCTCGAGGCCAAAGTCGTATCGGAGGACTGCGGTCGGTGCTTCTCCTCTTCCTTATCATGTCATCTGTGTTCATTGGTTGTGCTCGTGTAAGGCGGAATCAAACCAGCCGGTTTTAGGTTTTGTCCGACTTTCATTCATGTACAAAAGAAAGCATTCTTTCATGAACTGACAACGATTTTTTCCCCTGTGGTTTCGACTGAAGTATCCTTGTGACACTCTCCATTTTACCATCATCTACCATATATTCTGCAAGGGCACAATTTATGCTACAGTATAAACTTAACTAGACGCCACAGTAATAATGTGATATAAATTATATGGCGTCTAATAATTATGCAATTATGCACAATGCTAGATCGCCTGGGCATGATCCTCAGTTCAATCTTTTAAGGGCGTAGTTAGAACACCAATCCAGGAGCATTGTGCACGTAAATCTCTCCCGGACGATGGACAAGACGTTTCATAATGAAACAACACGTCCCGGATTTGCGAGGAAGGGACGAAGGACATCGAAAGGCCAGAACAAGATGCCAGACTAGAGTATGAAAAAAATGCATCTTGCGAAGCGTGACATGTCTGGAAGAAAAGAAAGGAAAACGAGCTAAGTGTGCTCTCCAAATGGATGATGAAGAGTGGTTGGAAAATAGGAGTGACGATGTAAGCGGACATTGTGAGTAAAGGTTTAAATGAGGGGTACAAAGTACTGTACTGCTGCTGATTAACTCATCGATCTTCGTCTTGATTCCTTCATCCTCGTTTTACTTCCGCCACCCAGTTGGACCGTGTGCGACTTCTGGTGTGGGGTCGTGCAACAAACTCTCCCACATCGATGCCAGATCTCTTGCCAAGAGATGGACTTTACGCGAAGCCTTGATAAACTGAGGATGACAGCGACTCAAATAATTAGATTGATCAAATTAAATGGTTGGAAAATCAACAGTTGATTGGAAGTTGTTTAGGGCTGTTATCCTAAGTGACACGAAATTGATGACATAGTGTCAATTGGATAGCAAAAACTATTGGAAGATGGCATCAAGTTTCACTAAAAATAAACGAACCATATAAAACTGCGAACATTGTTATTATCATATATCATACCAGAAATATATCGTAGATCACTTTTATACATACTATGATATGCCATCATATCTTTCTATTCTATCTCTAGATCTAATGATAAATAACTAATAACAGAATCATCTGGGGTTGTATAGTTTATCGTGATCAATAGCGATATAGCCATATAGGTTACAATGCTCTGTATAGAATGATAGTGTATTTGAGTATCGAGTGTCAATCATTTCAAATTATAGTGAAGATTTGAAAAAAGGATCTGTGGGATGACTTTGCGATGTTGATTTGGAAAACATGTCAATTTCTTGACACATTTGACAGACAAAACATCTTAACAAGGGTTCTCTAGGACCGTTGGCCATTCTGGCCTAGCCTCCAAGCACCTCCGTGGTCGTGTTCTGGGGCTTGAGGCTTCGCACCTCGTCTCTTGGCTGGGGCAGCATGGCAGCAGTGTGTCCGTCTGCCTCGTCACGCTGGATCAGCCACGTCAAGCTGCCCCTTGAGAATCGCAGATTCCTGACACACGATACAGGCCATGTTCTCGTGGTGCGAAAGACGTCCAGGCTTGGCAGTAATTGTCAGCCTGAACGATGTGAAAGGCAGACATTTTTTGATCCCCCTTAACAGTTGTGAGAATAAAGAGTGCTAACCACATACACAGGGATGTTGCTAGCCTTTTCATACAATGGACATTACTCTTTGGACATGTGAGTTCAACAAATCCTGTAATGCTTTGTGTGGAAGCAGATTTCATGTAAGTGCTTTGTAAGTCATGTTTGGCTCAGAGAGGTATCAGAAGGTCAAGATGGTAATATCATATTCCCCCATTTAGTTACTATATTCTTTTACATCGGTGTACTTCTTATACCAGATAGCATATCTAATCATCTTATTTTTACATCAATGCAATTGTAAAAATTTCAAGTGATATTTCTCTTATGTTTTGCTATTTCTGAATAAAATAATTTTGTTTTTTTAGATACAATAAGATATTTTTTCAAATATGATGTTATTTGGGCCAGCCAGACGTTTCCCAATATTTTAGATTTTAGTGTGCCCGCTCACTTCATGCATTTTTTTTTCTTTTTTTGAGAGATAAGTTGAAAACATTGGGATCCCCTTACCTTTATAGTATCTTGAACTGGATAAAATATGCTTGTTTGAATATGTTCAAAAATAGGCAAGTGGCAAAGAGATTATGTAGTATATAGGCCACAAGATTATCCAAAGTGAGGACGCGACATTATTAGCCATGAATTTCTGAGTTTGTGACACATCTCTAAGTGTGAATATTTTCACCTTTTTCACAGCCGGGGATATGTCCGGATCCAACTTACCGTTGTACTGTTTAGGTCTCCTCACGGGTGAAGTAATTGAAATTCGTTGCATTGCAGTGCATCGATGAAGATGAAGAAAATGTCCTGAACCCTGCATGCTTTGATTTTCTGATGGAAGAATTTCTTCCATTTCCTCTATAATCTCAGGTGACTCAGTTAAATACATTGTTGAGTTTCTTTACAATTACATGATGATTTCTACTTACGTAATATTCGTTCATAATTTACAATGATCATTTCTTGCTTTGGAATGCTAAGTAGAGGTACGATAATCATGGACAACTTACCCTATTTGTAAAATGATCATGTCTCGGGTATTGGTAAGCCTTTCATTAAAGATTCAGGCAATGATCAATACGTATAGAGCCCCGCTAGGAAGGGGTATATCCGCGCCTAAGTAACGTATATCACATCAGGCGAATAACAAATGACTAGATTTATTCCAAGATATATTACTACTATAATATTATAGTAGTACAACTACTATTATATTATAGTGATTGTATTATTTATACTATTGACCATGGCAGAGGTCCTCAAGAAAATTCGTCAAATGAACATGGATTTACTTCACTGGCCAGTTGCACCTGGACACCCACACCTCAAGTCAAACGATGCAAACCGAAGGAAGGGAACACTTTCGAGCAGAGAATTTTCAGCACACTAGATGACGTAGAGACTGAAGAAGGTTCTACAAAACGCCTTCGAGGTTCATCCCAAAATTGATAGGCGGTCCATGACTTTTAAGAAAACCATCACGAGTCGGTCATGCACGACTAATATAATCAATCACCTCCCTGTCGCAATAATAAAAAAAATAAAAGAATTCAACTCACGTGTGTCTTTTAATAAACATCCGAAGACTTGTTGAACACACCAGAGATTCGAGACACGCGACGCGAAGGAGTTCGAAATGTGAGGCGAATCATTTCTCCCTCCGGATTGGGACACCGAACGAAGCAGGAATGGAATTCCCTTCGCTTATTTCCAGAATTCCCCCTGGCCTGGACATAACACCGCGCACGCACTTTCATGATTGCCTTGACATGACGCGTGCACACGTGGAATTCACACTTCCATGAACGGGAAGCATCAACAGTCAGAGAGGCGATTAATAATCGAAAAAGGACAGAAGTTACCTTGCGCGAACATTTCAACGGAACAGGACCCGGAATCAATTGTTCTTATAGAGAACCTCACGAGGGACCGTATCTGTAGTTGAGCCACACATACGGATCCAGCACCAACCTACCGACCCACCGTATGAGGCACCGTCGCAGCCTGGACAGAGTCCCTCCATACGACACACGCACAGAGCAGCACCCCGGAAAGTGGGGAGATCTCGGCCAGATCGGGCGGCACGGGATCGTCACCTACATCTCGACCAGCAAGCGGACCCGGGCTTGGCGGTCACGCCAGCCGGCGTCAGTGGTCCGAGGAAGAGGAGCAAGGAAGATTCGCACCTTCTCTGTATAAGGAAATCTGAATTTCGCTGCAATGAGGTTTAGTAATTCACAAAATATAGCTATAATATTTTTTTTCTAACCTTAACCTACAAAGTGATAAATTATCATACAGTTTAGGTCTCTTAAACATATGTTTCGGAAGAAACTGAGTCTTCAATATTATTCAACTGCAATTTTGGTCATTAGTTGCATTATTTAGCTTTGATGGATTGCACTGAACCCGTTGCAAAGCGTCGATACAAAACTGGAGCCCGAAAGACTCAGTGTCAACCGAAACAACCCTTACATAATAGTCTTTGCACTGCATCTCGTGATTCTAATACTCTCGAAGTTGTTGTTGTTAATTTTCAATTTTGTATATGCTAAGGATAGACTAAAAATTCTTGGACCAGACGCAACATCTTCGCAAATATCAAAAGCTCTCACCAAAGTAGAAGTGAAAGTATTTTGATAGTTCGGTCAAACATGCCAAAAATATCCAACCCATGCTTTATGAGATCAACCATGCAACCTCTAACATTTTGATTCCTTGCTTACCTCAAGGATTTAGATCATTGAAAACAAGGAATGTTATTCAAATAGCTTTGTATTATCAAGATAGTTTAGCAGATTATTGACAACAAAATGCCAATGATTAAATATTGAAATAACAAAAAAATAATTTGGTCACTGAACAACGACTTTGCACTGCGTTATACCTTGTGACAAAACAATGTGACTTTAGTGAGACTTGGAGTATTCCAGGAACGAAATACAGGTTTCTCAACTAATGAGTTTTTTGTAGCATTGGACTCTTCATTTCATGCACTTTCACTATCTACAGCGTTTTTTTTGGGTTAAAATGGAAAGTTTATATTCACATATAAAAACTAGTACCAATATACCTTGAAGGAATTCATTGAAGTCAAATTTGCAAGTTTTTGAGAAAATATAAGAAATTTTATATTCCGTATTTTGCTTCGATGCGAATCCTTATTATATTTTGTAGTATTAGGGAACGAATGGAAGTTTCCCCATATAGCCAGATCTTCAGTCCTCTCTATATACGACTGAAGATCTGGCACGATGGCAGGGATTGCAGAGAGGACCGTCGCGGATTCTCCACCACGGAATCGGCGTCGTCGCGGGCAATTGCCAGGAAGGCGGAGGAGGAGGAGGTCGTGGCGCCCGAGGACGATGATTCATGTTCTTAACCAGCGTCGGGGAGCTGGCAGCGGAGCGTGGCCGCGGCTCGGGGAGGGCGCGCCAGACGTCTGCCAGAGGTCTGACCTAGGCGCGTCCCGGAAGGAAGGGGGGCAAGCTTGGCGGGGAAGAAAGCGCAGACGGGGAAGGTGAGAGCCCAGCTGCCGCGGTCATTGATGCGTAACGGAGCGTCTCGGGAATCAAATCCAACGTCTGCGCGTCGACGGAAGAGGGTCGGGGCGGAGTTGGAGTCGGAGTCGGCTATGCCGGTCGAGGTGTGACGCCTTGCGCTCGTCAGACTCGAGGCTTTTGTGTCTGTCGAAGGGCGTCGCTGCCTGGGCCAGGTTGCCAGTTGCTCGTCTATTTGACTAGCGTCTCCGCAGTCGAGAGGCAGAGTGTTCGATTCGAGCTCGTCTGTGAAGCGGGGAGGATCGAGGAGACGAAGCGGCATTTTGTATTGTCGACCGGAGCTGGTGGCTGCTGCGTTTTCTTGGCCGTGGAGTGATTGAGTGAGTGATATAGTGCGTGAGTGCGTGCGGAAGGCAAAAAATTAAACACACGAAACGAACTGTGACTGCAGGAGCCTCAAGATCCATCTCTTCGTCGTTTAGTCGGAGTTCGAGTATTTTCTAAAGCTAAACTTCGCCACCATGAGCTACTACGAGGACGGCAAGCAGCCACCCGTCGGAGTCCCACCCCCTCAAGGCTATGGTACGCTCTTGCCCCCTGATTCTTCCGTGCTTCTCTCGTGCTCTGCAGTTCTGGGCGGGTAGAGGGGGAAGGTGTATTTCTAGCTGCCGGTCACACTTCAGTCGCTTCCCAGGAGTTGTCTGAATAGCATGCGCGCTGCAGATCGGTGACGAAAGACATATTCTCGATAAATCAAGAACCTGATTAGGATGAAGGTTGTCACCGTGTTACAGCCTGATGTCGGGCTTTTCCTTACAGCTGCGTAGCCTGAACTACTTATTCAACGTACAGCAAGTATCTTCGTTCTAGTAACTTTCTTACATACTTATAATCGCTAGCTTATCTCGGCATCTCGCAAATTCTGTGCCCTCATAATGTCCCGAATATGTGGAACCAATGCCTGATCCCACAGTAATAGGGCTGGCAGTAGGAGAACCTTGCGATAATTTATGTGAGAGGGCCGTCTTCAATTCCAAAGGATTTGACAATTAGGGTGATATAGGCTTGCTGAAGCTGTTCTCAACATCTCTCTGCCTTGTTTATTCCGCTACATCACAGCAGATGGTTGAGTGATTTCCTACTCTGCTAAGTGTTACTCACCCGTCAAAAAACCTCAGGTAGCGTCATTAGCATACAGGGAACGGATTTGTGTCTCCTGAAGAGCAATTGGTGTAATCTGAACATTTTTCCCAGGCTTTTGTTATCCAGATTTCTAGCTTTGATGTTCGTTTCTGGGCCTCGCTTACACGGGCGAATGCGGGGAGATGTACTGGAGTCTTGAAAATTAGAAACTTCATGGGACTAGATGGGTTCTTATTTGATGTCACCATCTTGTCCTGTATATGCAGGCTACCCACCTCAAGGTTATCCTCCCCAAGGGTACCAGCCCCAGGGTTATCCTCCTCAGGGTTATCCCCCAGAAGGTTATCAGCAGCAAGGCTACCCACCTCAACAGCAAATGTATCAGCAACAGCCTCAGTATCAACAGCAACAACAGAATAACGACCGAGGCCCCTCATTTGCTGAAGGATGGTGAGTTATTCATTGTTCAATTTGATTAGATGATTCAGGACATTGGAGGAGATGCATGTCTGGTCTGTTGGTATTTTATCTGACTGAATCTTTTTTGCATTCTCATGTGCAGTCTTGCAGCTCTCTGCTGTTGTTGCCTGTGCGACTTCCTCTTCTAGATCAACATCCAGATGAAGGATTCCGGTTTCCCTTTTTCGACATCAAAAGCCAAAGTCACTGGTGTCTCCAAGCTACGTACACGTTGTTACTAATTGGGTCCAACAATTTGTATCAGGCTTGTAGACTGTGTAGGTTAAAAGAAAAAACCAAAGGTTGACTAGATGCTGACTAATAAAGCCGATTTAGGACTTCTGGCGATTGGGATCATAGCGGGTTTTGATCCTTCGTTTCAAATTCTTTCGGAAGTGGCATTTATTTGTTGATTGTTAAAGTTCAAATTTTGTAAGCAGACGTCAAGACGAGTCTGTTTCGTTAAGCTACGACCTTCCCGCCTGACCTGAAGTGGACATGAACAGCGGACCTGCAGCCTTTGGTCCACTGACTCTAAAATTTATGAAGCACTCATGTGTGCTGACGTTATCGTCATCCACGAGGATGTTTTATCAGTGGATTACGGCAGAGCTGACAATGCTAGACTGAGCTGGTCATGAAGTGCAGATTTTATATACCACGACGGAAGAGCATCATTTTTTTATAGCCAGACCAGTTCCTTGATGAATTTGTCCTCCGGCTGTTTGCTCGTGTATATTTCCCTTCTATATATTAAAACTTCCTTCCATTTCACATGTTGTGCGTTCCTTCTGTCGGATTGTACACGGCTTTTCGGCTTTTGTAGTGGTTGTGAGTGTGGGCCTCGTAGTCGTTTGTTGCGAATTCTAGACGGATGGACTCAGTATATGTAATTTCTACGTACCATTCTGCGACATTGTACAACGTACATCCAGTTGTGTGTTCAATATGACTCCATGGAAGTTACTAGTGGAAGAAAAGTGCAAGCGTAACAGGCATTGAAAGATGTTCCATCACAGCTGTCTTTGCAAGTATTTTGGGAAGAATGTGGAAACTATATGTCTTCGATGAAGCCAAGAATCATATGCTGATTCGGAGTTTTCTAGTCTGTCTTTTTTTATATATACAGCATGATGACACAGGTATTTCTAGTATGTGAAGAAACCCTGGCCTGTACCAGCAGACGGCGTTGTGGGCATCAACCATTCGTACATCAAATTGGGATTGTAGGTGAGCGAGCACTCAAAAGCGACGCTCCGCCTAGAAATCCGCCCCTAGAAACTGGAGTTTGTATGTAAATTCATAGTATTATAGTTAGTGACCGCGGTATAGCAACAAACCTTATATCTATCTAGTTACAACTGGACACAACAGGAAGTGAAAAATCCACACAACTAACCGATACACTTTCGGATATCATCTCATCTCGAGACTGTCCGTTCATCAGCATCGAATTCTTAACAGCAGGACTGTTTGAATTAACATTCTAATGAAAGTTTGAAAGCGACTTAAACCCAATCAAAGCCATTATAATCAAAATTCGAACGTGAGTATATGATGTTCTGATAACGTCAAGCATCTACATTTAAATTGGCTAGTGTCGGAGTCAAATTCTTGAACATTTAAACAGAATGCCCAGCTGCATCCTCACACGGATATCACCTCGACTTACTATGGACCTTCATCTGCCACCGCTTTGTTGACCATCTCCATGTCCGTGGATAACTCTCAAACCTGATCCAGTTTCGATTTCAACGCGCAGTGAATCACAGATGTGCCAAGTTCCATCGACAAGTTTGAAGAGTGTCCATTTATATACTACTCGTGTACGCACTGCCCATGTAAAGTTTTCTTGATGATGGACGTTTGACTGCAGCACGTGAAGCTGACTGGTACGAATGGTCGTAGAGCTCATGACCCAATTCTGACCTGTTGCGTCCGTGTGGTGGTATGCGCGCCTGTTCACATCGCGATTGAATGGTTTAAGGGTTAGACGATAGGATTACCTATATATCAAATGAACATACTAGTCGATCATGGGGACAAAATGGGAGAAGCGGGAAGGGATTCATCCAGGGAAGAGATTCAGCGATTTAAGGGTTAGAGAGTTCAAACCATGTGAACTAAACTAGCATATAAAATATGTGCAATGGCCATGGTAAAAATTTTTTTTAGACAAACCTTGAGATAGTATTTTGTAAGCAATTTGCAGGCAACTATGTGTATGAAAGATGACAATGTAATTTTGGTATAATGTGCTGAATACAATCCATTTTATTCAGCACAAATCAATATGAAAATTGAATTTCAAATGAAGACTACTATTAAATGTTCTTTTGGGAGGAGATATTAGTGACCTAAAATATCCGTATCCTTGTACTGATAATCCGGAGTGGAATAAGTTATTCGATCATCTTTAACACCAGCTTTGAATCCAACATCTGCTTTAGTCTCCGTTTGTGGTGATATAAGTCCTTCCCTACAAATGAAATAATATTCTTGCATGTATGAGGTCTGCTCGATGATTTTTTTTCCTAATTTTCTTTTGTATAAAATTTTTCTAAGTAAAAATTAGTGAAAATCTTTAAGGTAGGCAATGGAGCAAGATAAGTGAAGATGAGCTTTGAGGGAAAATAGTATCTGCTTAAAAAATTTCAACTTTTGATAGGAGTGAAAGGATGTTAATAATTCTAAACTAATCACGTAAATAACATCATTTTGACTTTTGATGAGCTTGAAAAAGCATTTTAGTGATTTTGAACTCTTAATTTTGACAGGGTGACCAACAGAAGCAAGTCAACGTTTCCAAGAATCGTGAGTTGTAAGATTACAATCTTACTGCCTCATGTGTATGAAAAAAGTGTCCGAAGCTCATTCCTCTGAAGTTAGGAAGTACTCTCATATACACTTCCTCATCATTAGTTCAGAGAATTTACCCACACATATTCCACAATTTGCTTTTGAGGTAACCATCTGTTGAAAGTTTTCATTACCGATGTGTCCACCAGATTAGAAAATCCGAGACGAAGATATTTCAACGACGAACTGGTTTCTTTGTAAAGTGCAGTCTTGATAATGGACTCAGATAGAATAACAGTGAATCGTGGAGTAGTGAGCAAGAAATCAAACCATATTGCACGAAGGCGTTGTAACACCATGGAAACGTTATCACACCACAGAAAACACCAACAACTTCTACAAAACATAAATCAACATAGTATCATCAACTCCATAAAAACGAGAACACATGATCACAAGCATGATCATGTAACTTAACAAACAGATATTCTATCTTCAGGCAATGCTGACAAGCAGATAATGGATGGAAATGTCAAAATCACAAGAAGAAAAATGTGAAACACAGGACTTCACGTCACATCATCTCCTACAATCTATTCCATATTTCCCAAGACCAGCAAAATCAAAGTATAATCCCATGACTTATGCGGCCTAGCCCGATTTCACCCGTTTGGTCAGATCCATGTAAAACTTGACATGTCGTCTTCAAATTCTTTTCGCAATATCACTTGTACTTCATTCAATGAGTCCAGCGAAATTTCCCGCTGGCAATGGAGAAACTTACATGTGCGATGAAGTACAAATTGAATCCGTAGGACGAAGAAGACAACGAGTTGACGCCATGTGAATTGGCAATAAAATCTCACGGAACAGTGTCTACCAAATGAGAAGAGAGAAAACACGAGACGCATCTAACCAGAAAGCACGAACGCGGTCTCCGCTTTCCGAAAAAGCAAAAAGCCTGCCCCGAGAGTCTATTTATTCCTCTCCTCACCTCTCCCTCGTCTCCTCTACGAAGCCATGGCCGCGCGAGCGAGGCCCGTTAGTCGTGACCGCCGCTCGCGGACCGTTTTGCCAATAGAACGCGGCAATCGATCAAAAGTTGGCGGGATCTCTGAGCCGCGGTGGGCCCGCGCGCCTCCTGCAGGGTGGGCCGGGGAAGGTAGTATCGTGAGAACTGACTGTCCAGGACACTCCGAGGGTAACGAAACCGCGTCTGGGATACATCCAGCCGTGGTTAGCAATACACAGGCTTTCTTGTCCCGTAGCGCCGTCGCCTTTCCTCTTAAAATTTGATAGATCAAAAATAGAACCGTATGGAGGAATATTCTGCTCGAAGGAAGACGTCGCGTATGGTAGAGAGGAGTGTGGAGACAATACGGTTCTTGCGAGGAGGTGATTATAGCGAATGGAGAGAATCTTCCAGCGGGCAGACAGTCTAGTCCAAAATGGGAGGCACATGTAGTGAAAATTTCTTGTACATGAGATGTCGTGAATGTGCATGTCGTTCCATTTCCTGTATGCTTTTCATGGCTCGGCTCCCGTTGGTAGAGATTTGTGACTCGTGCCTTCTGAAATGTCACTGCAATACAGTTGGACTCGGACCACCATGACCATTTGGTTTCCGTTATGGGATCTTGACATGTTGGTGTTTTTTAACGGTAGGCATATTGGTAGGAAGTGGGGTTCATAAATTGACGAATTCAGGTCTGCTTCCGTGGTATCTAGGGCAGTGCATCTTGACTGCCTTTTCTAACACGCCCTTTGGTGCTGTCTGTATTCTGCTCCACATTTGTCAAATGAAATTTGCTTGTGTGAAATGATGTTGATTATCAAACTTTTCTTCTCAACTCCTACATGAGGTATTCGCGCTCTGCCGAGGCTGCAACTGTGATTTATGTGTCCCTTTTTTTTCTAGGGAATGCATTTGATCCGTCAACTCGCACCAAGCTTGCATGTGGGCACTTACTTCTCTCATTAGACATATGAGTCATGTGATGTGACACATTTAGGTGGAATGGTAAAGTGTTTCATTGCCATCTTACTTTTGACTTCTTAGGTAAAATTGTGTCTTATATTACCTGAAAAATGTAGACTATGGACAAGAGTTTTGGTCCCGGTATCCACTTCTCGATAGTGGAAAAACCTCAAGGTGACGTGAAGGGATACAAAGGTCTACAATTCTGGAAGAGCTTTTCAACAGTCAGTTAGTGGACTTCCATTAATTGTACTTTGTGCACAGTCCATTCAGGTGTTAGTATTAATTCAAGTTTGAGATTAACTCTAGTTTGGATTAGATTTAGAACTTCTGCTACGTACTATAAAGAAGTGCAAGCCATAGTTCTCACACAACATTATTTAGGTTCTAATAAAACCTTCAACTTACTTTGAAATTAGCCATGCACTAGCAAACCACACATAGGTCGGCTAAGCATTGTGTGAGTACTACATTTCCATGTGTGGAATTCTTGTTTTTTGATTCTAAAATTGTTTGGAGAATGTTTGCATCTATAAAAACAAGTTTTGCAATTTGGTAATGGTTGCAACAGAGCTCTGGTGATTGACAATATAACCATCTTTAGTTAGTTAACACTGAGGTAGAAATTTTTGAAGATGAATATATCATTAAATGATTGACAATGTAACTATCTTTAGTTAGCTGGTACTGAGGTAAAGATTATTGAAGTTGAAATTAAATTAGGGAGCAGCTAGTTATCTCTCACTTTAGGCTAATTATCCCTCACTCTACTATACTGTGAATGTTCAAAGGTAACATGTGCGTGAGTTAAAGAAGGTGAGAGTGTCCAAAAAGGCAAGCTGGCAAGCTCGTTTGAATTTCTTGCAAGCAAATAGAAGAGTTCACACTTCTGTCTTCTCTCTCCTTCCAATTCGTCCTCATCTTTCTCAGATGTCTTGAAATAAAACAATCAACTCGTTCATACTAAGAAATCAAACTTACAAGACAGAATTTTCCCTTGTCATCCACGAAAGATACGAATTAATTGACTAGAAGCTTTTTTTTGAGCTCGTTTTAATCTAAATGCAGCAAATTCTCCTTCCGTCATTGCCCTCAATCTGTCTCGATTTAATCCAAAAAGAAAATGTCCCCACTGCATACTAAACCCAATAAACATCTAGCCAACTTTTTTTGAATTTTTTTCTTTCTTTCATATAGCATACTCGCGGCCAATTGCTCCTGAATCCTTTTTTACATACATACCGTTGGAGAAGCGTGCAAGGGCAGCATTATGGCCAGCTTGAACCCTCGGGAAATTATCAAATCCTACTCTACCTCCTCTTGCTCATCCTCATCTCTTTCTCTCTCGTTCACCAATCACATAACTCTCTTCCGTAAGATGAGGGATAATTAGCCTACATTGAAGTTTAACTAGTCGCTCCCTTAAATTATTGTGAAGTATCTTTAGTTTGTACGTGAATAATAAGTATGCTTGATAGATAGAAAAAATGTGTATTAATTGATAACAATAAGTTAACCATCTATGTGAATTTTAGATTTATCCGTCATGTCATCAATCTGTTAGAAGTGGATTAAATGATAATATAAGATCTTATCTAGTTATACTTGTTGGAAAAATCTATATAAGGGAGAAAAAAAATCATTCTAGGTATATTTTATCTTATGAGTTGTACTTCGTTATCAAATAAGTTACTCTCTTAATCCTTTGTGTTATAATGTGCTTGAGCTACCTTGTTCTTTTACTTGAATGTGATGATGACATTACATTGATCTTGGAAATAAAAACATTTTTTTGAGCAAAAAAACTTTCAATAAGAAAAAAATCTTTCAATTAAATTGAATGAAATACTATTATGGAACATGATATACAATAGTTAATGAAGAACAAGACCTAAAAGCTATTGGAACTTTCAAAAATTCAAATTGATTGATTGATTGCAAGTATATAAATAAGCTATTAGATTGATGCTTAAAATTTTCACACAAGAGAAAAGTATAAATTACAACAAAGTTTTTTCTCCAATAACAAAATATGCTACTATTTGACATGTATGTGCACTATTTGGTTTCATTATGTATGAAAAAGATGTAATTATAGCAAAATCTACATGATATAATGAATTGGCTTTGAAAAATAATATCAATATAAGTTCATTTATAGATTGTTGAAAGTATTATATAGATTGACAAAACTTTATAGGATGTGAAATGTTAGGTTTGATGAGTCCATGAAAGCACAAAAATATTCACATAATGTATATGATACATTTGTTTACATGAATGATGAAATATTTCGTCTCATTCATTTAATAATTTATGTGAATGATGTATTCATTTTGGCAAAGAATCAATCCAAAAATTAAAGATGCAAGATTCAACTGAGCTCTCTATTCTAGATGAATCATTTAGGTAAGTCTAAGAGAATATTATGAATAGTTATTTCTAGTAATTTGGAGAAGAAAAAGTCCATCATTAATTCAAGACAAGCATGTTCAACAAATGTTTGACAAGTTTAGCATGAAATACTATTTAGATTACCAAGATAAACATGGATAGGTTTGATTGATTTTCATTACGTGACAATATGTCATTGATCTATCCAAATTTTTTTTAAAATTTCTTGTTCCTATGTCGAAATAATGATGACATTTGAAAAGTTCAAATTTTGAAATTTCTATTTGACATAAAATTACTTTTAAATTTAATCTAACTAATAAAATTTCACTTTTTTAGTCAAACCAAATAAAACAAATCAAAGTATTTTGTATTTAGAATCTAAAATTTGGTAAGAGAAAATATAGTAGTGCTCATATAAATTTTCTAGAACTATATTAGTCATGACGCCAAGAGCCATCCAATCATAACAGGCCCCATTTCCATCTATGGCAACCGGAACACACGGAAAGACCTTCAATGCATCGCACGTGTAAATTCGTACAAACACCTCCCCAAACAATCGAAGTGCCATACATGAATTTATTGAAGTACACGGAAATTTCTCTGTAGCAATGACATCAAGTGGAAGACGAGCCACTGATGTGGACATAGAGGATTTCCCGCACTTGATCCCATATGGAGCTGATTGACTTATCATCTCTTCATATAATGTGGACAGAGGAATGAGACATCCACGTTAATCTTAGTGTTCTATGAATAAGCGATTTGGCAAGTTACTTGGACTGAAGAAGGATAAGCTTTGAAGGAAAATTATTATTTTTGGCTTATCTGGAACGATGTTTGGGACATGAATGCAGAGTTTGTACAATAGTTGATATCCTTCAGCAATCTCCAAGCTGCATGAACTCCGGACTTGGTCAGGGCAAGTCAACTATCACTTACAAGCAGTCTAGACTCCAGAGACATTGTAAAGCTCGTACATGTGTAGAGTGAACACAAAAAACAATAAGGTATCGACAGCGACAGAGTTCAGAAATATACTTATCATATACAAGGTTTGGGACAATAATCAGTATACACAAGTGATTGTTTTCAAAACTTTTGAAAAGACGGCTAGGACTGGTCGAGAATTCTCTGTAGCTTAGAAAAACATATGCCTGACAGCATAAGCTTGTTCGATGTCGGAAATGTAAGCACAATATCAGAACCTGGGAACTCGCTTCATAATGTACAGGATGCCCAGTTATAACTTTGACCTCACGCTCTCCTTTTGCCTTGCTATAAGTTGGCTTCTTAGAACCCGGCGTAGAAGCTTGTTAGATGCTGTGCGGGGAAATTCCGAGACAACCTCGACGGAGCTGACCTGTAGCACCAACAAACACTGACATAATAAGAAACGAAGTCTATAAAAAACGAAGTCTATACACAGGTTAGACTTAACACAAATCAGACTTCGTCTCTTCTTCTAAACATACCCTAGACACACTGCACAAGTCTCTGACTTTGGTTACAGTTCTTAAAAAATCACAATGTTACCTTGAACAAAGGGGTAAGTTTTGTAGAAATAGCTGTTGCAAATTGCTTTCTGAGGGTCTCTAGAGGGATCGTTGGCCCATCCTTCAACACAGCCATGATTACAAGCTGCTCTGGACCACCACCCAGAGGTGGTATAGCAATGGCAGCCGTCTCCAGCACCCTCTCATTCGCAGTATTACAAACCCGCTCTATCTCAACAGCACTTGCCTGTCATAAGTACAACTCAGAATCAAAGCCAGCAACTAGAATGAAATATGACTTCCAATAGCATGAAACTACTCGATGGAGGCAGTACAACAAGTTTCTGCTCACTCATGATCTGACTAGGGGATGTCCTGTTATATGGAATGGAACTTTGGTGACCAGTGCTTCGAAGCGAGCATTCAAACAAAGAGCGACTAACAACAGTAGTACGCCAAAAGCTAGGTAAGAGGAGACAACAAAACCTTAATGCCACCGAGATTCATAGTGTCATCAGATCTACCATGAGCTTTATAATAGCCTCCAGGAAGCCGTTCAAACACATCACCATGTCTTCTCAGCCTCTGAAGAGAACAATCACTATGAAACCATTAGAATCGTACTTAGTGAAGAAGATCATGTGCCGTCGACAACATGTGATCTTCAAATGAACTGCAGAGAAAAATACAACCCTTGATTCCGTTAATGAACGATCTGTTTTTAGATAGTGAGTTAGATATGATATATTGTGGTCAACTAAGAGATAACGTTCTGATGTAGAAGCAACTATGGAGCTAAAATTTCCCATGCAACTGGTCATGAAAATGAATTCTGCATCAATACAAGACTAAAGCAAAGCAGAGTAAGTTGGTAAGTATGTTTGTGATACATACCTTGCCCTTGTACAGTGGCATGCCCTTGTAGTATACCTTGTCATGATCTGCATTCAACAGAGTGCTTGATGCTCCAAAATTTACAGCAACAAGAGCGACCTCACCGATACATGGCTGATCCTCCGGCTGCAAATCAAGACTGGGACATTTGTGAAACTTGAAAATAAATGCTGAATAAGTATGAAGCTGCCTCGCAGAATTCAGCAGTGCATATTTTGGAGACGTAACACGCGACTTTACAGGAACATGATCTGCTTTTTCTAAAACGATATAACGAGGAATACTTCAAAGTTTGCGCCAAGATTATACCCAATGTAGTGAAACATAACGAGGACTTTGGTCGCCACATCGATAAAAGAATGCACATGAAGGACCAGAAAAGAAAGGGATGAAGACTGCAGATGGGGTTTGAAACAAAAAGGATTCATGTTCTCCCATCTAAAATATTGAGCTGTAGTAGAGAAGAAACACTAGATAACTTCAATAGATGACCAGGACTTGCTCGAGTTTGACAAGCACTGATGACCACATTCAATGAATGTGGCTTTCACGGCTGGAAAGAAGCAAAATCGATACACACAAACCCATTCGATAACAAGCACGATAGTTCGTTGAAAGGGTAAACGGGTGAACGTCTTTCGGTAATTTGTACTTACATACACATTCCCGTTATCATCAAGGATGACAATGGTGTTGCTCATGCTTTGAGTACTGAAAGCTGCCAGAGCTTGAGGTTGCATGAAACTGCCCCCAGCATACGCAGCTGCCAGTTCTGTTCCCCCACAACATTCCAGCACTGGACCCTTGTATGCTATTTTACTCATCAACCACAAGTCATCATCCGCACTGGATGCCTCACCAGTTGATGAGAAGCATCTGCAATATCCAACATACGGTCAAAACCTCACGACCTGAATCTTCTCAACTAAGACCAATTTAAATTTAAGTGCCACTTTCGGAACAGCACGCAGAATTTGTGGTGAGTATTCGGCTGTTGTATCCCTCAGAGCAGCTCTTTCAATCAACCACCATAAGTCGAAATACTAAATTTAGTATACCCAAGAAGGCAGTTTTTAGCGCTTATAAAAGTAATGATTCTTGGCTTTAAGTACCGGTCTTAACACAACGTGAGCAACCACCGTCTTGTTGAGTTCATAAAAATTCACGTGTTGTTAGTAGATGTTCAGGTCCACCAAGAAAAAAGTTACCAAACAACATTCCTCTCACAGAGCGTGTTTTGGAAAAGACACCCGTACAACAATCCGTAGAGTATCCAAGAATTTCGAGAAAACGAAGATGGGATTCCAAGCGGAGTGAGATATACACACCGCAGTGAGCTCCAGTCGAGACCATCCATGCAAGAACTGTGTCTCCAAGATTTCACAAGGCTAGGTACGCACCCTTGCATCGTTACTTTCGCATCCTGATTATTATGAGCACCACAAGCAAGAGCATACTCAACAAAGACAGCAGAATCTCTCTTAAATTGTTCTCCTTTTTTTTGCTCATCAAAACAAATTGTGATCCAGCGTATTGCGTATGAGCAGAAACTCGTTAGCATGTTGAACTCCTAGCAACAAACTTTCCTGATTTTCCTATTCTATGTTGTCAAGCCGATATGCACATGCGATGACTTCTAACTCTACTCTAGAAGACTGTCAAAGGCTCTCCAAAAGATTCACGCTGCAAGGATAAAAAGACTGCCACCTGATGCGAAGCAAAACACTGTAATAGAGACGTCGACCAAAGTTGACTCAAAATTGTATAGTGGACTCCTAAGATATTACGGTTATCCGATACCTGCATAAACTTTCCGTAACCTCGACCGAGCGGCGATCCATTATAGACGGCCATAGCTCCACCATTCAATAGTGCTGCGAAGACCACAAAGGGTCCCATCATCCAACCAAGATTCGTCGGCCATGCTATTACATCTCCGGAGCGTATATCCTGATGACCCCATCCATCCATGCCACATCTCAGAGGAGATATATGTGACCATGGTATTGCCTTCGGCTCACCTGCGACGTCACAATTCTTCAGAATTTCAAAACTCATTGATGAGGGGTACACAATCAGGTTAGTCCACAAAAAGTTGACTCAAAACGGTACCCGCTCGATATCTATGGTGACAATAGATGTCCAAATTGGTATTCAGTCACCACATCGACTATCAGGGGCTCTAGAGCAAGGTTCTACTGTTTACAAAACAAGAGGTCTTCCACTTCCGGAAGTACTCTTAAAATTCCAACTGTATGAACGAACTCCATGTGCAAACTTAGGACCAAGAATAACAGACACAGCCACTGATGTCCCACTGATGATAGAGGAGTGAATGCACGTCCAGACACCTCACACGTCACAACCATAAATCTTGAACTCCCATAGAAAGATCAGGCAGCCAGCTACCAGCTACTACCTACCATCAAAACACAATGCCTAGAATTGGTCTGGTGCTGAGTATTGTTAGTGGATCTGTAATCAAAAGGGAAGTTTGCAAAAGTTATCGAGTATCACTGCAGCAACACTCTAATTTACTGCTCGTTTAAGCTGCTATCTACTCACATGGTTACAACTCAAGTACAAAGGCTTCACCTGTGGTACCAGACGAGAAAAGGATGTTGCAAAAGGCCTCCCCGGGAACTGTCACAGCTTTGAACATCTCCGACCTGCCCATCAGAGTCGTAAGGTTCTATTCTGAATCTATCAATCAGAAGTCGACTCAACTGAAATGCTTATCAACCTTGGACGGCTTCTTGAAGCCATGCAGAAGCGATAGTGTGATGATAGCGATGACGTGTATGTCTTCACCACAGCCGGAACATACCTGCCACGCTTATCGGCAGCTTTCAAAAACTGATCCCATGATAGATCCCCATCTCTAAGTTGGACAGACACACTTTTAGCATCTGCTGGAATGACTAACGCCTTTGGCGCATTTGCCTCCACCACACGACTGTTGATCAAAGTTTCCATATCAGTCTCTTGTCAGAATCAGCTCAAAACAGATGAAGCTTCTTATACAAACCAATATTAGTCAAACACAATTGGCATCGAAGTTTGGATATATGTATTCTCGCATACATTATTTCCGCTTTGAACACATATTTTCCAAACATAATAGGTCTTTGCACCCAGACAGGAACAAGCAGCAAAACAAGTAGACAAGTAATTGAATGTACGCACTCAACTACAAGTCCGTGTCTAAATCGATCACTTCAGTTGTCGTCTCGCGATAAATCTAGGTGGGTAGGATACACTGATCACCTATATAGAGGAAGTCGCTTGCCTCCTCGCAAAATATGGTCCTGCACCCAAAAAACACAGACAGAGTAGGTTTACACCACACACTCTGTATCTTCAGTTGCCAGTACATACATGGAGCCTTTCCGTACAAGCACATCTAGACTCGATCCCGAATTTGGGTCAATTTTGCGGCTGTCTATGCTGAGACCCGTACAAACTCCCACACATCTGCGAAAAGATTCTCTGTTCGGAACGTACGTTGTTTAGCCAATGATTACCTGAGTTATAATTCCCTTAGCGCGTGAGATCCGACATCGCGTAGCAATTTCGGAAGCCACGAAACTGTCAGCAATGGACACAACCACCATTCCAGCTAAGATGACGGCAAGGTAGGAAATAACCGCATATACGGTCATGGGCATGTCGATACCGATCGCATCACCTTGCTTGAACCCTGCGATTTGCAGAGCATTCGCCACTCGACTGCACCACAAGATCCACAATTGGTCAAGTCCAAGTCGCCAACTTCGAACAAACACATTTGAGCATGGAGGTTTTCTGCTGGTGAAGTTGCTGCTAAGACTTTCCTATCGAGAGGTGCGCTTTTGCAACCGGGATGCCATAAAGATAATCACTCGAGCAATTAATTCTACAATGCAGCGAAGGCAGTTCTTTTCGAAAATGTTGAAAAACGTCTCACTTGACTTGTGCGCGAAGTTCTTTGATTGTCAAGGTCTTGACCGGCATATCATCTGATCCTTCATCTCGCCATATAATAGCCACGGAGTCATCCGTTTTGTTTATCTTTCGATGTGGAGTAAGGCAAGACTCCGCAACGTTAAACACTGATCCGGGAAGCCAAATTCCTCCAGGCATCTTCTCGTCACTGGTATCCAATATGCATTTTGGCCGCTGGTGAAACACAACACTCATCTCTTCGAGTACGTGTTCAAGGTATATCTGGAGACACGAAATTGAGAACAAATCAGAAGGTGTTCTAAATTTAACTGCAATGCCTTATCGCCATTTTGGTCCTTGAGTCTTGCTGGGCAGTGTGGCTGCATATACCACGTCAAGGAAAAAGTTTTGATAAGACATGAATAAGACTTTTAGTGTGTTTTATGGTTTTGAGTGTATCGATTTCCTCACAAAGCATTCTTTCATTGTCAAACGGCCTTTGGAAAAAGTTACTATTTTCGCTTCATATCTACTCTCCACCCGCCACCGAAGTTTTCAGTGAATCTGCTTGACTCCGCCGACTGAAAATGCTGGGGAAAGAGCACTTATGACGTAGCGTACAAAAGTTCAGTCAATTAAGCAATCCTCTCAACATCACTTCTAAATATTGGCCCATCCATATCTATTCCGATCATTTGATAATACGTGAGGTTGGGTTTGGGAGCTATCATCACTATGCTTATTTTGCTCAGACCTGACCACGCATGCAAAGGTTCGAGATGGTGAAAATTGCTTACATCTGGATGTGCAGCTGACCATTTTTGGAAAGCAGAGTAGCTGTCTATGGGATTTTTGTAAGACGGACCCAAGTACGTCCGTCCCTTCAAATTCATGAAACGCCCTATGTTCGTGCAATTTGCCTCCTCTCTGAGACAAGGCCAAATGCACACAACTCATCAAATTTAAAGCTCTTCGACGTCAGAACAATGTACAGATAGACAATTCGTTATGCCTGTACTCGAAGGTATAGAATTGAAGTAAACGAGTAGACAGGGGAGAGATAAACGCACAATTTGGGAAACCACACAGGCGGAGGACCCAATTTATGAACGTCCCAATTGTGGTAAGTCGAGTTGTAAATCAGCTGATGTAAAGGATCGGGGTGCTCGATTTTAAGCAAACTGGTGGAGATCCTCTCCCAGATGGCAGGCGGAGATTTCCCAGCCTCATTGAGAACTTTCTGCAGCTGGTCCAGAAAAGCTCGGGACTCGGACGGCGACAATCCAGTGCGTTGTAAGTCCAGGAGTCCGATGTCCTGAATACTCGTCGTCACTCGATCCTCCATCGTTCAGCGCGTGCACTGCACTGCACCCAAATGCTCCTCGCTCCTCACCCCGCGCACCTGCGAGCAAATGTCCTCCTGAAGCCTCGGACGTTCACAAACCCTCAAGTCCTCCTCGTCTCAAATCACCACGCCTCTGCCTTAAAGAGCAAGAGCAGAGCTTCCACGTGAGGTCTGACTCAGATGCCAAGCGCCTGAGTCACCGTTCTCATATTAAATATTTCGCCCGTACGCAAGCCCCCAAAAACAATTCGCCACAGGTCTTGTGGGACCATTACATTACCATGGCTTCACCCTCCCACCGTCGTCGGGAGCGGAACGCAAAGATCCACCACCGCCACCAGCCGGACACGCAGATCGAACACCTCGATCTCTGCTCGAAGGTCCGAATGCAACGAAGCTCATCAGAAACCTCGAGCACTGGAATGTGCAGTGATCGAGCGGGCGAGCATTCCGGGCCCAAGAGGACCTTCTGACCACGAGAACTAATGCAAAGACCGTGGCCAACGAGACTTGACCGCAAATTTACCGAAATTTCAACGTGTCAGACACGTGGGACTTTGTCACCTGCAAACGGTTGGGTATGGCATTTTCCTGTCGCCCATGCAGACTCCAAAACTGGAAGTATATAAATTGCTCAAAGGTCACCAAAGTCGGTTCTAATCGTATCTCAATTCCTCTGTAATTCGCAGTTCCCATCCCCAAAACTTCACAACGAAATTTCCCAGTTTAGAGGTATTATTCCTCCACTCCATGTTTCACGACCAAAAAAAATAGCAGATGGTTTTCTAGTTGCAGGATTAATTTATGATCATGGTTTATATTATTTACCTCTTCCACGAGCTCTTTTAAAAGGTGATTTAAGTGAAAGTTTGGATTATTAGCTGCTCCGTGCAAGAAAATATCAAATACCGTTTGTGAGACTTTTAGTATTTAAGTGGTTCGTTTTTCCACCCCTTGCTTCACAAGTTTGGTGGCTTTGAAAGTGCCGCCATTGGGCATAACACATCTTATGGAACTTTCATTCCTTCCAAAAAATATTTTTATCAACGAGGGAGAGATTTCCGGAAAGAATCTCTGTTCAATTCCAAGATAGTGGTCACTTTGTGGCCACTCTATATACAAGTCCAAAGAATCCCCAACTAATGTGTAGTTATTATTATCCATGTCACTATCTAGTGAGCTTTTGTGTAGCAATGTAAACATCTTGCAAGACTTGAAACCCCTAGCTCATTCAGAAAATGGCCTCTCTTTGTGGCAGTGAACAATACGACTTTCTAAGTAGACGATTGTAAGGTTAACGGTACACTAGTTTTTTAAAGTAAAAAATAAACTTGTTGTATTATTTATTCCGAATGACTCTTTATTTTTTCAATGACATCTTTTATAGTGATGATTGATCTGGAGATCCTGATATTCATTAGCATTTGACAGGAAAGAATATGTTTCTCGAAGTGTACGATGAAGGGCAAATTAATGTGTGAAAAAACAAATCATTGTCAGCAATGAAAATAATGTGAACTACTTTGTCAACAACTTAAATCACTTTCATACTCTTTTTGTTGATGATGCGATTGTTACTTTGGTCTTTGTCACAGTTGATATACTGTTGATCGCGCGCAATTTATTACTGACGAGACTACAGTCAAATTTGCAGAACGTCTCCATGCAAAAATTGATGTTGCAAATTTGGCTTGATAATCAGATCTCGCTTTTGGTCAAAAGTCATAGAATGAAAGAAGTATCGTACTAAAGATCCAAACATGTTGACGTTGTGGAACCATTTGTTATGAGGGAAATCAAATTCTCAAACATATTGTCAAAATCAAAATTCACACACAAACGATGAAGTTTCGTCACCGAAAACTACCTAAACATGAACAAGTTCTTACTCACCTATGTTATCAAAAGCTGTTGTTTCTCTTATATAGTGACAATCCAACTAACTTCACTGATTGAAATTAAGCTAACATAAGTTACGAAAATTATTCATAACAATCACATCAGATTATGAACAAAAAGATTTTAAAAAAACTAAGTAGGACAAGAAAATTTTGTTATAAAATATTTTTCACAATATTTAGTTATATATATTATGAATAATCTGAATGAAAATAAATTATAAAAAATTTACCATGAAGTATTATGATATTTATTTTAAACAACAGAAATAGAAAAGTGATTCATAATTTTCAAGTAATGTGAAAATAAAAAATTTGAAATTGTGACTATTGATGTTTTAACCTATTGTGACATTGTTGGCAAATTGATATTTTTGGCAATATTTGACATACAAATTTAATGAAAATTATTAACGTGTTTGACAGATTTGTTGTTTTTTACACTATAATTGTAACAAAATACAATATACTTTTTGAAGTAACTAAGAAAGTAATCTAAATGCATCAAATGCTTGACAAGTTTCAGATTATACTTCTTGTTGCAATTTCAAGTACGTATCAAGATTCCAACATTTGCAAAGATCTTAAACACGTAATAGTTTTGAGTTAAGTAGATTTGCATCTCTCATATAACAATCAAGCGATGTAAAATTTTAAATCATGTCTTTCATGCTAAAACTAAACACATAGAATCCAATCATCACTTTCTAAGTATACACGTTGTAGAGTAAAAACTTGTACTTGATACATAAATTACATACTTTAAACTCTTTTTTGTATCGTCATCATATTTGTCAACTATGTTGATTTGACGCTGACCTTGACGTATGTTAGATGCACAAAATTATAGTTCATGTGACAATCAATTGATGTAAAATTCTTAATTATATCTGTCATGCTAAAACCAAACACATCAAGAACAAACATCACTTTAAAAATATATACAAGTTCTAGAGAAGCAAATCATACTTGATTACATACATTACATAATTTAAGCTTTCTTTTGTATCGTCTTCATATCTGTCAACAAACACATCAAGAGAAACATCTCTTTAAAAGTATATACAAGTTTTAGAGAAGCATATCATACTTGATTACATACAGTACATAATTTAAGCTTTCTTTTGTATCATCGTCATATTTGTCTACAAAGTTGATTTGAATGTTAACTTGGTGTTTGTTAGATGCACAAAATTTTAACTGCACTATCTACTCATCAAGTTGGTTCAAATCACAATCAGAAATCTATTGATTAGGACGATCATAATAGACTAAGTTAAGATGCAGATCAATTCAATTGACAAATGTAATAATTAGATTTTGTCATATTATCGAATCAAGATCGCTCATTATATCATAACAACAATACAATTTACAGTAAATAACATAGCCTACAAACTCAATGTTGTGTGTTATGCTTCAACTTGATTTGCTTGCGCATATTGTACAAGGAGTGCAACCAATAACATAAAGAGAAATTATGTTAGTTTGCAATATGTGCAACTTCTTGAAAAGTGTTGTGAGGTTAAGAACTCAAATGACACAACAATTCATTACGTAGTTAACTGCTCAGATTGTATACATCCACAAACAGAGAGCAAACTTGTAAGTGTTAAATATGCAACAAATAGACTCAAATAATTTTGATTGTTATGTTTAAAAATATCATTTTCGTGAAGAGTTATTGCTTTCATGAATTTTTGAGTGATATATTTCTTCTCAAATAAGAATTGTAACTCATTAAAGAATTATTTACTTCTCTATGAACTCAAAAAGTAATGATTTTAGGATTTTAATCAAGTTTGATTTGCCAAACCAAAGCTATCTTGTGTTGATAACGGTTTTTTGCAACAAAGCAAATTGTTGAAACTGATGCAAAGTCTCATTTTAAAGTCACAAGAACCAAATCCATATAAAACAACTTTACTTAAATATGGTATCTATTTTGATAAGTTTGTATAGATCCTTGTGTTCTAACCTTAGTGGAGGAGTTGTCTTCTTAACCGGCAATTTAGTACTCTCAGTTTGATGATATTTTGTAAGAAATCAGACCTTGCAATGCTTGTTTTGCCAACGTCAAGAAAAAAAACTCAAGCAAAATTTGTTTTGAACTTTGTTGGTTTGTTGTTTGCTAGCGAATATCTCATAATTTTTGTTTCCAAAGGTTGGTAAAATCATAGGTTGAATAATTGTTCGAAGAAAGTTGTATTCGACTATAATAAAAATAGATGATCAAAGAGTATTAGTAGTCTAATGTGTGCAATCAAACTTTATCAAATGTATGATGCATATGTCAAAGTATGAAAACATCAAGATGTTGAACGTTAGAAAAAAATTGATATAATTGATTGCGTTGATCAAATATAATTGATCTATAAATATTGATCTTGTTGGAAACACAAAAAATAATACAAATGAATATCAAAAAGCAACGTAAGTCTGTTAGATTTTGTACTAACAACCTCTTTTTGATAAGGTCTGACATGTAAGTAATTGATTTGAATTTTTTATTTACATCAATTTGTAGAGTTTCAATGCCAATAGTAGTTAATTGATTTTCACTAGCATTAGAATTTTGTAATTATTATTGCTAAAAACTAAAGTATAGCATATTTAAGAGTATTGTTATATTATAATGCATAATTCATAGTTACCAAGTTAGAGATCAGTATACTTGATAGATAGAAAATTTGTGTGTTAATTGACAGCGACATGCTGACAATCTCTATATTCGTTAAAATTATCCGTCATGTCATCAATTCATTGGGAATGGAAGATGATGAGATTTATGTTATTGTATTTGTTGATAATATCCATATTAGGAAGAAAAAAACCATTCTATATATTTTTCATTTTTAGAATTGTGTTTCATCTTTAAGTCAGCTTTGAAACTTAGTGTTATAATTGTGCCCATGAATGTAAAGATATATTGAGACTATCATGAATCAAATTGATGTGAGAAGAAAGATAAACAATGAAAATAAGTTGGATTGAGGTACTAGATAGTTTGGAGTTACTATTTGACTACAAGATTAACACACAACTTAAGAGTTGCAAAATTCTGAGCATTGTTAAATTGATAAAGTTGAAAAATATATTTATCATTAAAGAAAATATTCTTAATGTCAACAATTGAGGAAAGAAATTCAAGAATGAAAATGACATGTATCATGAGGAGTGACCAATAATCACATCATTGTTATGTTGTGGTATATAATATTTACAAGTTTAAACACAACATTAAATAGTTGCACATTGATACACAATGACTTGTTAAGGAAGTATACGTAAACTGAACCTATTAGATTTACACATGAATTTAAATCCTAAAATACAAGGTAAATCTATCTCCTAAATTGAATCTTTAAGCAATTTTCTTTGTTTACAATCTAATTAGTATTAAAATAAAGATGACAATACTGTTCATCTTCTTACCAAATTGAGCTAAAACACAAATTTGACAAACATTCTTTACTCTATTGTTATGCGATTAATGTTAAAAATACAAGAGTTTCATTTGCATATTGACTAGACTAGCATTCACTATTGCTTCCAATTCTACATTAAATTTTGTATATAAAGAGAAGACATAATTCTTCATCATGCATCAAACTCGTCATCTTTACTTTATTGACAATGTCTTCTCTTATTTTGTAAAACAAGCAATGCAACTTGATGGATTGCAAGACAAGTTGCAAAGTATTGAAACACTTATGGTAGTTGCAACTATTTCCATTCAAGGATCCAAGAGATATAAATACATGTCTTGACTCTTATAACCACACAGTGGTATAGTTTGCCCACTACAACATCCGCCATTGGTTGTTATTGTTCTATTCAACAACACTATTTGGCTCTATGTACTTACAAACTGCAATTTGATTTCTAACATTCATCCGCTTATTGTCACAACTCATTCGTTCTTTTATCAACAACGTCTCTTGAACAATGCCACTGTGACCCATTGCAAAAATGATTGATCTACAAGTACATCAATCAATCTTAACCATTGGGTTTAATACTTCAAAACTTTTAGATTATTGGTTGTACAAATGTTCTATCTAGTGTTACGTCAATCAAACTTTAAAATTGGTTTTAATCTTGCAACACTTTTAGATTATTGATTGTATAGTTGTTCACAATCCGTTTGATCAATCTCAACAAAAGAATTCAAGAGATATCAGAACACACAAATACAATCCATGACTATCTTCAAAGTCATGCAAGAGGTCATTTAGATTTGCGTGTTCCTCTACAGAGTAGATGTTGTAATTAGACTATACTCTTGATAAATAGATATTAACAAAAGAGAATTGATAAAGAAATTGATTTATAAAAATAGAGTCAAATCTTCCTTGTTGTTTATTGCTTAAACTCACATGTGATTCTAATAGTTTGTTTCGAGATTTAGTTACTCAACTAAGTCGTTGTGTATCAAGTCTGGAACTACTTAATGTTTTGATGAATCAATAAACCTATTTATTTAACTTTATATCCCAAGGTGATAAAATAAGAGAAGTTATAGAAAGTTATCTTGGTTAAATTTAGCACACAAAATTTAGCAACTGCCAAATCCTTGTAAGGGGTGTTTGATCTTTGATCTCAAATCTAGAAAGTGGCGTAAAGATCTTTGACACCTAATCTTAATACTTAGGATCAAACCACTCCAAGGAACGGAAGTGAGTCCTGCCTGTTATTGGCACCCCAGCTCCCTTTACCACAAGGGAAGAGCGGCAATTTGATATTCTAGGTGGCAAAGAAATCTACTTCTCCAAACTATCATACACTTCTGCCTAGAAATCCTGTTTTTCCGTAATATATCGATTCCACGTGTATTTTCGCGATTCTTGAGTTACTCCTCCAAGAACTTCTTACCGCTGCATTGCAAGTAATAGACACATTTTTTTCCCTTTTCACTCCAAACGCACTACCGGTAGTGTGGTAGAGGTTATGGAATTTCTCCAGCTGAGGCCAACGATAACCTGGTTTTCTTATAGCCAGGAGCTTGGTGACGGCTACACGACCTGTAGCCGTCGTGTGGTTTGGCCGTTAGTCATGAAATGAAACGATTAAACTAAAAGGAGATGGAAAGTAAGAAAAGGAACCACACGGACTCCTAAAAGATGTTTTTTCTAGGACGTAAAAGAACAGATCCGAAATCGGTGAGCACTACTTTCCGAGCGAACATAAGCAGCACCAGAATGTATGTCAAAGAAGGGAGGACGGACAACCAGGCTGGCCCATCAAGAAGAAGGAAGACGGAAAACCGATAATCAATACTTCCTAATGCTAGAACTAGCACAATGAAGACAGGAGCAACAAGTATCGAGATGTACCAACGAAAGCCATTCGACAGACAGATCACTCTCAACGATTGAAGGTATAAGACCCGAGACTTGGTGAGTTATCTGATGGAGACGCACACGATCCGCTTACTTCATGTCACTTTCGTCTAGCGACAACTACAAATGTAGCCAATTATGCTCACAGAAAGTCAAAGCCACCAACAGCGACATCTCTTAAGCTGAAAGGCATGCCAACAGACCATCTTCTGCCGTCGCTGGATTCTGTCCATCCTCTGGGAAGACACAATGTGCCTCGTTCCAGTTACTGGAGACCCACTTCTCCGTAGCGCCGTGAGCCTCTCTGACCAGTCTCATCTGGTGACAGCCGCTCCGAAGAAGGAACAAGGCAATGAATCGAGATCGACGAATGGACGAGAGGGAGAAACTGGCGCCAGCGACGGGAAGGGATGGAGCAACTGTCGCCAAGAAGCTCTCCGTCTTGGCAGGAGAGACTCCTACCTATCTCAGGGACGGGGAAAAGGGCCAAAGGCGCGGAAGAAGGCGCCGATTTAATATTATGGATGGAGGCACGTCCGGAAAACGGCAGAGAAATCCGACCTCGAGTCGGCTTTTGCGGTCCGGAGGAGGAGCGTCGAGCGCAGAATGCAGGTGGCGCATGTGCTCGTGCTGGTGGCGCTCTTCTTTCCCGCGGCTTGTCTTTTTCTGTTTTGCTGCGCTCTTTCGTTCGTCTACTTGCTGTGGGCGACGTTGCGGGGGCGCGGGGGAGCGGGTTGACGTGGTGGAGCCCGGTGGGTCGGTCGGTCGGTCGGTCGATCGATCGTGCATGCGGAGGGAGGGAGGGAGCAGCAGGCAGGCAGGGCAGGGGTTTAGGGTTTCCATGCTGGCGCCTCGACGCAGCGATCGAGGCTTCGGGCGGAGTTTTGATCGGTGCTGCAATTCGACCGGGGGTCAGGGCCGGCATGGGGCGTGGCAGTGGCGATGGATAGGGGGCAGGCGACGATGGCCCGGGCTGTCGTGGTCGTAGGACCTGTGGTGGTGGAGGCCGGAGGCGAGGAGGACGGGGCCTGGATCGCTGGGCGAGCAGCAGCAGCAGTTGTTGATGTGATGTGGGGAATGGGAATTGCGGATTGCGCCGTGGGGGCAGACCGGACTGCGATCGGGGGGCGGGTCGGCGCGATGGGGCGGACGACAGTGGCTGATGCACATTGCTGACTCCTCGGGGCGATTGTGCGAACGGGGGTGATGACTCTGACTTCGCTTGATGGCTTTCAAGAGCAAGAAAGCGGGAGGGGACTCGGAGGATTACAAACCCTGTCAACACCTGCTGGATTATAAAGCCAAGTATGGAATTCAAGCGTTCCGTGTGTTGCATAAATGCCTGAAGACCGGGCCTCCGGGGCGGGCGAGCATCCGACGGGAGGAGAAAGAAGTTCCTCGGTGTGCCATTTGTGGAAAGGCGCAAGGCAGACTCTACGCCTGCTTGGTTTGTGCGACCATCGGCTGCTGGCTTCCACCGGATCAACTTCACTCGCGCGTGCACGCCCAGACGAATCCCGGGCACGATCTAGCCGTGGATGTAGACAGGGCCGAACTTTTCTGTTGCTTGTGCAACGATCAAGTTTATGATGCCGACTTCGACCGAGCCGTTATCGGAGCACAGAGTCTCGTAGCCCTCTCCGGGAGGGTAAATGGGAAAGAAGGGCCACAGAACGGAGCAGAAAGTACAACAGCAGATGTAAAAGTAGGTCGCAGCAGTAAAGGTGGACTTTCTCTGAAGAATTCGGACAACAAAGTGCCGAGTGTAAATGGTCTCGATGGGAATGAGTCTGATAGGAAAGATGGCGATGATGGAAGGGACAGGAAAAGGAGGAAAGGAGCCGAATTTAAAACCTGGGTTCCTACACAATCGGATCTTCTGACAATTAGGCAAGGGTCCACCCCATTGGTCGAAGACGCCAATCTGCCATCGGGCCTCAGAGGATTGAACAATCTGGGAAACACCTGTTTTATGAACTCCGTGCTTCAGGCCTTGCTCCACACTCCACCTTTGCGGAACTACTTCTTGAGTGATCGGCACAACAGGACGATCTGCCAACGACGCGCCACGCATCTTTGTTTGGGTTGTGATATGGATACAATTTTCTCTGCTGCCTTCTCTGGCGAGCGCACTCCTTACAGCCCTGCCCAATTTCTTTACAGGTAGCTCGGCAACCTCTGCATCTACTTTCACATCCTACATTTTCCTTGTTTTATCGATTTATACATTTGTTAGATGGCGTTATAGATTCTACGTAGTCTTCAATGCTCACACCACCCATTGGACTCGTAGTTTCGGAACCTTCTGAATGAACGAGATTCTCTCGTGAAAACTATAGCGTCAGATTAACCTTGACCAACGCAAGATTCCATAAAGGTGCCTAGCACTCCACCTGGTTTGAAATCGGAATGTGCGGTGTTTTCTGTCAAAGAATTAAGAGCCGCATTGGAATCAGCTATGTAGCTTCAGGTTTTTGTGGGAACCACATAAGCAGATCTAAGTTCATGTGAGGTGGAATGAAAAGGAACGAGCTCTGAAATATTCTACGCATCCAGTGCGCTCAAATTGTTTCCATCGGAATGAAAACCGGGAAGACATTTTTGGCAAATGTTATTCGGCCGTGTAGTATTACTAGAATTTACTAGAAAATACTAGTTCTACTAGTATCTTCGGCCGGGTAGTCCTAGATATACGCAGTGCTCACAAGTACGCGCATTAGAGCCCTCGGCTACCGTTGGCTGCACGCGTATCTAGGACTACCCGGCCGAATAGCTGCACTGCACGGCCGAATAACCTTTGCCATATTTTTGGCCCCTAGATGGTCCTTTGTCATGACAAAATAGGATTGGGACTGCTCTTTTTGATCTCTCCATATGTGGAACAGTCCGAACTTTTCTATGGTAGAGATTTCTGTTTATTCAGCAATCAGGAAAATGGAGAGCCAAGCGCCTCTGCATTTCCTGATTACTGAACTAACAGTAGTCTCGACTTAAGAAAAGAATCAAAGAACTGCTTAATGCCGTGATAACAGACTGTTGGTAAGAGTGAAATTTATAGTGATACTGATAGGTTGTGCGTTAGAATTATACCGAAATTGTTGGTCGAGGCTATGGTCAACTATCCTCTCCTTCAACGAAGGGCACGAAGCAGTCGTTGAGGGGAGGTAGTTGACTTTTGCCACTGTCAGTAACGACACTTGTGACTGTTCGTTTTCGTTTATAAACTGTTGCAACTGGTATGACGTTGGTTCATACTTTCGTCTTGTTCAAGTGATTTCATCTGAGGAAGTGGGTTACTTCCAAGGTCTTTAGAGGACGTCTGGAGGGCTGTCTCCTCTCGAACGGACTCCCTTTATCAGTGGTGACACTTGTGACTGTCCGTTTTCGTCCTTATCGAGATATATGGGTGAGGCCATGGAGGGACGTTTGGGTTGCTGTCTGTTTCAAATGGACCACAATGTGAATCCAGAAGGTGTGCGTTTTTTTAGGTTTTGGCGTAAGGCAATCTGCCGTGGAAGTACAGTGATTCACCTAAATTATTCACGAATCACGAATCACGTCGTTTTGATGACGTGTCATGCTGTGAGGGAACTGTTCCGCTGCTGGTGCCTTCAAATGGAGAAAAACCCCATAAGCCTAGTGGTCAATGCATGTTCAGTGCATATAAAGGATTTGCAGCAGAAGGTATTATGTCTACTATCCCCTGCTTCAACGACGGGGCACGAAGCAGTCGTTGGAGTAGGGGATAACGGACTTTTGCAACTGGTATGACGTTGGTTCATACTTTCGACTTGTTGAAGTGATTTTATCTGAGGAAGCGGGTTCCTTCCAAGGTTTTCGGAGGACGTCTGGAGGGCTGTCTCCTCTCGAACGGACTGCCTCTATCAGTGGTGACACTTGTGACTGTCCGTTTTCGTCCTTATCGAGATATATGGGTGAGGCAATAAAGGGACGTTTGGGTTGCTGTCTGTTTCAAATGGAACACAATGTGCATCCAGATGGTGTGTGTTTTTTTAGGTTTTGGCCCGAAGTAATCTGCTGTGGAAGTACAGTAATTTAGGTGAATCACGTTGTTCAATACGGGTCATGCTGTGGGGGAACTGTTTCGCCGCTGGTGCCTTCAAATGGAGAAAAACCCCATAAGCCTAGCTGTCAATGCATGTTTCGTGCACATAAAGGATTTGCAACGGAAGGTATTATGTCAACTATATCTCCTTCAACGACGGGGCACGAAGCAGTCGTTGAGGGAGAGGTAGTTGACTTTTGCCGAACAGCTTTCTTACCATCAAGTGTCTTGCAACCGGTATGAATTTGGTTCAGTATCTCTAGTTGTTGTAGTGATTTCATTTAAGCAAGTGGGTTACGTGCAAGATTTTTAGAGAACGCCTGGATGGCTCTCTCCTATCGAACTGATTGCCACTGTCAGCGCCGAATCTTGTGTTCGTGTTCGTTTATCGACTATTTTGTAACTGCTATGACGTTGGTTCATACTGTATATTTTTTGAGGTGATTTTATCGGAGAAAGTGGGGTCCTTTCAAGTTATGTAGAGGACCTTTCGAGGGCTGTCTCCTCTCGAACCGATTGCCAATGTCAGTGCTGACACTAGTAACTGGCTGTTTTCGCATTATCGGGATATATGGGTCATGCCTTGAAGGGACTTTTTCGTTGCTGTTGCCGTCAAATGGAACACAATATGATTCCAGATGGTCTGTATTTTTAGGATGGAAAGATGGTTCGAAGTCTTCTATGATATTTGTTAATTTTTTCTTACTTTCACTTACAGCTGTCAATGAAGTTCCACTCTTTCTTTAGTTTCACTTTTTCTTTATTTCCTCCGTAATCTCTTACTTCTAGTGTGGCCATGAACGAGATATTCGCTCCTAGTCTGTCCTCACTCCGAATGAATTTTCTCATTCACATGTGTCTGTCATAGCCTGATGGGCGCTGGGTCGAACACCCTCAAGTCATGGGTCCTTTCGTGGTAACTTTTAAAGACTGAGTAGACTAAGAAGAGAATATGGAGCTAGAAGAAGAATAGGCGGAAGAAGAGAAGGACTCTTCCAGAATATAGAAAAAATATTTTCTCGTTGTCATGTTTGTTACCACCTTCTCTGGGGTTGATAATCTACGTGCAAATTTAGGACAGGCATTTTTTTGTGCAGTATGTGCGTGGTTCTTGATTTGTTTTATGTGTTACGTTTGTTTTTTTTAACAATCGAGCATATTGAATACTCATCTCTTCTGCTAGAGGAAATGAAAATTTCTAGCTTGTGGTTCGATCTTGACTTGGTCGTCCCACTGCCGACCTTTCTTTTCATTCAATACCTCTTTGGCGTTCATAGAGCGTCAAATAGGTCTTTAATGATGCCATCCTTCTTCTGTCGTTCCGGTGGTCTCGTATAGCATTTTTTTGTCTTTTTCCGCGAAAATAACAACAGCTCATCTCTGAGTGTTCTCATTACTTGCCTTTTTTTTTACCTGGTGATATTTGAGTTTCGTATCCCATAGCTGATGAATCTAATTCAGCAGAGACTACACAGAATCATATTTTTTCTGCATCTCTCTCTCCATTTGCACCTGCTTCGAGTTAAGCTAGTGAAGGCACAAACTAGTCGCTAATGGCAGTATTTACTCTGATTTGGGTGACTTCCTTGCCATGTATGGATTGTATGTCCTATTTTGTAATTATATAACGAGGTATTCTACGCAGGATCAAACCTTGACGATGGTGGTCTCATTTTCAGATTTCCGTGGATGGGTTGATGGGTTTGCATCCATTCAACTACCCGTTGAAGTTAACAACTATACGATTAAGACGTAGTTTTGTTTTGTCGTTGTTCTAGGTTTGCATCCTGTGTCCATTCTCGATCCATTATGTTGTCATGCTCCGTGGTTAGGGAGCTTCAAGTTTTTTTGCCTCGATTACTGCAGTTGGTGGAGACATGCGGCCAATCTTGCTGGCTACGAGCAGCAGGATGCACACGAGTTTTTTATCTCAACTGTGGATGGCATACATGCCAATTCTGGCACGACGTCTCCAAGAGCCCGAAATTCACAGACCGGCAGGTATGAAGAGGGGTCTAAGGTGTGAAGCAGACTATTTCACTATGTCACTTCGTGTTCCAGATTTAGACTGAAGTTCTGAGCCCGTGAACTCTTTCTCCTTGTTGTATGCTGCTTCTGATTGTTGTGGATTTCTCAGAAACTAAAGTAATTTATAATCACGCAGGGGAGGCGACGTTGATTGTCGTTGTATAGTTCATCGGGTCTTCTCTGGCCTTCTACGATCTGACGTCACTTGTACAGTTTGTGGATTCACATCCACCACCTACGATCCTTGTGTCGATATCTCCCTGGACTTGGAGCCGGATATACGCCCTGATTCCAAAGTCTTTATGGATTCCATCATTGGAAACTTCGACGGTGGCCGCTCGAGTCGAGGTTCAACTGCTAATGGGATCACCGGTAACTCCACCCTTTTAGGATGTTTGGATCGATTCACAAGACCTGAAAGGCTTGGAGCGAATGAGAAGTTTTTTTGTCAGAGGTGTCAGACTCGACAAGAGTCCATAAAGCAGATGTCAGTCCGAAAGCTACCACTTGTACTTTGCTTCCACATCAAGAGATTTGAGCATTCTTCTACAAGAAATACTTCGAGAAAGGTCGATCGTTATATGCAATTTCCATTTTCCCTGGACATGGCGCCATATATCTCTTCGGCCATTGTAAGGTCTCGGCATGGAAACAGGTTATTGTTTGTAGAAACAGAGGAGATGTGGGCATCACAGAGCCCATCGACTGAGTTTGAGCTCTTTGCGGTGGTGACACATTCTGGAAAGTTAGACTCTGGGCACTATGTGTCATTTATCCGTCTGGCTGGACAATGGTACAAATGTGATGATGCTTGGGTAACGCGAGTAAGTGAGGAGGTTGTACGCGCTTCTCAAGGGTACATGTTGTATTATGTCCTGAAGACACTGTCCTACAAGAGTAGTGATTTTCAAGATTCGACAGCCGGCCATGAAAGTGAGGCCAATGGCAATCATGGTTATACCTGGAGCTCGTCTGGAGTGACCAACGGAACCTGATACTTTCTTTAGGGATATCTTGGCAATTCTGACTAGTGTGAAGCGGTATGGCTTCGTTGCCTTTCTAGAAGATGGGAAGTTGAGGTGGCTGTATAGTTTCTACGGAAACTCGTTTCGATACTGGACATTTACGTCCGTGCTGGCGAAGCGTAGCCTACAGGAAGCCAAGGGTCTGAAGTTGGCCTCTTGAGCTGACCTGCGGTGACCTTGTTTCCCATACTGCTTTAGGTTTTTCCCGGACAACGAAGTGGGGGCCAAGCTCCAAGAAAGGAATAGCGATCCCCAGTTATTCGTATTTCGAAGACATCCACGCATGGACCTGTTTGTGATCTTTCATGAAAGTCGAGGTGCAGCTTAAAAGGCTGGAGATCCAACCATAATATACGGCGGACGAGGGATTTTTAATCTTGAAGGGAAGTACCACATTTTCAGTCTTCCTCCATGAACCGGGATGGAGATCATCGACCTTCATCTCCAACCACCACGTTGCTGTTCCATAGTCCCGCAGAGTTGTAGGAAGGAAGAGATACTCGAATTTGGTGCGAGGATGTTGTACAGAAGCACTTCCAACCATTTGTAGGTGGGTTATGAAAATTTTACAGGACGAAATGTTGGTGCATGGACTTTCTTGAGAACAGGAATTGATGCTCTTCCTGACTGTCTGCTGGCTCAATAGCAGGCTTAGTAATTGACCTGCAGCAGCTGCACCTCAATCCTCGTGAACATCGGATGTGAACATCGGCTGAATGTTAGTAAGTCTCTTCGAATTAGGAGCACACCTGGCTCTATTTTTAAAGAACAAGTCCAGGTTTCTTGATAGTTTACGCAGTGGGCAAATATCTGTATTGACTGCTCCTCAAACATGTAATTCAAATTCCCAGTTACAATTTGATGTACAACTACTGTCTTTTTTCATTTCTGGGACCGCGCCACATGACCTACGACGCACATCCTCATGATTGAACATTCGGATCGATCTCATTGCGTGTCGTTAATGCTTTTCAAGCCAGTGTTATGTAGTTTTTTTGCAAGGAGTGGCCTCACATTTGTGGTTGGTCTGAAACGACGTAGGTATATGTCCCGTACCATTCGATTGCTGCTAACAAGTGCCTCTGAATTTTCAATTCCTAAAGTTGACGTTTGCAATTTGTGAACTGCGACGCAATGCCACTAGTAATTATCTGGCGAAAGATGGAAACTTGTTAGTGTGTCAGGAGCCAAAGAATAGAACGCTGTCGTTTGTCACTTCCATATATTCAATAGTAACCAGATCAATTACCTTCATTCTGGAATGAATTTAAGTGGACATGATCTTACATCATACAAACTCAGGTGTACATCGGCCAGTATCAGTAACATTGCCTAGGGTTAGGCAATGGACTATTTCTCGATTTGTGCTTGTCATCCTTGCGTCATCCATCGTTCCAATTTTTTCGGATCCCCCGGAAGGGACATCCGATAACGTGGTCCTTCACCGATGGATGTCTTTCATTGTGTTCAGTGGAGCTGTCGGACCGTGACTTGACAGCAATTAAATCGAAATCAAAATATGCGTTTTGTTTCATGCTGCTATTTCTGTCCCTTTCTTGCTGCTGTTGTGCCTAAAGTTCAGTACGGTGGCTGTTGTTCCCTACGTTATGGTACCACCGACATCCATATTGAACTCCTAAAGTGAAATTCAGAACTGAAGTAAAAGACAATCCTGCAATGTGCGCCTATAGCAGGATATACCTTCGAGAGTGTTCATTCTAGCAAAACAAATGTCCTCACGACATTGCAAACACGCCTGCATGTCTCAACAATCAGATTCATAATTGCATGTAAACAGAAAACTAGGAGAGGGCAGCAGTGGAAATATTCATTCTTGACAGGTTTGGAGAATCTCATTAGGTTGCTGGATACAGAGCTGTCACCACGGGTGGTAACACGAGAATTATAAGAGCGGGATTTTTTTCCCTGCGGGGTCGGTCCTTTTCGAACTCTCAAGCAGTTAAAACCAAGCCTTGGACTCCATAGTTGGTGCAGAGAACATCCAATAGTCGGAAACAACGATCGGACTTGTAGTTTTGTTTACAAGTATTGCCGTTCGAAGGATGAGATTTGGTACTGATGATACAATTGAACCTTCAGCTTGTCAGGGTTTTTCAGGATATGAGTAGATTTGCCGCGAAGGAACGCCAATTCTAGGTCAGCTGGTTATCTGATGGTAGCATATGAACTCATGGATTCAAGAGCAAATATATATGTCAATGATATTTAAGTCCCGTGCTGCAGTTCTCACTGGATCCGGCAATGGTCTGCAACAATAAAAATTTCAGGTTCTTCGACAACCGGCGACCTTGACTTTTACCGAGGAGGAAGCGATTTCTGAGTCTGAAGACCAAAAGAAGAGCAGCTTCTCAAGGTCACATTTGAGATCTAGATGCCCCCTGTAGAGAATAGTAAAAGTCATGAAAAGAAACTGATCTCCTTCCTTAGAGTAGCCATGAAGAATAGGAAATGAGTGGGTTATACACTGAAAGGTCAATGACACATTTTGCATTGTAAGTATTAAGAATGATATTATTTCATCTTCATTATGTTTCAAGTGGATACATATAAAATATTAAAAAAATTATTGGAAATTGAACCTATCTGTTTTCCAATCGGATCACTCTGAATCATGAAACTACTCAATTCATGATTTTCTTTCTTTAAAGATATCAGTCTACATATGATTGAAAAACATTTGGAGAAAATTATTTACACACTCCGAGTTTTGGCACAGCATGGCCTGACTGTTGGAAATTAAATGCTCGGATACTCCATACTTTATCTTATTTTTAAGTGGTCATGACCCCATATTATTTCTCTTCATTGCGTTAGAAACATTTTACTATATTTTTCTAAAATGATATGTATAAGTAACGAGGGCTCGTTATACTATACTCCATGATCAGATAATACCATCTTAGTGATAAAATTTATTTTCATTCAATTTGTAAGTACTTAGAAGGGGCATGGGAGTCTCAAAGCTCCGCGTGTGTGTTCCAATTTCTCTGGAAAGCAAGATGCATTCTTGCATTCATGAGTATTTTCACTTTCATCATGATGAAAGTGATAAGACCCATTTCGAATTCAATTTGTAAGTACTTAAAAAGGGCAAGGGAGTCTCAAAAGCGTGTAACCCAATTTCATTGGACCGCAAGATGCATTCTTGCATTCTTAGTATTTTCACTTTCATCATCATGATCGCATACGTCACGAATCATGTAATTCAAAGCTTCTCTCATTTTATAACTTCTCTCGATTTGAAATAGCTAAATACTGTAGACATGGTTGTCATGGTATCAATCTTCTCTTATTTTATTTCTTTGATTTGTAAGCCTTAGAGGAGTGCAGGATAAATAAGAAGAGTATTGTCTTCAGTCCAAGATTGGTTCTCTTGATGCTTTGACACATTTGTCGTTCATATTTCTGAAAACTGTAATACATGACATGATACATTCCCAAACTAGAGTTCATATATTTATATGAGGTCGCAAATCTCACCGTTCTTCATCTATCCTCGACTCGCATACAAGGTTTATCGGCGATGACCGATGGCCGACAGCAGCGGAGCGAGCACTTCGAGCTCACCTATCACATCGTCGCCATGCGCAGCCAGCAAATTTATATAGGGAGTGCACGGGACGAGTGTGCATTAGTGACTTCTTTATAATGGTGTACATAGTTTTAGGGTCTAGAAAGATAACGATCGAATTGCCTTTCGAGGCCGAGGCAAAGGTAAGGGATCCTATTTACGGAAAAGCATAAGTCATTTAAATAATTAGGTTATTTTTTACAGCTTAGATACTTTTTGTGTATAATAAGCAAAGTCATAGATTGAATAACATGCAGGTGAATCAAAGTAGAATATCTTCAATATCACATATAAAGTCTTCAAATATATATTGTGTGTTTTTTTAAAGCCTTACCATTCAAATTTAGAGATGAAAGATCAATCAAGCTAAATAACGATGTGAAAAATACATCAGTTGGATCAAAGACATATGGACTAGACTGAAGATTTTTCATAAAATGCTGGAAATAGCAGATAGAAATTCTGAAAATGTAAGAATGGATATTCGAAACTTGTGTGTGAAAAGAAAAAGGTCAAGTTATATGATTTTCACATAATTTATCCATATCTGATTTTTTTAGAACACAAAGGATCGATATTACTTCCAGCGCAAATAAGATGCTCGGGCACAACGTCTATAGTGTAAAAAGCCTCAGAAACTTTAAACTTGGGCTGTAATATTATGAAATTTTCTTGAAATTCCACAAGATGAAAGCGGAATGCTTTGACCAAAAAATACCTTTTGCTTCTTAGAAATTTTATTTATAATTGGTTCAAGGCAATGTATAAGAATATAGGCTTTTCAGTATAAAATATATTTTGAGATTTAAAAAACTCTAAAGTTTTTCGTGTTTTTAAAATGTAATTTTTAGGCATGAAGATTTCAGATTTAGCGGTTTTTAGTATGGATATTCCATATGTATGCAATGTATGGATTAAAAGTCAATAATCTTGTGTGTTAATACTGATAGGTAGTCAAAGGGATACGGACGAACTAGACTATAAATATATAAAGTTTAACTTTTATAAACTTACTTCACTATGATGTATGTGTGAGGGTAGAAGGTTTCACGTTGCTCTTGTATTTCCACATAGGGTGGATTGGGAGTGATGATTATCATTCGTGCTAGCTTGAAGTGCATGCTGCGTGGTTCAGCTGGTTAGGCGGTACGTATGTTAGTGTGTGATAGTTAATCTAGGGGATGACACATGTCGTGCTTGACTCCGCATATCGATATTATTCTGGCTGGAAATACTTCGAAGACAATGGGTTTGTCCTCGATATACTTCAGAGGGGTAGGTAACTTGATCTTCACATGTTATGAATTGTAGATAGACGACTAACGATGGGACGACAAAGCACCTGACCTACTAGTTTACACATCCACAAATATGTATAGTATGTAGTTGTAGTTAGGGCTATTGGGAATGAGAAGAATCTGACCGCTAGCTAGTGACGCGAGTTGTGGTACATTTGAGTGTGTACGTTCTCACGTCTTATATATGTACGTTCTCACGTCTTTGTGTACGTGTACGTATGCGAGTATCATGTTAGCGAATATATATCATAACGATATTTATTCTCACGACATTTTATTAGTCCAAATATTATTAGTCTCCATATCTCATCTTTATTATTTCAATTTTACATCTATAGTCACCGGGGTACATAAGATTGAAAGGAAACCTGGTCAATGTTCAAAGTTTATGGAAATTTCAAGTAACTTCATGTGCGGCATAGGAAGGTTCTTGGTCACCAGTAAGGATCGATTGATCGTATAGGACAGCCTGATCAATCTCACGCAACTATTGTAGCGTCTGTCATTAAAAATGTGGTAATTATCTGTTTGGCATGTCACTCTCATAATATCAACTTCAGATTCAGGGTACAGTTATCCAGTGACGAGTTGCTTGTGCACTACCTTTTCGGAAGCACTAATCACCTCCAGCTCAAGAGTGTATGTCTCTTTTTTTTCCCTTCATGACTTGGCATTAAAACGAGCCAAGCAAATATTTTCGAAGACTTCGGCCAGATTGACATTATTTCCCAAAGAACATTGCGTTTATTTCATAGTTAAATCTTACATCTTGTGCTGTGAGATATAAGGAAGGCTTCGGATTCCACCCTGTCCGTGAACGCGCAGTGTGGAATCCAGTGCCGATAGGGACAATGAATAAGAGCATAGAACACAGTGGAGTGCTGAGATACAACTGAATTTGCAACGAAAGAGGTTGCATGGGCACAGAAGCTCAGTCCCGGAGACAAATCCACTGCAAACGCCGTTTTTTCAGCACCTCAGGCTGTCGTCAATAATTGCCCACTTGGAGATTTCTAATATCATTCGATGGCATTTTACAATTTTAGATGACAAATCGAGAAGGAGACCGATTCTTGTGGAAGGAGAGAGAGAGAGAGAGAATGTCTGTCTTAGTCTCCAAATACGTTCCGCATGGACTGTGTTCCGGCCGAGCGAGAAGGAGCGTCAAAGAAGCATCAGCCTCGAAAGACGTAAAGCTGAGTTTGACGTGCAACAACTTCGACTGAAATCGGCTGATTGATTCTATCCCTGTTCTGTAGAATCAATTCGCGCCCGGCCTGTCAAGTACAGTCTCCTGTGGCTAATGTATCATTGACTTGGCCGCTGATTAGAAATGCCTGCCGCCAGCCTCAGCTAAAGTGAGTAGCATAACACGAATGAAGATTATGTGGCTCGACTCTTATTTTCACGTTACGAGTATCACTATACGTTCTAAGAGGCCTCTCTCTGATATTCTCTCAGCTTTACCTGAAAGGCACGACGCCAAACAATTCCTAACTTGACTCTGGATGCTCATGCTCATGCGCAAGTTTGAGGAGAGGACTAACTACTTCTTTCACGGTGACCCATCTTCCCATCGATGTGATCAAGTCTGCTGCAGCATCTAGGACATAGGAACCGACGAATCACTGCTAATATGAAACGATGAGATTTGACATGGTTTGCTAACGATGGTAGCGAGGCTTGAAAACCTCGTCTCATACAGGGACCTGCTGGAAGAATTCTATGGTCAAGGTGAATGTCGTTGCTTGATTTGCACTCTATGCTGACATATTTAACATGGGGCCATCACAAAGAAGTCGTTCGTCAGAAAATGGTCGAATCAATTTACAGGTCTGACAGCGGGAGGAGACATGTGATGCATTACTAGAAGACGTCCTTCACTATGGCTGCAATGTGGACCGTGCCTTAGCAAAGGCTTTCATGGTTAGACTGTCAAAGTCTTCCCTAGTACTTGGTTTATCTTCTGCTGCATTTTCTCTTCCCTTTGCTGCTTGTTGATTCTTTGTAGATTATAAGGCATTACACTGGATTCAAGCAAGAGCATCCCATCGACAGTCAGGAACCAACCAACTGATAATGACTGCTACTGGATATTGTACTGGCCCTGCAGCTGTCTTTCAGTTTATCATCGAAAGTTTGACACACCTGTCTACTTCCAACTATTACAACAGAGTTGAATCAAGTCCTGTTTGCTCCAATCCAATCCAAGGCTCCATTTGATGATATTACGGTACGAGACGTTCATGCGAAATGGCGTACTTCATCTACTGACTTCTGACCGTGGAAATGTGCGTGCAGTATGTGGTGGTCGATTTCTGCTGGTTCCAGAAGAATGGCAGCGTGGCAACATTCAATCAGGGACTTGGTTGACGGTTGGGCCTGCCACCAAAATGATCCCGAGCCCTAGCCGTAGTCACGAGGTGGAGTTGGCTTCATGGCTGTGGCAGATTAGGTGCATGCAAAGAATCACGATTTTGGTTAATATTATAAGTGGAATCAGTACCGCTGCTCTGGAAGAGAACAGACCAAGCCTTGGAGCTGCCAAGGTAATTATTTTTTGTCAAAATTTCTCTTCCTTTACTTGTGAGTTGGTCTGTGTTTTCTTGAACAAATTGTAGCGGATAAGAGCTTCTCGTCAGCGAGCAGGCGTCGGATACTGCACATGTTTCTTTTCTGCATTTCTGCATACGTTTGAAAATGATCAAAACTTAAAACTCATCCGAGAAATGTGCACACTGTCAGATGGATAGGATGATACATGCAGCTTCGTGATTCCGTGATCATTTTTGTTATCATGCAACTGCTGGAATATACATCGAACGGTTGATTTGACTAACTGCCCCAGAACGGAGGAAGAGCGTGGGTCTGATGAGGCTTTGCATACCGTTTCTATGACGGTCCAGGATGTGGGAGGAGGGCACAAGCTGACAGTGGCGACCTCAGGTAATACTGCGCTGGTAGATCAGTTGTGTCCTTGGTATCTGAATTCTTTCGTAGGTGTGAACGTCAACGATGCAGCTGCTCGACTATTCATCTAGATATCCGGAGTAAATAGATTGGAGTATCGACCACGGTACGTAGTCCTTGATCCCTCCTACGATCGATCTTCTCAAGGGTCGGAGGGCATTCAAATCCATAGTTTTCGTGTTTGACTCGTGTATCAGGGGAGTGAGAAATTGTCTGGTGTAGAAACGTCTGTAAGTCAACACTAATGTCTGTTTCTGTGGTGGGCACAGTGAAGCATGACTGCGTCTTCGGTATTAAATACAAATTTCACCTACAGCTAAATAAAATACAATCTGATTCAGAGGTAACATAGAGTCAGAAGTTAGATAAATTCCTGAATCTGAGCCATGAAATTTGAAGGCAGCCAACTTCTATTGAACGCTTTGAAATTTTTTTGAAAGCAGGAAGAGATGATGTTTCTTCACTGCACCTGTCTGACAGTTCTTGCATCTCGACTTTTTGCAGCCTTGAAATACACTCAGAGAGTGTGAATCATCTTCAGACTATGCACCAAATCACTGTCTATTAATGGTATAACTGGGGAGATTGAGTTTCTCATTTTGACGAGGCGAAGTATGTGAGCTGCAAATCAATTCCACAAGCAACGTAACAGGAGCTTGCTTGGTGGAGCAATCGTAACTTTTGTAGCAAAAATAATGAGTTCCAGAGTTTTTTCACTCTGTGAAGCAGACCAAGTCAAATGAGGAAACTTGCTGCAGTGATTTGTGATTGCTGGTCTGCAGAGACGCTGACGGCCTGATCTTCACATTTCGCCATTGGGACGGCTCACTCATCCAAGTACGTTTATCTCTTACCCAAATTTTGGAAACTACCATAGCTGGTAATGGGTCAGTATGGTATCATCTCACTCTATCCAAACAACTGGCATATTTATCACCAGTTGTTGTCATACAAAATATCCGTTTCTTCGAGGTGCGAGTTAAATTTTTCTTGTCTACAATGCAGTTTGACTCGACCTGAACAGGTTACAATGGTTGGTAAATATCAGAAAATTCTCCCTGATGTCAGCTCAAAGTTATCTCTACTTGCCAGGAACTTAACACTGGGTGATGGCAAAATCGCCATTACTTCATGGAGATGATCTGCGTTATATGAACCATCATACCTGGAAACTCCTCACCAACAAGCTTATGCTTTATATCAACGCCAACGGAGAGTTTGGTTAATGCTTGCTTACGTGAAGATGTCGTGATTATTTTGAGCTTTCTTAGTAACTGCACCGCATGATTGAAAAATTGCAGCTGTTCACAACAGTTAGAAGCAGCTTTTAATTCATTCCTGTGATTGCACAGCTAGTGCTTTCTCGCTTCATCCGTGTGCAAGTCTCATTTGCGGTTCAGAATATTGCGCTTGGTTTCCTTTTGCTTATTTGTTTCTAATGTCATCAGCTCAAAAATTTATCTCCCAGATTACGGGCAGCATTTCTAAGCCCACGCGCGTGTGGACTGTGAACGGACCAGCAATGTAGTCACTTGGACTTAAATACAGAAGAGTCCTAAAATCCTGGCGCGTTGTTGTGACGTTCACTACCGCGCTTATTTTTTCTGGTTAGGAATGCTGGAGACTGCATATCCTCTCGGATGGACATTTGTAGTGGTGAAATCCCGAAAATCATGTCGTCAATGCACCTATCTCCTACACCTCGTGTTACTTATCATCTTTTGCTCAATTTATTAAAATTGTATAATATTCTTAAGTTAATGCGTTGTAACAACAGGGGGCGGTGGCGCAGTTGGTTAGCGCGTCGGTCTCATAGCTCACCGAGAAATCCGGAGGTCGAGAGTTCGAGCCTCTCTCGCCCCACCTATTTCACCTTTTTCTCATTTTAGGAACACCAACGCTGAAACGATTTGCCTTAGCAAATTCTAGGCCTAAACTCTGTCAAAGCAAAAGCTATCTCCGACCTCGAGAGCATGTTCTTCGTACGATGTATGAACGGTATTCAAAACAAGCTAATGGATTTTACAATCAACTTCAAGAAACCGTATATACTGTAGGTACAACGAGTAAATATACATATTTTCTCAAATATATGCACAATCATCAAATGTATCATTGTTATTCACAATTAAACGTATTTTGCAAAAAACTTCTTATTTCGAAGATGCTATTTTCCCTGATTTTGAGAAGATGTGATCTTTATGAAATACCTGATGACAATTTAACTGTAGATATCTAGTGAGCATTACATTCGGTCCGATAGTGGAGCAGATGGGCATCTGAATGCACTTCTCTGATCCCTCATAAACTAGACAGAAGATACGTGAACATTATTGTCGGTCTTTAAGTGTGGACTTGCGAATTTCCATTAATCTCATTAAAACATTTTTAGTACACAATTTTTATGTTCTCTAGAATTCTCTATTGAAGTTAATTGATGAGGCATTGTTGGAAGCGCAAATTGAACTCTCATATTGTAGAGGTAAGTATGTAATATTACAACAAGTCATCATCGGAAAATGATTTGAATCGAAAGCTCTAATCAAACATCAGAATTCATATTAAAATCCAAGGTCATATTTTGAAAAAATTGTTTTTTTACTACTCAAAAATTTAGGCGAGATTGTTTTTCTACTACTTAAGATTAGCAATAGCCTCTCAAGTTGGCTAGCTTACTTCATAGCCCAGACAATGTACAAGATATTCTAATCTTCTTGGACTGATATGAAAATGTATGACCTTAGAATCTTAGATCTTCTTTTCTGTTAATCTCAATTGGTGACGAAAATGCTAACAACTGTACTAAATTAGTCAATTTTCTATACGGTTCAAGCAAGCAAACTTGAAACATTGGATGAATTTTTATAGATTATGATATATACAACCTTTATGCAATCTCGATGACCTGCTTATGCATCCAAAAAGTTTCAAGACGGCGATACTCAAATTTGTTGCTTGATTGGATTACAATGCAAAAGCCAAACTTTATCTCCCACTAATATGTTCGGAATTTGCTTTCAAGATTTGTCTGCATTTCTTTATTGTAACTCTTGAGCTTTTATAAGCCTTGCATTCATGTCTTCGTGTATCTTTAAAAGTCTAGTAACCAAATCTTGCGTAGATGAATTCTTTGCAAACTCAAGTTTAAAGAGTCAAATCGTGGATGATATTCATAGTTTGCGAAAAAACAGAGTTTGATGAATGAACTCTTGAAATGAATTATTGTAGGCAAATTTTGCTACTTGAAGTAGATCTATCAAATTGTCTTGATGTAAATAATGAGGTATCTTAAATACTACTTTGATACTTGATTCACTTGTTTGATTTGTCCATCATATGCTCATGAGGATGATATGCTAATGATATATTGATCTTCATTTGTAAATTCTTGAACAAGGTTTTCTAAAACTTAGACATGAACATCAAACATAATCAGGGATGATGTCATCAACATGTCCATGATATTTAAACATCTTTTCCAAGAAAAATCATGTCTTTTTTTATTTGTGATAAACTTGTTGCAAGACACAAAGTGTGTCATCTTTATCAAGTGTTACATCACAACATAAACTTAATCAAAAGATTTAAACTTTGAAAGTTACAAAATGAAGTCCATGAATATGTATGACCATGAGATTTTTAAAATCTGTAGTGGTTAAGCTAACAACTATTACTTCTGACAATGTATCTTCAATCTAAAGCAATTTTCACATGTTGTGACAAAGTCTTCCATGGTTTTCAATTTTTATGATTGTTAAAAGTCTATGGATATCAACTCTTGTTGTAGCCAAAGTATCATGTTGATAAAAAGTAGTGTCAATACTAGAGCACTCGGAGTCGGCATGAACCTTTCGGGATATAAAGCTTTTCTTAATATTATATTCTATTTTGAAACTATAATCTTGGATCAACATCATGCAACCTGAAAATCTTGGAATTGGAAATCAGTTGATTCAAAAATTTTGAATATAGATTTTTAAGCATGGATTCCAAAATTTTCTAGGATTGAAAGTGCTAGCAATTTTTTTGCAATTTCTAGCTCAAAGGATTAGGTTTCAATTTACTTGAATATCTTCAATAAAAATACATCCAACAAAGTTGTGCTACGCATGAACTTCTATTAAAGATGTTTAGGTTTGATGTGCGGAGTCTTTTGTTGGTAAGCTGCATCTCCTTCCTTGGATGCAAGATACTCTCGTAAGGAAAGAGCATCCGATCAAATTAGCTTGGATCAAGATTCTTGTGATTGATGTGGACCGTGACCAGATGTTGAGCTCCTTCAAAAATATGACGCCACTCTTGGAATGAGTTAATAATGATTGAGAGTTGCTTGTTGTGGATCTCAAATGGAGTTTAACGGCAAGAAATTTTTGTGAGTGAATTGCAACAAATTGAACAAAGCCGTACATCTTTGTCGATCTGTGAAAGAATTGCCTCAAGTACAAATTTGAAATCAACTATTTTTAGAAAAAATGGCTTTTGAAAATCAAGATGCGCCAAAAATATTTAGCCTTATAAACTTTTTTTTATTAAATTTAAAAGATTTGATTTGTTTTTGCATTCCACTTGAACTTGTCTTAGCAAGTCATTCTAATCAACAGAGCAACAATCTTGGAATAATTTGAATAAAGCTTCAATATATATTTGCAAAATCAAGAACACATTGTACGTTACAAACAGTTAACATTTTTTTTCACTTGGCGACCATGCAAATATTCTTTGGATCCATGAAAAAATTGTCTCTAGCAATATTATAGCTCAAATATTTGACTTGTAGTCGCTATAAAACATACTTCTCTTGCTTGACGTATAGTCCAACAGTGTGTAGCTTCTCCAATACTAATCCTACATGGTTAATGTGTACTTCTTCATTCTTGGTGAAAAACAATATGTCATTGAGCTTACAGACAAATACATTGTATATAAATTTAGAGATAACTTTGTTCATCAACTGTTGGAAGATGACAGGTTATGTTGATAAGATTAAAACTCATGATATTTTGTCTAAGTATCCATACATAGTTTGAAATACCGTCTTTCATTTGTCACCTTCTTTGATAGGTATTAGATTGTACGCTCCACAAGAATCAATTTAGATCTGCATATTTGTTTGACTGAGTTGATGAAGAAGTCTTGAAATAAGCAAAAATGAATATCAATCCTTAATTGTGACATTGTCTCTTTCTTTTTGATAAATATAATAAACATGAGCTCCAACAAGTGACTTGAAATGTCAAATGAATTTCATTGCAATATTTTCATCAAGATAATCTCCCAATGCAACAAGCTTGTTTTTAGATTGAATAAAAGAAAGATTGTGCAACTTCTTGGAGTTCAATGTTAAAATCATAAGATTGATGTTGAAAAAATGTATCAGCTTTATTATCAAACACGTCTCAATACTCCTCATATTCTGCTAGTAACTTGCTTGGTTTTTGAACACTTTGAGATGTCAAAATTGTGTAAATTGTAAACATATTTTCATTCTTGTCAATCTTCATAAAAGCTCAAACAACAACAATAAACATACCTTTGATTTTGGATCCTTTGACTTGATAAATACAAGTATCTAAAATTTCTATAAGTATCTAAACAAAATATGAAAAGTTATGGCTTAAAATGTTAGCTTTTAATTTTTTCAATTTATATATGATTTAATCATTTGTAATCAAGAGAGATTCAAGACAAAAGTTTTAGAAGGATAAATAATTATAATGAGTCTATAGTATTTATGTGATATTTTCAAATAATGTTTAAAAATTAAGTTTTGTGAGAAATAACTCCTGAAATAAAATAACTCAACTCTCAAAGTATATTTTTTAGAATTTATAGGAATATTATGACATTTTACAAGATTTTTATGAAAAAAAGCAAAGTTTGTAAAATCTATCATGACTATATATTTATGCTATGTGGATGAAAATTTAGTTTAAGTGAATTCCTAAAACAACAAAAAGTTTCAAAGGATAGTATAACACTTGATGACATGGCAAAATTTATCAACATCATGATTCGAGGGAGATATGATAATGGGTTTGTCAGCTCCACTATTTTCAAATTAAATTTTTTTGTGTCTTAACTCATCAGTGCCTGAAATGTAGCAAAATTTGTGCATGTTTTGGCCTTTAAGGTTTCAAGATGCAATTGTTTAAATCTTCCCTTGAATAAAAAGCAAAGTTTGTGAAATCCATCATGACTATATATTTATGCTATGTGGATGAAAATATAGTTTAAGTGAATTCCTAAAACAACAAAAGATTTCAAAGTATAGTATAACACTTGATGACATGGCAAAATTTATCAACACCATGGTTTGAGGGAGATATGATAATGGATGTGTCAGCTCCACTATTTTCAAATTCAATTTTTTTGTGTTTTGATTCAAAAGTGCCTGAAATGTAGCAAAATTTGTGCTTTTTTTGGCCTTTAAGGTGTCGTGCGACTC